ATTCGATTCCCACCGCTGAGATTGTTCCAAACCTTGTGTATAACCTTAAAACTACATTTTAAGAAGATCACACGGCCTTATTACGTTGGCAGTTGTTTACCTCGTTCCTATACCTTTGAATATGTTAACGGAACTAGTTAGGTAGTATTTTTAAACTACAAAAAACTTTTCAAAAAGACTATAGTACCTTGATAAAAAATTTGTTATACTGTTGTATAAGAAGATTACTGTAATTTTAATTAATATAGGCTAGAATAATCCCATTGTACTAAAGGAGCACATTACACTTACAAGGGAATGTTACAAACTGCCCATTCGATTTTTAAAAGTGAATGGTACCATGTGAAAGAGCGTAAAAAGTTGACTAAAAATCTATTTTCAAAAACTGCTAATTTTGCCTTACAAGCCCGCTAGCGAGATTTTAAAATCATTAGTGAAAGGGCCTTATAAGTTGTTATTCTTTCTTTTAGATTATCGTATTTTTAAAAAACTTAGTTTTTACTTTTTTTTATATTTTATTAGATGTAAGAAGTCATTATCAACAAAAAAAATTTTTTTTTGAATATTTAAGTTAATTAACTTTTAAATAAAAAAGAATACCAATCATTTACCCAAAAAGAGAATCGAACCCAAAGTCTATTGATTTCGCAATCACGGCGCCTTTGACCACTCGGCCATTCGAACACATTTACTTCTCTTTTTTGAAAGAAGCCAAAAGAAAGCGAATTTAAAAAATCCGTTTTGATAGTAAAAATTTTAAAAGCTTGCTAGCGGGCTTGTAAAGCAAAATTAGCAGTTTTTGAAAATAGATTTCTAGTCAACTTTTTACGCTCTTTCACATGGTACCATTCACATTTAAAAATCGAATGGGCAGTTTGTAACATTCCCTTGTCAATTGGAATCTTAAAATCACATAAAATTCATTGGGATGTCAATACCAAGTTCAAAGAAACCCCCTCAGCACGCCCAGACAAAGTGCCGTACTAATAGCACATTAAGACTACATATTATGTCCGGTGAGTGTCTCCAGACATTATTTATTCTGTAATTTGCTCGCTTTTCCATATTAACTTTGCACTTTTTCAAATGGAATAATCATTCTGAGAAATGGGGTTTGTTTCATTCAAGTAAATACCGAAACACATATTCAGACTAATTGTCATTCTCGAGAGATTGACTTCAACTTTCTTGCTTATAAAGAGTTATTGACACCAAAGTCTTGTTAACTTGATACGAAAATTAATTCATAGCGTATTTAAAATTTTTGAAAACATTTTGAAAAATGTGAAATTCGTTTTGTAAAAAAACTTTTTGGCATTTTAAGTTTATGTTAATGTAAAGAGTCCCAACTACAATTTAGTACATTTAGCTAGTCTTTGTAGACTTAGAGTAACATATTTAACTGTATGATACAAAAGTAATCTAGCTTCATGACATTACCCATCTAAAAACCTTTAAACTAAAATAATGCCAAATCTTGTAACATCGCCTCGAGTTTTAAATTAAAAAGACATTTGTTTTTGTCAAGTTCAAATGAAAACAAACAATTACCACGGGCCGAAATTAGAGTGGGAGAGCTCCAGACAACAACAATATCTCCAAAAGGACGAGCAGCAATGTTAAGATGATGTGGAACTAATAAGCAGGCCTGATTACCACTATTCTCCGTTATGCACGGATTACCAGTATTATACATAAATTACAACTTTAGCAAAAACCGAGTGCAATTAGTAATTTATACAACCAGAATAGGCATAGATAATGTGTAGGATACTGACAAACATATATCACTACGTAGTACTGTAGGCAACATAGTTTGTGTATTATACAGTACAAAAATCGAAAAGCCTTTTTCCTCTTTTACTATACGATATAAGTTAACAATCTTATACTGTATACCCTATCAAACATTAAAAAATATACTGTATGGTTTGTCGCTTGCCATATATGAAACACTATAAAAACATACAAAACGCCATTATCACTTAACTGTTTATTATTCCGAACACAGAAATCGATAAGCCTGTTTGCGTATGCTTATCTTTTATTGTCAGTAAAGCTTTAATAAGCTGATTTTACTTTAAACAATTCTTCAAGTTTCATGGCATCATAAGCGACTTTTACAGATTTAAGCTTGTTTTATTTCCTATGTTGTAAATGATGCTGTTTGACATTTTGTTCACGTATAATTGATTAAACATCATTCGACCGTATTTTACTATTTTGCATTTTACTAATTCAAAGCTTGAACTTGTGTTACATTGATTCAAAGACTGATAATTAATAACAAACGCATTGTCGTTTGATATATGACGACAATGTTAATGTCGCCCTTCAAAACACAATATTTAACCATTCTCATCATTATTTTCCAAACTTTATTTCCAGTTCACCTACAGTGTAAACCTTAACTTCTTTGCGACATTCCCCTTTTCGTCGACACATTTTTTCACTCCGCCAACCCTTTTCATGTTGTTGTTAATGGAAAACAACAAAAAACAGCACAAGTTAGCGCTCTCTGTACTTTGAGCGTTTTCTTCTGATGATAAGTGAGATGGGTCGGGTCCCCACGAGGGAAGGGAAGGGTTTCTGATTGCTCCTTATATTAATATTGCGATCAAAAACCGAAACGTGGTTTCGCAGCGCCGGAGCCTCGACGAACTTTTTTCATTGACAGTTTCTGTTGCCGATAGTTTTGGGTTTTTTGTCGCGGTTCGACAGGTTCGTAACTGTGTTTGTGACTAGTTGGAAGTGTTTATCATTATAGAGTTGTTATGAAGAGTTTGCAACTATTTTCATGTTGGTGATATAAATTGCAGCTCCATGAATTTTTAAAACCTTTTTTTAAAAAAGTTCGCAACTTAAGCAACTCATGCTAAAAGCTTGCAACTTATATGATAAAAGCGACCTTTGGTTTGAAAACTGTTTACAGCGTTTAGTGTTGACAAGATTGGTTTGCAACATTTACGAGATGCAATGTTATGAAAACAACATTGTAAAAACGTACTTAAACGTGTTTGTTTGCCCAGTTTTCCCGTTTTCCTATCTTACAATTTGCGGAAATCGCTGATTATCTTAACTGCTTGTCATTTTGTTATAAAGTGCTTGAACAGCACATTTTTCAATTTTAAACGCTTTGCTTTTATTGCAAATTTTAATTTTTTAAATTTTGAATTTTTTTTGCTTTTCAAATTTTGATTTTATTAAATAATATTTTCTTATAGTAATTAGAGTCGCTATTGCTAATAGTAAAGTAAAAAAACTATTGAATCTACTACCACTTGTAATCTCCCCAAACATTAAGTCATCAAACCCAGCACTTTAATTGGAAGCCAACGACCTTTTTATACCTTGATCAAGTTCGTTGAGTCTTTCACGATCGATGTACTTTACACTCTTGGCGCGCCATTTTAAAACAAAGTTGTGATAAAAATAGATCGGTTTCGCTGTGTTATGTTTTGACTTCACATTTTATCCTCCGGCAAAACCAGCTGGGGTTGTTTTGATCGGATGACGGTTATCATTTGTCTCCCGAATTACTCGGCCGTTCGCTACGCTGCTTTTTGGCTGGATTTTTCGAAATTTTGGCTTTAGTTGGATAAACCTTTAGTTTTTGATATAAAGGTAGATCAAAATTTAAAGGTTTGGGTAAAGTATTATCTTTTCCTTATTATTATTTCCAAAATTCGATCTTTTCCCTTTTCTCTTAAGTACGTACCGTATCATTCCATTACGCATGCTCCAACTTGAACCCTGATATTTTTTTTTATTTCAAGTAGCAGTCCTAAACCCTGCTCCACGTTCCGCCAGGTTTTGTTTGCTCTGCCATTGCTGAACAATGTATGTCGCGCTGGGTTAGATCACAGCCTGATCAGATATTCTTGGCCCAGGAAATGTTTGCGCTGCGACGAAAAACATAGGCGAGGCAGTAGCGGGTCGAAAAAGATTGTTTCGGAAAGTCTTTAAAGTGGAAAGTGTTGGCTGATCTGCTTAACCATATTCTCTAGTTCAGACCTTTTTGAACCTTTGCAGTCACAATTCCTCACATATTGTTTTAGAGATTTAACGTGATGAGGAGGGTTTTGGGGTTGATATCAAATAGTTTTGGCCAGATTTTATTTTATGTTTTTAGCCATTTTTTGAGTTTTTTTCGATTTGCCTTTTTACTTTAAAACGAAAGATGAAGGTCATGGAACGTTTTTTATGATAACCAGTCTTGTTAACCCGGGTTTTTACTCGAGACTCAAATATTTGGAACGGTGAGGTAATTACAAAGTTGATCGTTCTTTCAGTTTTTACATTTCAAAATTCGATTTGATCTTATCAATTCTGTCGTCTCAAGACTAAAATCAGTCTTCGTTTTGTGAATTCGTAACACTACGATCCCTTTACTTTGTAAGGTTGTTTGCATTGTATTTATACGTTACCATGAAGTTACAATTTAAATGTACTTTGAAGTTACATCGTTAACATTGTTTTTACGCTAAGTTTGTATTTCTTGCCATTTTAAAAACAACCCTTTGCCTTTCTCCCAACTCCAGACACCTATACCTCCATTTGTTTGGTATTTCTCTATATTATACTTTGTCTTTTGCTATATTTATGATTATTTCCTAAATGTTAAGCAATATTTATGGTGTTTTTCGCCTTGCACGTGTCTCACCAGTACTTATTATTTCGGGTAATTGGAACAGGAATGTTTTTCCTTCTGGCGAACAACTGTTTCCATATAGCTGTCGATCAAGTTTGGGTCAGTTGGCGGCAAAAATGAGGCTCGTTTCCAAAGTCCTAATCTCTATATTCTTTGCGCTGACAGATAGATTTTGTCGCCAAGTTTTGAACCGTTTTTATGGGTTTTCGGGTGAATTATATCAATAGTTTTGGCGTGAAATCGATTTAAATTGACGTCTTAAATCGTAAGGAGAATATTTTTGTCGTGCAAATTATGAAGATACCTATTTTCTTTACCTCTTTTACCTTTTCGAAACAATTTCTTACAGATGGCGTTAACATTGCCCCTACAAATCTTCGAAAAGATCTACCAATGTTGTTCAAACGAAGAAAACTCGTCGAAAAACGCGAATTATCGATTGGCGGAACGATTACTCGAACATGCTACACTAATCGACCTACTGAAGTGGCGGAGAGTGTCCAAGACCTTCAGAAGAGCTGCTGACAACCGGCTCAAGTCATTCACCCGCATCGATGTTCGCGTTTATCCCGGCCTCAACGACATATACAACAACCGCTGTGATTCCGGTAAGATTTACCCGATAACACTCTTGCTTGTTTGGCGAAGCGTTTTGATTAATTGAGGCGACAAAGTTAACATTGGGTGATCATTGGTATATATCTTTTGATGACTTTTTGTGAACCAAGCACGTTTTTGGCGGTTAAAACTTTTGTAAAATTGTTGACATTTCGATTATAATATAGTAGCGGAGTAGTTGGGTTCAGTTTAAAACCAACGATCCAATATTTTTAAATTCAATTAATACTTGAACCCAATGGCCAAATAAAGTCTAAAGCATCCATAATATTATTTAAAAACCTCTCATTTCAGATCTATTTGAATGGCACCCAAAAGCGCCAATAATGCTGATGGAAACAGGACCAAACCAAGTTGGAATTGCCATTGATTCAAATATGAAGACGGCCAACGTTCGAGCCCTATTAGAGATATTGTCAGTGTTCAGAAGCTCGACTCAAGAACTGTTCATGGACAGTCCAGTCATCGACCTGTTTATATCACAAATCAACAAGGAACAGATGTACGCTCTGATCGAGTTACTACGCAAGAACAGAGTCATGAAGAAGTCGACTGCCATCTTTGATGCCCATGTGAAGATACTGGATTTGCCACCACAAAAGTCGTTAGTACCATTTGGACCATTCTTCCCCAATTTGAAGAAATTCACCGTGACTTCCACGGTAAGTATTATGTGTTATTAAAATTTTATTTTTCACTTTGTTAGCGTATTTTATGAAATTTTTGCTACGAATATCAATTACTATGTATATGTATACCTCTAAAGCAGTTAGTAGATCTCAAGTTACCATTTCACAATTTCAGTCAAACCAACTGGAACACCTATCCCGCTTATGTACATATGCAGTCGGAGTAGAACTACTGTACCATCCCGAGAACATTGACCTACTATGTCTTCGTATCATCCTTGGCGGTCGATGGTTCCGAAAACCGCACGTTCGTATGTTCAAACATGTAGCTCGCTTCAGACAATGGACTGAAGCCAACTCGATGGGTGAACGTTACTTCCAACAATTTACTCCAACCACCAAAGGCAAACGTATTTTATAATATGTCTTATAGGACATGTCCTCATGTTAGTTGTTGTTGTTAGATGTACTAGGTAACTTATTTATGATCTTGATAGTTGAATGCACTTTATATTTGTTGATTCTTTTTGTCTGTGAACCACATGTTGTGGTACACGTATGTTATTTTGCAATACTACTTGATTTGTCGGCCGGTTTGGTACTTAGATTGTACTTTTACAGTAATTTTGAGAAGTGTTTTGCCCCTACAGTGTCACGCTGTCACCTAAATCAATGTAAAATCTTTTTTCATATTTTCAAGTGACAGTCAATTATAATATCAATATAAGTCAACAATATCTCGATTGCTGTGAAATCACCCTCCATTTACTATGGCCATTTGTAAAGTGTCTCTCTTAAACATACGCTAAACGGGTAATAATAAGCCCCAAGGGCTGTAGTCATAACCTCGGGTTGAATAAAATATATAAAGATCGGCTTGTTTTTTGTCCATGAACGTGTGATTGGCATCTGTTCCTGAGGGCCACGAAGGCTTCGCAGTCAAAACAGCTGCGGCATTAAAATAAAACAGAAAGAAAAACGAAAAAACGTAAAATAGGTTGTGTTCCGTGAGACGTTGGTTAGCCGCCTGAGGGGGAGTATACAGCAAGTCATCTGCTACACCAACTACTATGGGCGACAACATTGTCAAAGAGACCTTCGAGGTCAGCGCCGCACATCCGGTAAGGTCTTTGGCTGTAGGTACTGAAGTTTCGGTTTGTAGATATGTAGCTGTTAGCAGATATCCAGAGCTCTTGATTGCCTAGTGATAGGTATCCAACTCGTTACATTATTTAGGTAATGATTGTTTTAGGACAAAGTCGTCGTTAACGGCTGTGATCTTGTCAATCGCACCCAATTGTCAAACTCTCAGAACCGAGAACTTCAACGTTTTATCGACAGGAATTCGCACAAACTTGGATTTTACGACCGTCCACACGGTAAAATTTGAAATAGACACTTTTGATAACTGCTAACGATACCTAAAACAACCAAACTTGCTTTAAAATTACTGAATTTATTTTACTTTTTCTTTGACATTATGCTAAACTTTACCTGCCCTGATTGTACCCATACCCCATAAAATAAGATATCCTTCAGACGAGAAAGAACCAGAATCCCAAGGTCGCTACAGTTCCCTCGGCTTCGGAGTTCTTCCAGGAAGCCGTCCTTATGGTTATGATGGAGCTGATCATTCCAAAGATATTGGCTCTGGAAACCGTGTAGACAGTCCTTACTCCGAGTACGGTACCTATGGAAGCAAACGGTATGAGTTACAGTATAAGAATTCATTCGTTTTTAGAAATTCTATCAAATCTTCTTCATTTTGTTGACAAAGAAGATGTTGATAAAGCTTTTTGCAATTGAAAAGAACCTCTTTTAAAATATAAACAATCTAAAATATTACCTAAATAAAACATTATATCTCTACATCTAGACTATAAAATGTGTCATCCCCATTGTTTTAGAAAAGGCGTCAAATTCGCTGATGGTGTAGATTCCTCAAAAGCCCATCCCTTCCCTGAGGACTCTTTTGGTCTAAACAACAGAAGCGGCGCTGGAAATCCCAGTTCTGGTAACACTGGCTACGGTGAGGCTGGCTACGGTGATACTAATGGACTTGGTGGACGTAGAGGATCCACACAAGGCTACGGTCAAGGTAACACTGGCATTGGCGACAACTATGGCAAGAACAGAGGAGGAAGTGGAAAACAAACCCATCCTGACAACTATGATCCTTATGGTACTAACCGAGCTGGAAAAGCCAACAACAAGAACTTACGAAGCCGTACTCAGAGTCCTGGTGCTGGAGATCAGTTCAAGGTAAACAACATAGTCAAATATAACAGCATGGTAAAAAATTCCTACATAAAATATTAGGGCATATAAGATTTTATCTTATTTTAAAGATTGAGGCCCATGAAATCTACTTTTATACAACAAACATTAAATACCGCATATTATCCATCAAAAAAAATGAAAATTTCGAGTTCTAAAACTTACTTTTTCTGTTGTTTCCATAGAACTTGGCCTTATTATTGAAGATATTACAATATTTTTCCATATAATTCAAGTCCAAACAGAATTTTGTTCACGACGAATTTTGGAACGAAAATTATCGCGGAATTTTAAAATAAACAAAAAGTTGACATTTTATATGCGGGCGCAGGTTGGCAAAGATTGTTATTCCTATTTTTGCAGAGTTTTTTTAGCTTTACAGTTATTCTGTAAAAAATGTAAAGCATAACAATATTTTTACGAAACTATTGTTTTAGTGGAAGCCATACCAAAGCTACGAATACGATGGAAAGAGAAACACGGTCGCTCCGCCAATCCCACAATGGCTGAAAGATCGAAGTGTGACTCCGGCTTATTCTGCTTTGAACAAACATCCTGTAAGTCCTGTCCTCATTTTATTCAAGTACATTTTTATTTTTTGTCATTTAGCTTTTTTTATTTTTATTATTTAAAAAAAAGAAAATTAATATCGTATTGGAAATAAAAGCGGTTCCACAAACTTTCAGACCAAACTAAATTTTTTTTTATTTTTTCACCAACATATACAGTATCAAGCTCTGGTTTTTATTTATTTCAGACTGTTATCATTGAAGCTTGGAGAACTGCTGATAAAGCATCCAATTTTACAGTAACCTTCTCCTAGGATCTTATATATTAACTTTTAAAATTGAATAATTTTAACTTTTGAGAGTAGGTACAACAAGCCTTTTAAAGTAATTTGTATATTTAAAAAGTAAAAAAAAATATTTTAGATTTTTTAAAAATATTTAGAATGCTAAAGCAATAGTAAAACAAAATGACCTTTCAGGACAACTACAACAAGTACGACACGGAGAAGCATCGTATCCAATTGGCCCGCCAATCCCAAGAAAAAGACGAGGAAATCAAATTCTACGGTTTTGGAGATCGTCTGGGATCAGGCATTGAACTGACCCGAAAGCGATGGACTGGTGGAGAACTTATTACTGATCCTACCTTCGTGACCAAGTCTATCAAGCCGAGAACCATGTTCTATTCTCCGATTGGCGATGGTTGTGTAGCTGCTGACGGTATCGAACTGAAGCGAGGACCTCCTGACTTGACTCCGAAGAGATACGAATACCACGAAAGAGTGGTGGAACGAGGAGATACAGGACACGGCGGAGTGAGAGTCACTGAGAAACGGTGGGATGGTGCGTATATTGATGTAGTTTACAAAAAAATGTTTTAGTAGAGTAATGAGAGAACGAGTAGCAGAAATTTTTTTAGAATATTGACTTTTTTAAGCGTTGCGACTTCAGAAGTCTTTAAAAAGTTATTTAGTAGCATTTGACTTCAATATCTGATAAGAACAGTCATTTTCTGACATTTTTTTAACTTTTAAATATTTAAAAATGGATAACTTATAACGTATTTTTAACATAAAAGTCATTTCCAGATGGAAGCCGAAGAAATGGAGACGATGACGATGGAGGACGTGGCCGAGGATGGCCAGATGATGGTCTTGGAGATGGGCGAGGTCGACGAGGACCAGGAGACGGTGGGTTAGGTGATGGACTTGGAGATGGTCGTCCGAAGAGAGACGACGATGGAAACCGAGGTTGGCCAAACGACGATGGAGGATGGCCAAGAGGAAGAGGAGAGCCATTTGATGGTGGAGATGGAGGGTACCCCAGGTCACTCAGTCGTAAGTGTTAATTTAGAATAACAAATAAGAAAAACGTTTTAAATTTTCAGAGGATTTATAAAAGGTAATAAAAAAATTTTAAAGTTTTTAAAAATGCTATTTAAATTAGATAAATATTGTTTTATGTCGCTTTCATACATAAGCTTACACATCATTCTTAAAAAGTCTAAAACCCTTACAGCTTTGTCGATCGGTACCGACGGGTTCCCACGTGAAGGCTGGACCAAGACCTTCATCACCAATCCAAGAGAACTGATCAACCAATATGGAAGTGAGACCCTGACCACCATCTTCGACCTCAAGGACCACACTCCGAAGACGATGACCACGGTGAAGGAAACCATCTCTCCAGTGCCTTAACGAAATTTGAATAAACGTTTTTGATTTAATTCGTCGAAGGTATGAATTGCATGGTAACTTCCTACATTATTTGAGTCACAATGCACCTCAAACCTTGACCAATCAATCAAGAGGTGTTGTAGTAGGTATATAAATAGTCAGGTAGTGTTTTAGTAGGTGATAAAATAATTAGGGTTTTTGCAGTAGGTAAATGAATAGTAGTAGGTAGCCTAAACGTAACATCTACCAATTGTAGCGTTAGACCAGAAGTTTGAATAGTGTTTTTGAAAGTATAAAAGCACATAATACAGTTTACCTTGTTATATCACAAGCTTTAGTGTACTCCTGAACGCTTCTTGACCCAGATATTTTAAAATTCGATAGAACTTTTTAAAGAAATAGCCAGAAATAGAAAAATGCTAGCCAGAAGCTAAGAAGTTTAAAAAAAAGTATAATATTTTTAAAAACTTACTGTAATTAGAAAATATTACAATACAAAAACGTCGTAAAATACAGCTTAAAATGTAGGTTTCTAAATTGCGTAAGATTTATAGTATCATAAACTCAGGAGCCGCGTTTTACGACCAACTTAAGGTCGTCATCGGTCATTACCATTCAAATTGGGGGTTACTGTTTTTTGGAATGAAAATGGACTAGAACAATAAATTGAGGATAAGTTTAGATTATAGAGATAACACAAGCCTAAAAAGTTAAAAATTAGAAATTTTTTTTAATTCAAAATTTTGAAAAATTCTATGACATGAACGTGTTTTAAATATACTGTGCGACAAAATCAGTCTACCGCCCTGTAACTTGAAAGTTGCTTCTTCGGTTGAACTGAAAGTTGGCATATAGGTAAAGCTATAATGTTATGCTCGTAATATGCATAAAACTATAAGTCTTCAAACTACAGTACTTACAAATGATTGTTAACCAACTGCTATCACTAGTCACTACGTGTGAGCTAGTGATTTTTTCCACTTCTTAAATCCAAAATTTTGTCAATCGAATAAGCAACTTTCAAGTTTGTGGTAGATTAAATTTGTCCACCAGTACAACGCTTACCTGAGAACAGCCATAAAGTGGTGCAATAATAGTGTACAAGTTTAATGATAAGCCCTCAGTCAATGTTAACTATGCTGTATGGTGAGATTTGGAATAAAATACAGAAGTTCAAGTTTAGAAAGTCATGCAAATTGTCTAAATTAAGGTGATAACTAACTTAAGCGCACTTTAGTATTCAAGAGACATTTATTTGACATTGACAATATGTCGGATAAATAATTCTAAGTGATTAAGATTGTGTAGAAACTACAATTAAGCGATTTTACAATACAATGAAAGATAGGTCAATATCACAGGTCGACAATTGACTGTTTCGTGCAAACGATCGCAATACGGTTATGCGAACAAATCGCAAACCTACATGAGCAGCATTTGTACCTAAACACAAATAACTAACTAAACATCTTTACAAGAACCATATTGATTCAAGGCAGCGATTGCAGCAGACTGAAAGGAGTCGAATGGCTGAAGAACTGGAATGGGCGATAGCCGAAGGGCAGCGTCTGAAGGCACTCCACACATACGCACACCATGACACCGCCAACCAGCAACCACTTATCATGATCGCACTGAACATGCCTGAGGGGCGAGAGAGAACCAGTGCGTCGCCTCCAGTTGATTGGTCGAGAAGAGGGGGCGGCCCTTCATTCAACCCATTTTACTGTTCACATCTCCAACTTCTACTTTGCAACTTTTTCTAAGATCCCTCCTGCTTATCACTGTTTTTATCCGCTTTTGTGTTTGAAAAGAATCTACCCAAACTTTTAGACAAAACAAACTTTGGGGCCAACAAAAAACCGTTTTAATTTATGCGGCTAAAAACAATGCACTTTTAATAGGCTAGTTTAAAAAGTTATGCGTAAAAGTTGTAACGATTGATCTAAATAAAAACATAAGTTTAACTTTAAAAAATGTGTAAAAATGTAATTTTTATCAAAATACTTACAGTAGTACTCATATACAGGGTGTCTCAAGAAATTTGCAGAAAAATTTTTTATTCAGCGATAAAAATCGCTATAGGTACCAAATTTGGTACAGCAATAGTAAAGCAAATATATATTTTTTATAAAAAATTTTGGATTTTAAAAGTGCATTTTAAATTTTTTATGATTTTTTAAAAATAGGCATTTTTCACCAAAAATACACATATTTTTGGTTGAAAATGCTTTTTTTCTCCGAAATTTGCGAGAGAATTATAAAATTTATCTATTTTCAAATGAAAAGACTGATTTTCAATGTCGGCGAAGGCTCGGCGGAGGCCGGCGGACGCGTTCAGATATCGGCGAAGGCTATAACTCGCTTCAAAATTGTCGTAAAATTATGAAACAATGAACGCGTCCGCCGGCCTCCGCCGAGCCTTCGCCGACATTGAAAATCAGTCTTTTCATTTGAAAATAGATAAATTTTATAATTCTCTCGCAAATTTCGGAGAAAAAAAGCATTTTCAACCAAAAATATGTGTATTTTTGGTGAAAAATGCCTATTTTTAAAAAATCATAAAAAATTTAAAATGCACTTTTAAAATCCAAAATTTTTTATAAAAAATATATATTTGCTTTACTATCGCTGTACCAAATTTGGCACTTATAGCGATTTTTATCGCTGAATAAAAAATTTTTTCTGCAAATTTCTTGAGACACCCTGTATATATACCAATCACTGAAAATTTTTAAAGTAAGATTCAGAACTTCAAAAAGTTTTGCGTGCTATATTTTTATAAATTTTATAGGTAATAAATCTACTAAATTCGTATTTTACAAAAAATCATGATACTTTAATTTTAATGACATATTAGCCTTAAGTGAAGTCAAAAAAGTGTCTTTTAAAATTTTTTACGCTTCCTATTTAACTAGTCTTTTACTAAAATTTGAATAATCTCAATGGTCTCCAAGTTCCCTAAGGTTTTAAATTTACTACAACGTATTAAGCATGCATAATTTTGCTGTCAATGCTGCATCTACCTCTTCCCACGTCAAAGGAATATCACCAAAAAAATTTAGACTGTAAAGAGTAATACACTAAAATATACAGAAAATAAATAAGAGAAAAGGTCGTAAGAAATTGTACCAAAATTTATGAGATTACCCTAACAAACTAGTATAACACTTCTAGACCCAATAGTATTATAGTTAAATAAAAAAATAGCTAGATTAGTATCTGATCCTTAATGTTAAAAAAAACAAAAAAAAATTGAATTTACGTCTTTTGATCTTTTTTTCAAACGTAAAAAATCCACAGATACTAAACAAAAAGTTTGCCGACCCCCTTATTCCCACCCCAAGCCACCACTGTCTTAGGTACAGTAAGAACCCTTCTAAAGAATAAAAAATAAACAACTTACAATCCCGCCAAAACCCATGCCCGAAGAAAAGTACGCGGTGGAGAAGTGTAAACGACACTGTGACACATTGAAAACCAGTTCTTTATATCAGCAGGGCCGTGTGTTTTTTACACAGCGCCGTTTTTTGTGCCACAAAAGTGGTGTTTGATTGACATCGAGATTTCGGCGCCAAAATCATCTTAACATTTGGGCCGTGCCGTTGTCGGGAACGGCGTTCTTATTCCTATGCCAAGGTCGCCGCAACAATACCGACACGAATGTTCCGTTTTTTGTGGCCTTGAGAAGATAACAAAAAACAGACGTCCACGGCACTACCGTAATGCCGGTGGCGTCGTTTTGACAAAAAAACAGCTCTTATCAGTCCGAAAATTTGAATATTCCTGTTCTTGTAGAAGTGGAAGGACGGTAGTGGAACGATTATATAATAAATTGAATATTCTAATAGAATGTCCCGATAATACAACTACTTTCATTAAAATCAGAAATTTGAATATTCTTAAAAGACTGTTATCAGTTAGGTGACAATTAAAAATTTGAATATTCTCATAGAAAGCTAGGTCTGATAATAGAACGATTATCAATGAAATAACACTCTAAAATTTGAATATTTTAAAGAGGCCGTTATCAGTTATGTAACACTTAAAAATTTGAATATTCCGATTAAAGACTAATTAAGGGTTTGATAATAGGACACTTATCAGTAAATGAACACCGAAATTTGAATATTCAAAAAAAGCTTGATAATTAGACAATAATTATTGACCATATAACACTAAAAATGCCAAAAACAAATAGATGAAATCTCTGTATAACGAATTGCTAGGGAATTTAAAATTATGTTTGTTAAAAAGAGGTTTCGTTATACAGAGGTTTTAAATGCACTGCGTAGTGTTAGCCGAGGGTTCCTTACTCGTTATACAGGGGTTTGGTTATATAGAGGTTATTTATACAGAGGTTTTACTGTAACTTCTACAAAAAAAAACAAAACGGTTTTCAGCTACAAATTTTAACAGATTGAAGATGAAGATATTATTCCACTTAACTCATAACTATATTAGTTGTTTTTATGATGTTTATAGTATTCCAAACACAGTGTAATTAATGTTTTGACAAGAATTACATTTGTACACTAATGTTACATCTTTGTTTCTTCAAATTAAAGCTACAGGTTTGTAGCTTGTGGCAGAAGTAACAACTTAACTCAAAAAATAATTGTCATTGTTACTATACGACAACATTTTGGATCCATAAGTTAATTCGCCTATACTAATTTTGGAGACTTTCTCTTGTTAGTTCCTAATGTCACCCAACCTTACCTCACAATAGTAATGTTCAAATGTTACAGAATATACGATAGTAACTGTACAAAGTATAGTCGGATAATAAATTGACTGTGAAAACCGCAAATTCGAAAAGTTTTGTTCTAGAATGTCTTGAATAAACCGGCTGCCTCTTAATAGGAGCGGAATAAACAAAAGAATAGCCATATTGCAAGATCAGAGTAATTTATCAAGGAACAAAGACTCCACTAATCATCTCACTTTAGTGAATTTCGGAGAGCCTAATCCTTTTATAAGGGCTCAAATCCCACCCCTTTTCCTAAATATACTGTATTTTATTGCGAAATGAGGACGAACCATTAAGTACACAATAGGTTTGAAATATGAGCGACAGACGATTCGTACAAAATTTGACATTAATCATCGTACAACCGAGATTCTAATAAACTACAGTATACCAAAAAAATTGATTGCAATATACCAAACTGTAGCCAAGAGGTTTTAGTCAAAATCACTTACAGATACGTATATAAACTCCCCTTTACTGCCGTTCTTTGCAAGACTAAAACGTGCAAATATATAGTTTACTGTAAGAAAATAGCTACGTAGTTACCTATGTATTTACTCAACGAATTTACAACAACATATTACCCACTTAACACATTCTTCGAATTACTGACTGTAAAAGCAATAATGTTTGAGAGTAAAATCAGCAAATGACATATAATTAGAGAAGTATGACGGGTGTATTCATGACGGGCGTACAAAAATAGTAACCAGTAATTTGCAAAGTATGACGAGCGATCTAATAAACGTAAGAATAGGCCATTTAGGCCTAAAAGCTTTTTTATAAGTTGACAATTAAAGGTTTCTAAAGGACAAAATTTATAAAACATATTATTCTAAAAAAGAAAAATAACATAAACTCATTAAGTTACTACATCTTTTACATTTAGACGTAATGTATAGTGTTGACATAAAAAAATAGACAAAATGTCAAAAACTTTTAAAAAAATAGATCTGTCTTTGCTAGACTACAATTGGCAAGTGTAAATGTAGTCCAAACCTTACATCAATATTTCTTTAAGGTAATTTTAATAATGTCATTCTTTTGAAAATACTATGCATTTAGTTATTAATACCTCCCAATAGCAAAACTGAAATTAGAATAAAAATAAGCTTAAAAATTTTCTTTATATGAAGAAATGTCATTCTAATCTTACCAACTAATAAATTACCTTTAGAGATAGCAAAAACGTCACAAATTATCATCGGAACTCGTAGAAAAAGTAAAAAATTTAAGTTTTTTTCAAATTTGGTATAAAACATTTACAGCTAGTACAAAAACTGTTAATATTATAGTAATGTTTAGCTTGTAAAAAAGGTTGTGTTATTTTAATACACTGGAAGTTCCATATAAAGTACTTCCTTATAACGAAACTCTCTATGTAAGGAATGTTTCGTAGTATTTCCATTGGTGCGAGATCTAACTGTTTACCTCCCCTATAAGAAACCCTCCGTATAACAAAGATTTTTTAGTTTTATTCAGATTTTTATAGAGGTTCCACTGTATTTCAAAACCTTTACTATAATTTCCGCCTCACAAAAAAAAAGTTAAAATTTCGAAATTTTGTCGCTTTGAGGAAGGAACATTTCGCAATTTTATAACTCCAATCCGAGATATTAACCAAGAACAAGTATTTCTTTTACAGTTATGGTATGCTGTAAAATACAAAACCACCACCACATAAAAACTGTTTTATTTTAACTAATTTCAAAGTTAATTTAAACATAAATTACTATAAATTTGCATAAAAGTAAACTGATGGTGTAGTAACTCGTAAACCACTACAAAACAATAATTAAAATTGTTTTCCCCAACAAAATAACTACTTGATGCACTACCGTATAACCTGCCTTACTATAAAGTATAAAAAAGATACTGTACCAAATCTATGCCAACCACCGTAGCCCACAATTCGTACAATGTCTGGAAACCGTACAAACCCTAGTTTATTATGATTTATTGCGCAATAAAAGATGGCGACTACCGTAATCCCAGTCAATAAAAGCTAAAGAAAACAATTATTAATCGATAAAACCGGGTAATTGGTGAGTGCCGTAGTAAAGGTAAAAAACGACTGGAACACTTCGAAACCTAAAAACTGAAAAAAGTTGGTCAAAAGAGGGCGGCGATCTTATTGTCGCGACATTCATCGTACCGTAGCTGAGATAACATGTTCGGCAAAACCCACGCCGACCCTCCAAAATTCAAATTTTTTGTTTGCTCGAGGCGTTTCGAAGAGATAGCAGCCGGTCCAATGTTTGTAAACAGTTCGACGAAAGATAAGGTCCAAAGCAGAGAGTCGAGCATTAGATGTCTGCGACTGGTCAAGAATTATATTTCCGTCCAAAAAACACACGGTAATTGCTGATTTTACATTCTTTACACTTCCTCTACGTCATGTAAATCGTAAAATTTAAAAAGAGAAGGAATTATTATCAAAAAGTGTGGTAGACATAAACGTAGGTATATAACAAAAATTTACAAAAAACGCATTATTTTTTATACAATACTGAAATAATTTCGTTTTTTAATCACATTTAAGTATTTGACCGGATATACTAATTTTTTATTTGTAACTTTTGTAAGGCTAGCTAAAAGTTTGAGAGTCGACCCCAATATTGCTAACTTTTTTGATATCTAAAACAATCTTTAAATCAAACACGTCCACAAAACTTTATTTTTCACCTAAAAATTTAAATTGCCAAAAACCAGATCGTTTTGTGACACTTCGTCGCCGAATCAATAGTTGATACTTTGCGCTTACGTAGTCTTTTTTCTGGAATTTTTGGGTGAACTCTTGAAGTTGTCAGTATACGTGTTATAAGAGAGTCGATCAGGAATAAAATTTGTGACTATTTTCCGAAGATCTCGATATTGTTGTAGTTGCTCCTATTATAATATCTTTTGTTCAGGTGCCTTGAATCAAGTGCAAAACCGGTGTGCAATGACTCGTGCACTGTTGTTGGCAGTTTTGCCATTAATATTTCTTGTAAATGTCTGTCGTAAGTTTTTTATTACATTTTATTGTTTTAGGTAACATAATAAGTTATGGAAAATGTAAATAAAATAATCTTTTTTAAAAGTCGGATTTTAAATTTATGGTTTGATGAATAACAATTTTCTTTGCAGATGGACAATTGGCGGCTATGTCCGTTGATCTGGGGGACGAATATCTCAAATTTGGGTTAGTGAAGCCAGGAGTTCCTATGGAGACCGTGATCAACAAAGAATCTCGACGTAAAACGCCAAATATTGTAGCATTTAGAAAAGGAGAACGGTATTTTGGCGATATTGCGGCTCAAATGGTAAGTTAAATCTAGATTTGTGTTTTAAACAGGTTTAGGCCTATAGTACGATTATTATTTCAAATACATTAAAATAAGTTAAATGTAGCTGTCAATATGGATTTTGGGTAATAACTGTAGATTTATTAAATAAACCTTGTTTCAGAGTGTCAAATTTCCACAGAGCACTATTGCTTCGTATGTTGACCTGATTGGAAAGCCATTTGATCATCCTGTTGTTGAAGAATACCAAAAGCGTTTCCCTTACCACAAACTTAGTGCTCATCCAGACAGAAACACGGTAGTATTTGAAATTGAGTAAGTTTAAGAGTTTTGTTTTCCACTTTAGGTTTAACCTTACAACAAACACATTACTATAACGTGAAGATGTCATTTCAAAACGTTATTATTGATGTTCATTAGAATATATGCCTATTATCATCTTAAATTTGCTATTACAGAGAAGTTTCTTACCCAGTAGAGACTGTTCTGGCCATGTCTTTGTGGAACGCTCAAGAACAGACTTCCGCTCACGCTGGCCAGCCAGTAAAGAACGTTGTGATTTCAGTACCTTCATACTTTAATCATTCCGAACGGGTCGCCGTAGCCAATGCTACACAAATTGCCGGTCTTAACTTACTGTCATTGATTTACGATGGATCAGCGGCTGCTTTGAACTACGGTGTATTCAGAAGGAAGGAAATCACCGACAAGCCTCAAACTCTTCTGATATACGATGTTGGAGCCCACAAGACTGTCGCCACTTTAGTTGAGTACAAATTGGTCGAATTGAAGGAAAAAGAGAAAACTCCAGTTGTCAAGACTTTGGGAATTGGGTACGACAGAACCTTGGGAGGTCAAATTGTCACCGAAATGTTGAGAGATTACCTGGTTGGCGAATTCAAGAAAATGTTCAGCAAGTTGGACAAAGATATCAGCGAAAACCAACGTGCTATGGCCAAGATGTACAAGGAAGCCGACAGAGTTAAACAGGTAAGAAATTTTAAAATAGTTTTTACTTTTATGTTTTGGAACAAGTTTTCAAGTTTTATTTTAGCAATGGTTTTAAATATTTTATTGTTTTAGGTATTGTCAGCTAACGCTGAATGCTTCGCTCAAATCGAAAGTGTTTTCGAAGACAAGGACTTCAAGGTGAAGGTTTCCAGAGACCTTGTAGACAAGATTATTGAAGAGAACAAAGACAGATTTGCCCAACCAGTTACTACTGCTTTGGAACAATCAGGTCTGGACATTTCAGCTGTTGATCAAGTTGTTTTAATGGGAGCTGGTACCAGAATTCCAAAAATTCAAAAACTTTTGGGAGAGACCATTAATGGGTAAGAAAATTGATTTTTTTACGTTTGGGTTTAATTAACATTTTTATTTTTTTAAAAGGTATAGGATCTTTGATAATATTCTTTTAATTTCAGAAAAGAGTTGGCCAGATTCTTGAACACTGATGAAGCTATCGCACTTGGCGCAGTTTACGAAGCTGCCACTCGAAGCAAGGGATTCAGAGTGATGTCTTTCAAGGTAGAAGAAAAACCAGTATTCCCAACAACTGAAGAAGAAGCTACATTCACCGGTCTGACTGCCACTCAAATCACCGAAGGCAAAAGAATCCTAAACGAATTTGAAAAGAAGGAAAAGCTGAAGGTTGAAAGAGAGGCTGCACTCAACTCTCTGGAATCTCTTGTCTACGATATTACTGCCAAGTTGGACGATGAAGCCTACAGCAAGTTTGTGAACGAAGAAGAAAGCACTGCCATCAGAAGCAAGGCTGATACCATCAGAACCTGGTTGGAAGAAGAAGTTACTCCAGATACTGAAGCCAAGGTCTTGAAGGATAAGAGATCCGAATTGGTTGGAGAATCCAAGAAGATGAACTACAGAAAGAAGCAGTACGAGGAGCGACCAAAGCATTACCTGAAGATCTCTGATGCTCTGGACAAGGCTAAAGACTTGTTGCCATTGTTCAACAACAGCACAAAAGAAAACGAGACCATCTTCACTGAAGAAGAGGTAAAGAAGTTTGAAGACGAGTTGAACAAGGTCGAAGTGTGGTTTGTGGAGAAGAAGGAGGTTCAGGAGAGCAGAGCTTTGAATGAAGAACCAGTGATTACCATTAAGGAAATCACTGAAAAAGTAAGGATAACTGATTGTTTTGTGGTCTTATAATTTTTAATTATTGGTTATTTTGAGAGTACTTTGTTGGAGAACGTATAACATATTGTTTCAGGTGAAAGTAGTGAACAATGAAGTGAATTTGATGAAGTCCAAGGTATATTTGTACCAAGTTAGGATTGCCAAGGAGAAGAAGGAAGCCGAAGAAAAGGCCAAGAAAGAGAAAGGTAATTTTTTAAAAGTAAAATATAGTTACTTAGTTATAAAAATATATAATGAAATCCTTAAATGTCTAATATAATTTATTATTTTAGAAGCCGCCGAAAAAGCAGCCAAAAATGAGACTGTAATCGAGCCAAACGCCACCAACGAGACAGAATCCTCGACAGCTCAACCAGAATCCGAACAAACTCCAGAGACCTCAACCGAACTCCCGACGGCAACTGAAATCCCACCACAAGAGTCGACCGAGGCATCTGACGAATCCACGGAGAAGCCAAAGGAAGACAAATCTGAACTTTAAAAGTTTACCCACTGGAACTTACTGAAAACTGGTCATTCATTTCGCTTTTTAACTAATTTATTTGTTTCGTGATATCGTCTGTAATATTTATTGTTTGTGGACATAAATAATAATAGTCCTGTCATTCCTTGGTGACTTTGTTAATTATCTTTGTGAAATGGTAAAACTACTTGTTTGATTATTTTTAAATTTGATTATAAATAATTTATAAAATTCAAAATGATCTTTGAGATTAATTTTTATTTTAACGAACATCTTGATGTTTGTACGACTATCGGAACAAAATCGTAATTGTTGTTCTACAGTCAAATCAAGGGCTTGAATTTGTATTACCATCGCATCAAAAGCTTTACTTTATACCTCCGACCGAACCCAGCAGCTCGAATACCTTGTTGACACGATCCACAGGCCTCAAAAAGGTCAGGTCGATGACCGGCCCGTGAAGTGAGGGGTGTTCGAGATCGCCTGAGATGAAGTGGCCATGGTCACATTGTTTGGTAACAGAAAAAACGTCCGCGCACCCGTCCATTCCCTGTCCACTAATTTAATGCGAACAATCAAAGCGAATCGATTCGGCCGCTCAAACTTGTTCAAGTTACTTTTGCGTGTTCTATTTTTAGGTCGATGGCAATTCGACCGGAATAAACGCGACAAAATTTTGCTTCCTACCTTTCCTGGTTCAACAATTCACATTTCTTGAGGATTTTAATTTATTTTTTGTGTTTCAATGTTGATTAATATTCGGAGAGTTTCGTTTTTTAATTTCATGCATATACTTTATCATCAGACATTACTCATTGTTTTATCACAGCTGAACATACAAAACCCTCGTAAACTCTCTATTTTAGGTAACAAATTTAATCGTTGTTGTTTAAACAAATTTTAAGATAATTTACAGGAATTAAATGACGTCAGAAACCTTTTGCTATTTTTTGTTGATTTATATTTTAAATATTATGAACTATAGATCGGTTTAATCATCCTTCAAGGAATTGAATCTTATGACTAATTCTTCTAGATAGAGATTCACACAATATATTTAGAAATTGCCCATATAAAAGCTCGATCATTTGGATGACAAGACATTGTAAGCAAGATGATGGTTAAGCTACAGTATCCGTTGTTATTGCAGTTGTTTGCGGCTTCTGTGTTAGGTAAGTTTTCTTTATTTTTATACTGACCTAGTAAGGGTTTGCCTTTTAAAGGGTTAATTTATATTACAACAGAATTTATATCGCGCTGCATATTAATAAAACTTTCAGGAAGTTACATCCGACCATGTTATTTTACCAATTGGGCACAATACCGGCAAGGGCGTGGTAAATATATGCCAGAAGATTATGTACCCGGCCTTTGTACGCATATATTATTTGCTTTTGGGTGGATGAATGAAGATTTCACTGCAAAGTAAGCTTCATACTGTACTTTATTGTTTACTATACTTAAATTTCAGAGCCTATGACCCAGCAGATCTGCCAAATGATTGGGCTGGTGCAGGAATGTACGCTAGAGTAAATGCCTTGAAGCAGAAAGATCCCCAGCTGAAGACACTGTTATCTTTTGGTGGATGGAGCTTCGGTACTCGGCTATTTCAAGGAATGACAGCTTCGGCCGAATCTCGAGGAACCTTCATCAGATCTTCAATAGAGTTCGTTCGAAAACATGGATTCGATGGGATTGACATTGATTGGGAATACCCAAAGGGAGATTCTGACAAGGAAAACTTCAACTTCTTCTTACAGGTAGGTCATGAGTTTTAATAATATTAAGTATATTACAACTATAAGTATACTGTTAGTACTAGTATAAGTATACTGTTAGTACTAGTATCTAAATTACTTTATATAGCGTAATTTTAACAATTTTTATTATAGGAACTAAAATACGCGTGTGAACAAGAAGCGATGCGATCAGGAAAAGACCGCTTACTGATCACGGCTGCTGTAGCTGCTGGAGTTAATAACATTCAAAATGGCTACGATATTCCAACGGTGTCTAGGTATGGCAATAATAATTTATTTTTTAGATAATTTCGAAAAAGATTGAGTAAAATTTTTTCCACGTAATTTTGGATCGCTACTGTTTTATGTAAAGTAACTTTCTATACAAGTAAAGTTGTAAGTAATATTCGGCATAAAATGCTAATTTTAGGTTATTGGACTTTATATTATTGATGAGCTATGACTTCCACGGTGGTTGGGAACAGAAGACCGGAATGAACGCCCCACTATACCCACAAGCTGGCGATGAATCCGAATGGAATGTGGTAAATACATAACTTTTTATTTATGGAAATGTTAAACATACTTAAATTGTTAGAGCTGAATTACATTTTTAATCACAGATATTATTTCACTGACATGTGAGTTCTGATAAGCCTATGACAATGCACTGTAATCTCGTTTCAGGCCGGAGCAGCACGTTACTGGGCCGATCACGGCATGCCCAAACACAAACTCATCATTGGTGTTCCAACTTATGGCCGAGGCTGGACCTTGACCAATCCTAACGACTACTCAGTTGGAGCTACTGGCAGGACCGCTAGGACTACGAAGTACGTTGGTGAAGCTGGTACCGCCGCTTACTACGAGTTTTGTGAAATGTTGGCAGAAGGCGGGAACAGATATTTTGACGACCAGACCAAGGTACCATATCTTGTGAAAGGGGACCAATGGTTCAGTTACGATGACAAGGAGTCCATCAAGATGAAGTTGGACTGGATCAAGCAGAACGCCTTTGGGGGTGCTTTTGTTTGGACCTTGGATATGGACGACTTTAATGGCCAATGTTCGAACGGTGGTGGAGAACGATACCCATTGATTGGCACGATAGCCAGGGAATTGGGTGGCATCGAAATTCCATCAGCATCAGCGACAATTGTAAGCTTTTGATTAAAGAAAGTGCTTGATATAAGGTGACTTATACCAATTGAAGGTGAAGTTATATTTTTTTAGACATCTTAATAATACGCAACTTAACTTTCATTCAAGGTCCCTACTCCAAACCCATATGTACCAACCTTGCCAACAACTACATCGTACTCATGGACAACTTCTCGACCAGTCTCTCCTACTGATCTCGACAGAGCTTGCATTGGTCAAGGTGATGGGTTCAAAGAGATTCACGGAGTCTGTACTGACTTTGTCTTATGCTTATCTGGCAAAGGACAACGTATGTCATGCCCTCAAGGAACAGAATTTAGTCGGGCGTTGGGTTATTGTACACATGTAAGTTGTTTGAAACAAAAACTATATTTCCGAACTATTAAAGGCTAGCCAATCAGGATGTAACACTCCAAAACCTTTTAATTGGATATCAACTAGTACTTTACCGCCACCAAGTTCATCAACCTTTGGAGGTCCTAAAAAAGGTGGGTATTGCACGTTTGCTAGAAAACATCAAGAAGCATTTTAAAAAATTTATGCTACAAAGGATGCTGTAAATATGCTTTCAAATTTTGAAGTAAAATGCACTGTTATGTAAAATAAAGTCTATATCACCATTATCTCGAACAAAACGACCTCTTTCAGACTTTTCATGCCAACAACTCAAGGATGGCTTCTACCCCGACCCCAACAGTTGTTATCACTTCTTCAGATGCGTCGGAGGTACCTCATATCACTTTGATTGTCCCGTGGGACTCAAATTTAGCAAAGAAACCTCACAGTGCAACCACCCGAACTCGGTCAACTGCCAATAATTTATTCACCTAACATAAAGATACCACAGCCTTCGCTTACGACCAAATTGGTTACTAGTCAGCTTTAACACACTTCTATTCATGTACTTTGTATATAAACTCACATTACTTCATTGAAAAATGTTTATATAAAGTACAAGTTAAAGTACTTTGAGCCAATTGTTTTTAACTTTTTGCTTCGTACGATAATATATCTTTCTATATAATATAACATAGCTTGCTATACTATAATATATATAATGCGGACTACAATACATCTCATGAATGTTATATTTAGTCCATACACACTACAAAACCAGTCCAAAACGTACACATTACAGCGACAAGCCCCACATTACCTTTCCTCAACCCTACAATATCTTGTTTTAGGTTCTAAGAAAACAATGGTTATGCCCATAACACCCCGACCGGTTAGGAATCTTTAATTAGAAGCGGTTTAATTAAAACCTCGAGTTAATTCGAGCCTCTTAATGCCCTCAGGATTTGCGCGGGTTGCCAGAGCAACTGTGGGAAATGAGATCGCGGGCAGAGGGTAATGACCATGGTCCACCTCCGCGGCCTTATGGCCAAATACGAAGCCAGGTGAGGCCATCTGTCTCGATTATTTTGAGAAAATAATTTTATTTCGCGCCTTTTGCATGCCATTTTAACATGGTTTACATTAGATTAGCCTAAACTGGTTACCTTCGGTCTGATTTACTGCGTATTGCGAGTCGAGCTTTAAGGGGAATATATCAACGTTTAAGGTTAAAGATGAAACTTTAAAAATTCCACTACTATATTGTTTTGGTAAACAATTAGACGTACCAATTAAGTCAAAAAGTCCCTAATAACCGTTGTTTTGCAAGTTTAATCTCCTGTTGATGTTTTTTGACCTGACCAGACATGTTTTTTGAAATTATGACTGTGGTTTGTCATAAATCATTTCATTTACTTTAACAATATTATTCTGCTTGTCAATTTTAACATAATATAATTTTAAAGCATTTATGTTCTAATGGCATATTGCTTTATACCGTTGTAGGTAATGGACGACAAGCCAGTAAACCTAACATGGCTAACAAAAACCACAACATATCCGTTCGCTTTACCTTATTCTGAAGACAAAGTTACCAAAGTAATAAAAGAAAAGCCTACAAGTAGGCCGCCTCACAGTTTGGCCGTTCTTATTTACGAAACGTTCCGCCATCACCGTTCCCAACTTACTGTGTCTCAAATTGCTGACAGTATCGCTAGAAAGTATGATTACTATCGGATTCGAAAACAATGGACGGTAAGGTTTCGTGAGAAGTTTATTGTTTTAAATATGAAAATTTGGGGCCGATGAACAATCATTCCCCCAGCTACAGTCATTCCCCCAAGCGCAAAATCATTCCCCACAAAGTTAAGTTGAACTTAACTTGTACTAGTCCAGAACATTGGCACAGGTGAGAGCTGGCAACGACCCAAGTGTTGGAGCTGATGATACCATCGCGCGATGAGGGGCTGGAGAAGGGACCGGCTGACGACCTCGGAACTTGGCTCGAATGACGATTTCTGGGGAAATCGGTTGCTTTTATAGGGATTTTTTGCATAAACTTTGAAAGTGTAGACCTAGTTTTGAATAATGAATAGACTCAAAGTGCAATGGGAAAGTGACTAAGGGTTTTCTAAGTCTGGGGTATGATAGTAATACAGGTGGGGCATGATAGTAATACAGGTGGGGTATGATAGCAATACAGGTGGGGTATGATAGTAATACAGGTGGGGTATGATAGTAATACAGGTGGGGTATGATAGTAATACAGGTGGGGTATGATAGCAATACAGGTGGGGTATGATAGTAATACAGGTGGGGCATGATAGTAATACCGAGTGGGACACAACGGTTGTTTTTTTTTACTTTTTTGGAGATCACTGATTCCTTCGTAAGTTTGCGGTCCGACCATAATTCAGCAAACAAAATGAAAGAATGAGAAATTGAAAAAAAATCTTAAAATTTGAATAAGTGGGGAATGATTGTAGCTCATTTCCATGGGGCATTATTATTCACCTGCTGGGGAGTTATTCTTCATGAGAACCGAAAATTTTTAAAACGGTAAACAAATATCGTTTTAGATTACTGGTACAATTAGAAACGCTTTAAGCAAAGACCCAAGATTTAAAAAACTACCAAAAGATGGAGCAATGGGACGACGAGCAAACTACTGGATTCTAGACAACCCTTTTATGTAAGTTATTTAAATTACAGATGTAAAATGAATACGATAAAGAAAAATAACAATAAATTTTTATAAGACCTTGTAATAAAAATTCAAAAAAAAAAATAATTCACAAGGAGTACCCTTCAAAATACTACTTCAAGTTCATATTATAACTAAAATCATTGTAGTTGGCAAGAAATAATGAATGGAACAGCGCCCGAGATCAAGAATGATGCAGACCTACGAGTTGAACTAGCCAAAAGATACATAACAGAAGACATGGATCCGTTGAGTAAATACATAGACAGTAACAACAACCAATACGATGAGAGTCTGACAGATTGGACTAACCTAGAAGTTTGCAAATTAGGAGAGGGAGTAGAACAGGAAATTCAAGAGATTCTGAAGAGCAGCGACTTCTCACCTCAACACCAACAACATCCTTGGGCTGAGGATGTTAAGGTGGAAGATTGGATATTATGACATAATATGCTAGACTAGTCGTAGGTATAGAAAGGTAACTTTTTTAGCTAAATTGTAGACCTAATTTTCAAAAATAAGATAATAATTTATAGTAAACCATCGAGTCATTATCATACTTATAAAAAGTAGCACTTAAAGTTTAAATTGTAGTTTCCACAAAATGATCTTCATATCAGTCGTTCATTATACATAATGTACAAAGTCAGTGTATTGTCTCAAGCTTTTAGTATATTGTTATTAATATATTATAGTGGTACTAATTAATTCAACTTTTATAACTATGTTAGTGCTAACTGTTTTGAAATACTGTATATACATTGTTTTTACATCTTCCTTCTACAAACTACACCCGTTTGATTCGTTAATCATTTGTTGAACATACGACGCTACTATAGAATCTCTGTCTCGTAGCTTCGAGTAATGCAAGTAGAAGGGAGATTGCATTAAAACCTCGAAAGTCGGTCGATCTTTGTACTCTTTCGTCAAACTGTAAGTCTTTCATTGAGAGTAACATAATGTAGCATAAATATCATATAATGAGTTTTAAATTCGTATCTTTTCAATTTGGTGTTAAAGTTGTTTGAATTTTAAAAATGAAATTAAAATAATAAATGATATTCAAAACATACCATCGATTAACGAAAAGTATGGTAATTGGATTGTAACCATCACTCGGACTCAGAAACTGAGGATCACCGTGAACAACAAGCTCGATTTGAGCGAACAGACACTTTTTGTTAAAGTCTGGATAAGGAAACACACCTCGGGCTGTCTCAACCTATTTTTGTAATGTTAGGTAAAGTTAACTTATGACTAACATACCAAAGTAATGCCAAGACTCCACACATCAGACCGAGTATCGTAGCCTTCTACGTTTGCCATTAATCTTTCTGGCTACAAAGGTTTGAATTATAATGAAAATTTTAAACTCCCCAGGCTTCATATAGCCTTATGCATACCAAATAGCCAATAGTTAACTTACCGCCATATACGGTCTACACCCAACGTCTTTTGTCTTCGCCATAGAATCTTCAAGATATCCAGAAATCCCAAAGTCACAGATCTTCACCTTACCACGACAATTCAGCAAAATATTCGAAGGTTTGACGTCTGTAAACTTCACTATTAACAAAATGTCACTATTCCTATGTTATATAATAAATTATAAAACAATAATGTAAAACTGAGCCCAAAATAAAAAAATAATAAAACACATACCTCTATGAATAATGTGTTTCAACTTCTTTAGACAGTTCAAAGCATTTAGCACGGTCACCGCAATTACTCCCAAAACAGGTTCATAAAAAGGCATCTTTGTCGTTTGGTGAACAATTTTATATAATCGATCAAGAGAAATGTCCATTAGCTCCATGCATATCAAACAATCTCCCTAAAAAATGAAAAAAAACTAGTACTACTTCTACGAAAATCATTTTCAAAATCCACATAATGAAGAGTTAGTAAAACTTTAATTCAAAAAAACACTAATCCAACCTCATTGAAGGTAACGCCGTAAAATCGAACGACTTCAGGACATGTAGAGGCTTCTTTTATCATCTGCACCTCATTCTGTAGTTGCTGCATTCTTCGACGTGACTCCACATTTTCATATTGATTTGAAATCAATCTGACTCTCTAAATTCAGAACAATATAAATCCAAAGTCTTTCTTCGTAAGACAAATATGCTTCTTGTCAAATTAAACCATCCTTACTTTAACTGCCATCATGAACTTTGTTGGTATGTGCCTCATCTTACACACGATTCCAAATCTGCCAGCTCCGATTTCCCCAATATTCTGCAAATCTTCGTAGCCAAACGTAACTTCCCTTCCGACCCCTGGTATATTAAGTTTACCTGACATGAACATCTGGATGAATCGACTGAAATGAACAGAATAAAATTCTTTTTAAATATTATTAAATTACTAAAATATAAAATAATAATTTATACTTTTCAAATTCACGTATATATATATTTATTTACCTGTTAGAAATGTACTTGATGTCTTTTGAACCATCAGGAACAACATGATCGTCAGGTTCCTCCTTCAATGGACTTTGAAAATCTAAATCAAGACCGTCTGCATCCATCATTATACAAAATATACTTAAATTATTAAATTTAAGATGTTCTCAATAAACTCAGAGGCTGTGATCAAAAGATAGCTTGCAACGTTAGCGCTTATTTCTCAATACTAGCAATATTATTTACTTTTTCAAACCAAAAAAACATTCTCCACAATATGAAGTGTACATAGAATTTAAATATAGCTTTGTAAATAGTCAGAATAGAAGATAAACAAAATTTTCCGAAAATACTCCATCACGGGTGTTTAGACGCAAAAGAACGATTATCGCTAAGAAATTCATTTTTTCGGGCCAGGGCGCAAGTCGGAAAAATTATAAGGGGAAATGACATTTTCGAATATACTGAAAAAGTTAACACCGAAAAAAACAAAGTAATAGAGTATTTAAAAACTAGATTTTATAGTCTTTCAGATACTATTTAGCTCTATGTCAAAACAATGTTTCGTTTTTTCACAATTTGCATTCAAAGTCCGCATATTAGGGCAAAATACAGTGAAAACTGACATTTTCGAATATACTGAAAAAGTTAACACCGAAAAAAACAAAGTAATAGAGTATTTAAAAACTAGATTTTATACTCTTTCAGATACTATTTAGCTCTATGTCAAAACAATGTTTCGTTTTTTCACAATTTGCATTCAAAGTCCGCATATTAGGGCAAAATACAGTGAAAACTGACATTTTCGAATATACTGAAAAAGTTAACATCGCAAAATACAAAATAAAACTGCATTTTAATACTAAATTTTATGCTCTTCCAGATACTATTTTGCTCTATGTCAAAATCATGTTTCGTTTTCCCACAATTTGCATTCAAAGTTTGCACATTGGGCAAAAATACAGTAAAAGCTGACATTTTAAAGTATAGTGAAAAAGTTAACACCGCTAAATACAAAATAAAACAGCATTTTAATACTACATTTTATGCTCTTCCAGATAATATTTAGTTCTATGCCAAACTAATGTTTTGTTATCTCACAATTTGCATTCAAAGTCCGAATGTTGGGCAAAAATAAAGTAAAACATGACATTTTCAAATATACTAAAAAATTTGACATGGAATTAAAAAAAAGTGATAGAATATTTAAAAACTACATTGTATTCTCTTACCGGCACTATTTAAAACTAGGCAAAAATAATGTTTCATTTTCTCACAATTGGCATTCAAAGTACACCCATTGAAGAAAAATATAGTGAAAAGTGCATTTTTACCCTACCTGACATACCATACCCTATTCTACCTACTATGCTTTGCCATATCGTATATCATATCATATTAAATTGTATGTTGTCTACTATTCTCTACCTTACCTACCATACCATATTCTATACTACCTACCGTACAATACTCTACCGTATCCTGTACTACCACACCTTATATTTACATACCCTACACTATCTTATATACCATACTATACTAAATCATACCATACCAAACCCTATACTACCTACTATACCATAGTATCACATACCATACCTACTTTATCCTATCTGCCAAACTATATCATATCTTACCTTGTCTAATCTTATATTTACGACACTACCGTATACTATAATATTAACCCATTGGTAAGAGTTCAGTGCAAGTAAGTAAGGCAAGATAAGTGGTTTAGTATATACAAATATGTCACGGTATGGTATGGTAGATATGGTACTGTGGGTAGTGTAGGGTATGTTAGAGTATAATATGATATAGTATTTTTTGGTTTAGTATGGTAGAGTAGGGTAGGGTAGGTAGTATAGGGTGTGATATGGTACAATATAGTAGTATAAAGCATGGTAGGATATGGAATGTCAGTTAGTATAGGGTATGCTAGTACAGGATACGGTAGGGTATGATATGGTAGGTAGAATAAAGTATGACATGGTATAGTAGGTACGCAAGGTAGAGAATAGATAACATACGATATAATGGTACAGTATAGCATAGTAATTAGGATAGAGTATGGTATGCCAAGTAGGATGAGTACGATATAGTAGGTAGCATAGGGTATGGTATGTTAGGGTTTGTTCTGGAGGTGTCACTATTCCGGAAAGTGACCCAAACCTTTTAAAGATTGTGAAGAAGGTAACATGGCATTAAAAAAAGTAATACTGTATTCAAAAACTAAATTTTATGTTTGTTCAGATAATGTTTAGCGCGATGCAAATATAATATTTCAATTACTTAATAACTGCGTTTGAAGCTAACCTGCTACCTGCTATCCATTTCCAGCCTAATCGTTAGAAAATTGGCATTTTTAGCTATTTTACAAAGGTTAATATTGTCTAAAGCCGTGTAAAGCAGACCTATATCTACGTTTTGTTCCTTCTCTTATTAAAAATCCTTAAATACAAGTGCCAGTTCAAAAAAATATGCAAACAAAGTTTAAAGAAATACATCAAAATTCGCTAATAGGATTCCGCTTAAAAACCCCCGATATAACGAAATTTTTTAAATCCCAAGAAAAAATGCTTCATTAATTCTTGACTAAAAAATCCGGATATAATGAAATTCCCTACAGCTAACAGTTCTTTAATCACATTGCAAATTGCAGTTCGTTAAGTTTTAAAAAGTTGCCATCAACAACAAATTGTTTGTAAACAAACCTATAATATTTTCATTTTACGTCTTTTATATTATTTTTGTTTTATTATAAAAAGTTCATAAGCTGCCTGTGAATAATAGAGCAAACGTTCCTTCGTATAACTTGTCACTCGCGGGACACAGCGGCCCGCCGCGAAAAAAAGTCTAACGATAATGGAAAAACACCCGTGGGCCATGAAATTCACTTGTTTTTTTCTATTTTCGGCTTATACCATAATGCCAAACAATTTGCGAACGCCAAAAACCACTAATATGAAAAGTGCAGTTGCAAAGTATTGGGCGCAGTTGAAGAGAAAATTATTTTCGACAATAATTAACGAAAGGTTAGAGTTGAAAGGAAGCATGTTGGGAGCGATTCGTTTTGCACGGCATCTGTCGACGAAGGCGGAGAGACCTTTATTTAGATTAAACGAAAAGAATCCGTTTGTAGCTGTTCCACAAGCTTGGGTAACCAAGTTGAACGATGTGAATGCGGAGTTCTCCGAGATCATCGAGCTACATCCAGGTAGTCGTTTTTTGCGTTTTAGGAGATGGGTTTGATGTTAAACATTTGAGTAGAGTCAAGTTTTGATTATGTATTTAAATTTGGTGTATCGTTATTAGGTTTAATATGTGGTTTTTAAGTTTTGTGTTAGATTTTATTAACCTCTGGGGACAGTTTACAAAAATTATTTTAGAATATTAATTTATCTAACTTTTAAAGTTAATTAAGTTTTGTTTAAGATGTGTTCCGAGTTACTCCACGGCTTGACTTTATCCATAAGAATGTGGTATGGCAAACTAACTACAAAAATCTTCAACTGACAAAAATGTTGAACAAGGCAGAGATGCCTGGAGGTGGACGTAAACCATGGCCTCAGAAGCGTATGGGGCGACATCATGCTGGTTCAATTAGGTCTCCTCATTTTTCTCGAGGAGGTTTTGCTCACGGAGTTCGGGGACCAAGAACCTGGTTTTATATGTTGTCAGATGCTGAGAGAATTAATGGGCTAACGTCAACATTGACAGTAAAACATGCACAAGATGATTTGGTAGTAGCGGACACATTTGATGAGATTCCAAGTGCTGAACCACAAGTAAGAGCTTGATTTTTGTTGGTTTTTAGATAACAAACAGATAAAGTTGGCTGAATCGTAGAAGTTTTACTGAAAAAGGCTATAAATATTGTGTATTATAATTTGTTTTTGCATTTTTAAATATATTCGGTAGCTTTATATTATATTTTACAAATATATCAATAAACTTGTTATTTATCATATTTCAGTTCTTGCATGATCTGGCAGAAGAGCGCAACTGGGGATATTCGGTGTTGTTTGTAGCAGAAGACTTTGAAACGTCGTCGAATCTGGTCGATGCAGTTGAACAAATCCCTACATTCAATGTTATGCCATACTTTAGTATCAATCCTTACTCTATGATGAAATACGAAACAATAGTGTTTACAAAAGATGCTTTACTGAAGTTAGAAGACACACTTTTGAAGAGGCTACATTCTCCAAAGACACTACAAACTGTGTACGAATACAGGAAACTAAAGAAGACTCTTTTGGATGAGAGCGCACATGAAGAAGATCCCAAATATACACCATTTGTTTAGAAGATTTTTAGAGACATTGTTGTTATATAGGTATTTGTTTTTGTTGAATAAAGTTACAAAATTAAGTCTTTGGAGTTGATTGTATGTCGTGTGGTCGCTTATAATACCGTATGCTTTTGTTTTGATACGTTTTACTATTATGATTTCGAATATATTTTGTTTTACGTAATGTATAAATTTTTTAAAGCATTATCTTATAGTGCAGTAGGTGTAGTACTCATTTTTAGCCGAAATGGGTAACATTTTGAGGCGACATCGAAACTCAGTAGATGAACTCGAACAAATCCTAAAACATTTACACTCATACGAACTGCGATCACAAACACTGCGAAAAGGACGGTACAATGTTATGTGGTACTTTACTGCCTTGCTTCTCTTCTCTGTTACAGTATACTCGGCCATGAGTTGTATGGAATCAGATGACACAAGGTCAATGTATCAGAAGATAGCATTAGCGTGGTTTACAGGAATATTATTGTTTATGACTGTTAGATTCTTGTCCGGACGATGTTTCGACTTTTTGTTAGGAAGAAGTGAGAAGAATATTGTGAATTTGAACAATCGACGAACGCAGATTCTGGAGGATGTAAAGGAGAACGAGAAGTTTAATGTCGCAAAGGAAATTATTGAGAAATATGGAAGTGAACAAGATCTGGCAGAGATTGGAGTTGTTAAAGGTAGGGAGTTTACCTTAAAATTTAATTTTTAGATTGATTAATTCCACTAAATTATAAATAATATTTATTTACGTTTTTAGAACACATATAAACATAAAGGTTTTTTTTATTTTTATTAATAACTGTAACGGTTGGTTTAGAACCATCACCTGGTCTGAACGGTTTAAGACAGAATTCTAAAACCAAGCAGAATCTGAAGCGGCCAGCCCCACCGAAGCCAGAGCCGAAGGAAGAAACAGAAGAGTTTGCAAGACCAAAGACTCCAGAACAATTACCGCAAGCTGGAAGTAGTACTGATCTTGCGTTGAGGACGCCGTCGATGCCAATGAATAGGACATTAGGCTTAAGAACACCTATCATGAGGCAGCCGATCAGGCCGTTTGTTCAAGTCAGTAGGACTCCGATTGACAAAATCATCGATTATATTATTGGCGATGGACCTTCTAATCGGTAAGTATAAATTAGTACTAACTCGATGCACTTATGGAAAGAGCTACGATGTATATTTTGTATGAAATAGTTTGTATTTTATAATAAATCTTTTTCTATAATAATGTGTTTTAAAATTTTTTTTCTCTAAAATTGTGTTGTAATTTCAGGTTTGCCCTGATCTGCAAACAATGTCATGCTCATAATGGAATGGCGTTGAGGGAAGAGTTTGACGGCATTTCCTTCGTTTGTTACAATTGCCAGTTTTATAACCCAGCCAGGAATGCTCAGCCATTGAGGACACCTCGGAGATTAAACGTACAAGCAATCGAAGAGACAAAGCCTTTGATTCGAACAGCCACTAATACTGACTCATCCGTAGGTTTCTGAATCACAATTCCACGTTTTTAAGGGTTTTTACAGTTTTATGAGCAAAATTGAAAAAAAGTTTAAAAAGCCGTAGAGACACTAATACTGGTCGACTATTAAAGTTGGGCCTTTTTAGGACAATGACGATCAAGAACAAGAAAATTCGCAACAACCATGGGTATCAGAAACAGAATGTCCAGACAAATCATAATGTCTCATTCTTGTCGCATACTTATTTAATGGCCAATCAGATAATGCTCATCAGTATGAATTTTAACTTATTTTTTACATTTTAACTAAGGTAATACAATGATATGCCTGAAGTCTTAATAGTAGTTTAATATTTGGACTGGTACTTTATTTATTCTAAAAAGTTTTATATTTTGAATTTTATATTAGTTTATTAATTTTTGTCAAATCATAGCACGTATATGCCTCTTTTGACTATATTAATATGCCTCTTTTGACTATATTAGTATAATCGTAGTTCAAACTTTCGAACTTTTTTAACTGTTTCAAAATAGCTCAATTTAAGAACACATACTAGTACAATGTCTTAATTGTGAGTTTATTCTCACTCCACCAAGCATGAAATTGACAAATCGAAGATGTACGTGTTGTGTTAGTTGTTCATGTTTAGAACGTATTTGTCAGCCGGTTTCCGTTTCGGTCGGAAGCCGGATTCGCTGACAAATGGAGCTAATGCAGTAATGTAACGCTGGCAGTGTACTGTATTGTACGTTTCTTCGCATCTGAAGTATCTTGTTGTTGTGTTAGTTTAATTTTTGGAAGTAACTGTCATCTGGTACGGTACTGTTTGTAGTATGTTATGGTAGGAATGTACTGTACTAGATCTCTTGAAAATTTTGAGAAAGACTGATATTTATTTTCTTTTAGAAATGCTAAAAAGGTACTATAATACAGGTATGTTGATAGTATCGTTTAAATTTTAGCGGATTATTGGCATGAGATATGTTTGTAGATGTCTGCCTAGGATAATACGTATAATACGAAAGGGTTTTTTTTGTAATTAACTGGTAATAAATGTGTGCTTTTGTCATCTCACATGGGTCAAACAGTATTACTAGGTTATTCTATGTTTTTAGTCTTGGTCAAGTTGATGCAAAACGAATGGCACGTCTTGTCAGTATAGTTTAGTTTCAAAATCCGTTATTTTTGTATTAATCTATCTAATGTTAAAGTGTTTAATGTAGTTTCGTTGAAATATGGTTAGAAGGGCTGTAAATAAACATATTTGATTGATAACCTTGTAAAACGTAATTGGCATAAAAAGGCAAAATTAAATGTGGATTTTGGGTAAAAGTGCAATGTGAAATGGATTTGAATTTAACAGTTTTGAACTAAGGTTCAAATAGACATTATGAAATGCTTTGTTACCTAAAAGGAGGTAATTACAGAATATTTTTGGGAAAGTGATTATTGGACAGTAATTACAGTAAGTTAGTTTTTGTGCCAAAAAATATGTTATTGAGTCAAAAACATGGCAATTTTAAAATTTTTAAATTAAAATATTCAAATATAAAGTTTTGTTAGCGTAAGGCATCTCAACATCAGCAACCCAATTAAGATTACTTATTTATTTACGGACTACAAAATAAATAAAATAAGGTATACGTTTATTTACTCTCCATGTGACTAACGAGACCGTTTCGCAATAATGTTAAGTTCTGGCACAGTCATAACAGTTGGCTCAAAACAGTAAAAGATTTGGGGTTGGCGTCGGATGCTGACAATAATCTGAAGCTATAGTATTCATGATGATCCGGGGTTTAACGTCGCCCGAATCGGATGAATTCGAATTTGTTGCGTCTCTTCTCTGTGAATTTCAACTGGTTGGCTGGGATGCCTACGACTTGCGGTGTCTCGGGTCCTGGAATAGGTATGGTTAGTATAATAGGTCGTTGTGGTATGGAATGATCAAAGATTTTTTTGATTACAATATGGGAAGATTATTTGTATAAAAAGCTTTAAGAAAAAGTTAGTTTGTGGTCAAGAAGTATGTAGAATTTGGTCTGCAACAAACGTGCGCAAAGAGAGATGAAAATTTAAAAGGTATAGGTTGGTAACTTAGTTTTAGTATTTGAAAGTGATCTTTTAAGCTTATTTTTGTACTAAGGTTATTTGCAGAATCATACTATCTTAACTACGTTGTTCTCGTCCGATAATACACCTTATGCTTGTAGTTGTGTACACATGGAAAACATAGGGAGAAAAATATTTTTTGTATCCGTATATATACTTTAATTATTCTGCGACGAAAAACAAGAATATTTATTTACCTTCTTGATACACCTGCAGCATCTCTAGTGCGTTTAGTAGTTGTCCTTGGATCCGTGCTAGCATTTCGTCATTGGATTCCAATAGTTCAGCCTTGCGGGCTGTAATGACGCCGATTAGTACATGATTTATGGGATTTTAAAGTTTTATGGCACATGTCACATGATGTATATGGTGCCAGGATGTTATCAGAAACAGTTATGGTTAAGAATGGGAGGGAACTGGGAAAGATCAAAAGTTAAAATTTTGAGTTATCACAGTTTTAAACCAAAGATTAGAGATTTGGTGACAATGCCAAAAGAAAAATTATGGTTTTTTAAAGATTTTCACGCCTATTTACTTCTTTTTTAGGACTAAAGATCCTTGAGACAGCGTTAAAATACGAAAATAATACAAAACGTATTTTACTGTTCTAATTATGCTGACTTTAATATAAGTTATCCTTAAAAAGCAACTTTCAAAAATCAAAATAAAAGTTAAATAACCAATTTAAAGAACCAAATACCAGCCCTAAACCTACAGTGCGGTTTCTGTGCCGTACACAGGCCGGCGACTACCATGAGGGCAAGTACGACCGCGACAACACTCTTCATGGTTACAGTACTTTTGGCGGAGAGGAAAGTTGTGCAAAGGCTGAGGGAAAGCGGCTTCGAACACGGCTTCTCTTCTTTTAAATGCCGCCGAGGCCAAGGATCCGCCCCCGGATGCATCTTGACGCCATTGTCGAGGAAAGTGATCGTTACCCAGCCATTGACAGTCGACCTCTGGCCGCCACTGATGCTCCACGGAATCCGCGGCCGGATGTTTTAGTCTCCGCCAATTATGGCCGAAAGCAGTTCAAACTCAAACGATGATGGCATGTTTAGGAGTAGCTAAAAATGACAGTTTTCTTGGGGATGGCGTCACTTTGACCTTGTTATTATTTATGTTGTTACTTTGTTTTTTGATTTTTATGTAAAGTTAAAATGAGTTTTATAACTTTGTTGGTGTAGGCACGAGGATAAGCATAATGTACTTATATAAAACACAAAAAAAATAATTTATGCATTTGTGTAACATAAAAAGCCTCGAAACATACATATAACTCTACAACCAACTGAGCTTTGTGAAATCTATTTTTATGTTTTGATTTTAAACTTCAGGCAACTACTAATGTAAACATACATCAATTACACATTTCAAATCAAATTGATAGTGTTGTTTGGCATATTTTTTATAAAATCTGTCATACACAGCCACACACGACGTGTGTATAATACAATATATTGACAACGTTGTTAGACTTTACTATGGTTCAATAATATCAAATCAAGTGTTATAAAAGAAGTATTATTCTTTGTGACAGTAGTTGAGACGGTAATAGTCATTATGCCAGTAGCGATTACTATGAAATTACCGTTTATTGTGCTGTGAAAGTAATGGTCATTAGTAATACGACAATATTTTCAATTTACTGCTTATTTAATATTATCAATCTGGTCAAAAAAGCGTAAAGTTGTTCTTTATTTGGCAGCTTTGATGTCTAACTTAGGTTTTTACCTAGGTTAACTAAACTTGTACGTTCTTAACGCTTAGACGACAATACATTATACCTCTTTTAAAATGATGACATTGCAATTTATAAGACAGTATAATTGAGAAATGTATCGTTTAGAGTAAAATGTAACTACAGTTTACACGATGATATCAGCAAAAATAAGATTGAGTAAAGTAGCTGTAAACCGGACACTGTTTAAGTGAGACTGCGGAAATTAACTTTACATAAATCCTGTTATATTGCTTGCTATTCTTTATAAGCACAACAAAAATTGAACTCAAACGATAGTGTAAAAAAGATTTATTAGGTTTAAACAATGTTTCATACTATTAAGTGAGCATTTATAATTTTAAATTTAAAAAAGTGTGATCTAGCCAGTAATCAAAGATGCTTTTTGTCAGAATAACCTATAAAACAGTAAGAGGTACCACAATATTGACTCATCTAGTATGGTAACCTATTGTACTAGAGTAACTTCTACAGTATAATGACTTATTCGACCAATGTTACCTGTTCAAAAGAGTGATTAGTTTAGTAGGGTAGCCTATTCTAACAAGATGATCTATTTTGTTAACATTAGAGCAAACTACTCAGTAAAGTGACCTATTCGACCAAGATGACCTGATCAGTAAAGCGACCTATTCAGTAGAGTGACCTATTTCAATGAACACCTTATAAAATACATACCTAATTAATTCTATAACGTTGTGATATTCATACGACAACTATTTAATATGACAATCAAGCCTTTAATCTCATTTTTAAATTGAAACGACCAAACAACAAGAAAATAACAAATTACAGTCAGTTTATTTAATCTTATCTCTGCATTACAAATATACTGTAGTAGGGTGGGGATGGCGACGGAAAGTGATACATAAAGCATTCAGCCAAATCGGATGAATTCGTTCTTTCTCTTAACTAAAGCGAATATTTTATCGAGTCTCGACTTGGAGTACCTACCCATGGGCATTGTCTTCGTCTCGGCGGAGTCCATACTCCATCTGCAAAGGTGAAATGTCAGTTATGTAAAATTTAAAGTTTTATTAGGGTTAAGTGAATAAAAGTGGTTTTTTTTTAATTTGCGGGTTTGTAAAATGAAGATATTTGTTTAGAAAATTGTTTTTAGTGAGTGTTGTTGTTATTATAATAAGTTGAGAATCTCTACTTTTAATCCGGCAAAAAACACGTTTGAATTTTATTTTTAAAGGTAATGATTAAATTGCATATGATGCTTAAAACGTTTTTAAAGTTTAAACCTAACTCGTAAAAAATATTTAAAAATCACCTAACCACAATATTCGTGGTCTTTCCAACTAAAACACTATTTTTACTAGCTATTACTCTTATTTTTGAAAAAAACGAAAATAAAAATATTTAAAAAAAATCTTTAAGAATAAGCACTAAAACCTACCTATTGTAAGGTGCATGTGCCATTAAAGCAGCCACAGATCGTTTGCCAAATCGAATAAATTCGTTTTTCCTTTTGGCGACGGCGCCTTTAATTGGAGCTTGAAGTTTGATTATCTCTTCTAATTGATGAATCCTGTGTTCTAGGGCTAGCAGGTTATTCTGTAATATATTATAGTAAGGGTTAAAATAAAATACTTAACATTGATATCACATAAAAAATGGAGAAAAGGTAAATCTATTCCTGAAAAGCTTGATTTCTTTTTGTTCTCACGTTTTTGTGTCGACTATGTTCTAACAAAATAAAATATAGACCCTATGGTTTACATTACTTTACCACTATCGTTATTATGATACGACCAACCGTTTAATAGAGTGTCATATACTTATCCGCCACTTGCACTTTCTTATGATCAAAATCCTATGTCATAAACTACGCAGTAAATATGACATAAACACAAAAAAGTTTTGTATGATTTCCTTACAATAGTACTATCTGGCGTTAAAAAGTGCGATCTTATAATCACTTAACTAATACTATACGTCTTATTCACAACACTACGTTACACATACATCACAAAATTCAAGCAGTAGAACGGGTGAAAAGGTGATAGACAAGAAAAATGAATTTTCTCCTTTCTTGTTGATGAAGCTTTGTGTATCACAGACCGTATTATACAAACCAGTACAAAAAATCAAAAAAAAACTTTTATAAATCCCACCTCTACTTCACATCGGGACCAGCTGAGCGTCTCGAGATCAGCTAGCTCGCAGACCCGGACCTCCTCCTCCTGATATGCCTTTTGCGCTGATACGGAAGCCAGTACGAGGGCGAGGAAAAGCCGTAAGTGAAGTTTGGAGGACATGGTATGTCGCAGATTAAGCGAAGCCATCTCTCAGCCGTACACCTTTATATATAGCCGGTCTTTAACACGCGATCTACCCCCAAATCCCGCCTCAATTTTATTTGGGATGCAAATAAAATATGAATGCGGATACTAATTCGCGGAAATGATTGTAGTAGTTACAAAGATGTCATCGGATAACACCGGAATGATGAAAAATGATTACAGAATTGTTAAGGGAACAGACCCAACCTTGACGCTGTTGTGATCATCTGCCCATTCGGCTTTACAATGGCTCTTATACTTTTATGCTTTTAGCCGGGACAACCCATAAATGGCCTTTCAGAGGTTATGGCTACGTCCATTAGTCCCATGTTTCGACATAGCACACAAATTGAAATTCGTAGGCGTGAAATACGACAAACACTGTTCACTCTTATCCATGGCAGCAAACAAAATATTGCTGTAATCATCCGTCTAAACACTAAAATATTGAGAAAAATAGTCACATCCTTAAAATAACGTGGAAGATCCTTTCAAATCATTCCTAAACTTTATATAACAATACCTAAAACAGGTCTAAACGTTGTCTTAAATTAAAGAATATTTATTTCAAAATAGTTATGGTTAATGGTAAAAATAAATTACAAAAATGTAAGTTATAAACAATTTGGTAAGTTAATGTAGGTAACTGTCTTACTTCCACCGTAAAGTCAGTAGAGATCTGGACTAAATAGTAATATTGTGCACTCTTAAGCATCAACGGTTGCTTCGGCTGGAAATTCCAACGACTCTGAGCTTTCCTTCTTTTCTGATTTCGAATCTCCATCGGCTAAAAGGATAAATTAATTAATAAATTTTTGCAATCCGTCGTTTGACACTTCGTTTTTCCTTATTTTTTTTCAAAAGTACGCAGAAACTTACCAGTTGCAGCCTCCTCTGTTTCCATATTGTCTCCAGAATCCTCCTTCTCACCGTTCTCGTCGTTCTTAGTCAAAGCCGGTTGAATTTCGGTGAATCCACAATTGGGTGTTGGTGTTACGAATGGTCCTGGCGGAGGAAGTGGACTGGCTTTTGGTGCCAAGTTGGCATCCTTGTTGGTCAATCTCTGCAGGATCATTCTCTCTGTCATGTCCAACTTCTCCGTCACTGGCTTCTGTCTGGTCATAGCTGTTGGCAGCCGGCTGAGATCACTCTTCATTTCATTCAGCTGATCTTCAATTTGGTTCAAAACCTTATGCAAGACTGCTGCCGACCATTTGTGGCCTGAAGTCGCTTCTCTGGCCAAGCTCTGATGACTGTCGGCCAAACATTCGATCTCAGCGAACCTTTCGTTCAACTGTCCACTTGTGTCCTTTTCTCCAGGTATCGGATTCATAAGATTTACTGAGGAATCCAGATTCTCTTCGCCCATTTTCTTGGCCAAATTGAGGTAAGCAGCACGTCGAAGCTGTTCTTCGGAGACTAGAGCCTGTTCAAGCAGTTTGTAGCGTCTTTGGAGGAATTTGTTCTTGATTTCGACAAAGTTTCCTTTGCCTTGTTCTCTTTCGAACGGTTTGTTGATGATCGCGAATCTGGGATCAGCTTGGACATCTTGATAACGAGCGTAGCCGTGCCTGAAATATTAACTTATATTATGTTTTTGTTTAACCGTTTTGAAAACAAGATGTAGAAATTTTACAGTAAACAAATTTCGTAATAAAATATTCATTTTATGCTCAAAACTATGACTTCAACCGATAAATACTAAATTAATATAACGTAGTGCAATAAAAAACACCTAATCTCGATACGAATATAACACTAGTTATTATGCAACCAGTAATGATCATATCATACTCATTACAAAGTCAGTTAATTGTAAAATCATGATACATTACTGATTATATCATTCCAAACTGATTATATAGTCAGTTAATTGAGAAAGCGGCCTAATACCTCCAACTTTACAGCAAACATTTGACATAATCTTACATAGCGATGCCTGCCAACAGCCAGTAATCGTGTCTTCTGTGCCATATCTCGTGAATATTGTTGGACAAAGCCGCCTTTTCCTCGTTAATCCATAATGTATGCAGTTCGGTGAATCCGCCGTCAGCGATATTAAACATAAATTTGTGCTTCTTGGGCTTCTCCTTGACTTCCTCGTTTTCTTGTGACGATTCCTTTGACTCTTCTGGTTCTTTCTGGTCTACTTCCATCTTTGTATCCTCTTCTTTTTGTTCTTCTTTGACACTGCCTTCTCTGACAACTGGAGTTCCGTCTCTTGAAGTTGTTTCAGAATTGGGTATGGATCCTTCAACTGATTCTGCGGCCTTTACTTCAGTGACTTGATCTTTCAGTTCCGGAATCGACCATTCACCGTTGACGCCTTCAAACTCCTAAAATAATATTTAAGTAAACAAAGCGTTATATAATATTAAGTGTTCCATCTCGAGTCAAAATTCCAATAATCTTACCTGAACCTTCTTCCTAATCATTGACATCAGTCCAATGCGATTCAAGACATGACTTCTGTTCACGCCTTCCCTTGGACACCCATCACTGAATGTGTCGGCTCCAGAATCCGGTTCACACAAATGTCTCAAGAACAGAGCTGAATAAGCCTTGAAAGCTCTTTCGGACTTAGATTTGATATCCCTAACGAGCCATTGCGCTTGATAAGCATCCTGAGGTGGTAATCCCCAACGTGTAACAGCATTCAAGAAGCCTCTTCGTTGTCGTGCCGTGAAACCCAGAACTTCAATTTGACCGTTAACACGAGCCAGAAGTGGAGGCAGCTTTTCGCCGTCGTCCTTCTTCTTCCGACGTCGTTCTTCTCGTGCTGAATCGAACTCTTCGTCCTGATTCTCGTCGTCAGTCACGTTCTCGTCTTCTGAGAAGGAATCATCGTACTCTTGGCCGTCTCCACTTGGAATCTGCCAGTTGTCGCTTTGCATTTGGTCGTTGGCATAGTTGACTTGTTTTCTTACTCTCTTGCCCTTACCCAACTTCTGTGCTTCGGTATATTGTTCTTGTTCATAATGATGTCTCAACAGCTTCTCCCAATACTCTGGATCTGCTTCTTGGACTTCTTCCTTCAGTACTTCTGTGTCATCGTCTTCTTCCTCGTCTTCATCAGCTTCTCTTGTCACATATTGAGCTACTTTGAATGAACTGAGGTATTCGTTAGTCCAGTGTTCCTTCTTTTCTGGTGCTTGTTCGTCAGCTGGACCTCCACGATCCAGAAGAGCTTCGACGGCTTCATCGTCCCAAACAATTTCGTGATCATTGTCCTTCTTATCTTTGTCCTCATTCTCCTCGTCTTTGAACAATTCTTCTGTTCCCCATCTTAACACATCATCAAGTTCGGTCTTTGACATGGAAGGTCCTTTCTGGCCGATACCTGCTCGGACGACCAAGTGAGTCAGCAACATCTTCTTCTTGGCTACAGATGTAATTCTTTCTTCGACCGAGTTTCTAGTAACAAATCGGTAGATCATGACCTTGTTTTGTTGACCAATACGATGAGCTCGAGAGAAGGCCTGAATATCATTGTGAGGATTCCAGTCAGAATCGTAGATAATGACAGTGTCAGCTGTCGCCAAGTTGATACCTAGACCACCAGCTCTGGTCGATAGCAAGAAGATGAACTGTTGAGCATTTGGAGCTAAAAAAAATTATGTCTGTTGAACACGTACTTAATTATGTAACATAATATAAAAAATTAAAAACATACCATTAAACCGGTCAATCGCATCTTGACGTAGCTGTCCAGTGATACCACCATCAATTCGTTCGTATTTGTAGCCCTCAACTTCACACAAATCCTCCAGAATGTCCAACATTCTAGTCATTTGTGAGAAGATCAGTACACGATGACCTCCTTGCTTCAGTTTTTGTAACATTTTCTGCATCAGAACAAACTTTCCAGCAGCTTTCACCAAAGCATTACCTTCATAAATGCCGTTTGGTAGCTTTGGAGCTTCCAAACTGGCTTTTGCGAAGAGATACGGATGGTTACAACACTTCTTCAACTCCATGATAATATTGACCAAAGAGACTTGAGTACCTCCACTTTTAACACTCAAGGCTTCAAAGTTCCTCGTCAATATATTACGGTAGTACTTCTTCTGCATTTGACTCAATTCGACACGAACGATCAGTTCGCTCTTTGAAGGCATTCCAGTCAAGACATCGGCTTTCAGTCTTCTCAACATGTGAGGGCCTAACATACTGTGAAGCTTCTGAATCTGGTCTTCCTTCGAGATTTCGGCAAATTCTTGAGTAAAGGATGACAAGTCACTGAAAATATAGCATTGTAGTCGATTCCAATTATTCTTTTTTTACTACCAAAAATCAATAAAATAATAAAAAAAGTTTAAAAATTAAAAATATTATCCACAACTTACTAGAATCTGTCCGGACTCAAGAAGTTCAACAGATGAAACAATTCTTCCAAATTGTTCTGCAAAGGAGTACCAGTCAACAGCAACCTGTAGTTGATCTTAAACTCTCTCAAGGTTCTGAAGAACAATGACTGGTTGTTTTTAAGACGATGAGCTTCGTCTACCACCAAAGCTCCCCATTCGATACTTGACAGGATGGCCTTGTCCATGTTGATGAGTTCGTACGAGGTTAGGAGAACATGGAACTTGATGCCTTGCTCTGTTTTAATCTTCTGAGCCTTTGGTCCTCCACGAACAGCTCCTTCGACAAACGAAAATTCGTGTTCTCTGAAAGAAAATAACTTTAAATTGAAATTGAATATCTAAATTTAACTTTATTGTTCGATGGCTTGATGATATTCTAATGTATTTTGCCAATTATTATCCTAAAAGGGCCCTAAATCTACTATTGAACCAAACCTTACCTAATCACCGTTCTGCTTTCCTTATCACCAATATAGGTAACAACATAAAAGTCTGGAGCCCAGAACTCTGCTTCTCTCTCCCAATTAATCAAGGTTGACAATGGAGCAGCAACCAAGAAAGGTCCTTTGCACAAACCCTCCTTCATCAAGGTGTATAAGAATGTCGTTGACTGAATTGTTTTGCCCAAACCCATCTCATCAGCCAGGATAGCATCAGTGCCATGAGCCCAACAATGTCGCAGCCAGTTGATACCTTCTAATTGATAAGGGTGAAGCTTGCCACCAGTTTCAGTTATGTAGCCTGGTTGTTCTTCGTACTTCTTTTTCGGCTAAAATGGTCACTTTATTGATTTCAACTTATTGAAATGCACGGTGCAGAAAGAAAAGAAATTTATCTGCACTGTGCAATCCCTTTTTAACTCATTGCACCGTGCAGATATCCGCAGCATTGTTGAGAAGACTGCACAGTGCAACCAAATCAAGCCCTGCACCGTGCAATCGTCGCAAAAGCCCCTTTACTTGCGACAATCACAAAAACCTTGTCGCAAACAGTTCATTGAACAAAACAAAAGCATTTGCCGCAGCGACAACCACGACGAACATCAGCATCGCCTTCAAAATTAAGCCGCGACACCTTGTCGCTGAGGTTTGAACTCTGCGACAATTTGATTTGTTTTGCGATTTCTGAAGAGACAAGCAATTGTCGCTGAATTTCCCTCAATTTCAAGAGCAACAACAACGTTTTCAAATCCTTGTCCAAAAAGAACGACAAAACATCGCAACTCCAAATTCAAGAAAATCGCTGTCGCTCCAAACTGAAAGAAACAGTGCGACAAGAAGACAGTTCTGCGATAATCGTTTGCACCCTCAAGTGAATCAAGATGTCGGATACAGTGCAAGTCCGCGACGAACATTTTGTCGCTTTTTAGAAGGCGATGCAAGTTGCACTGTGTTCATTGGAATGATCGCGACATCATTTCTTAAACTGTCGCAAGTGAAAAAAGTTTTGCGACAAGCTGGGCTTCTGGGGACTGCACGGTGCATTGAAGGAAGTCTGCACAGTGCAGCCGGCCAAACAAGGGCGGTTTTTGCACTGTGCAAACTTTTATTCAAGACTACACCGTGCGGACCCTTTATTCCAGATTGCACCGTGCAAACCTCTAATTATGGAATGCACTGTGCAAATCTTTATTTATTTTCCGGAAAAGACAAATAAATTTAAACATTTTTCAAAATTTAAATATCAAAACTACCATTTTTCATTTTCAAACTTGTTTTTTGATCAACTTACATCAACAGTGCTCTTTGCCTCTTCTTTTCTTGTTTTACGCTCATCTTCAAGGTTGAGAAGCCCCTTTTCAGCTCTATAAGCGTTAATTCTTTTGGCGACATGTTTAGGTATAGGCTCGTTGATCATTCGTTCCCTGTGCATCCAGTACTTCATGATGGCTTCGTCAAAGTTTGGTATGTCAAAGTCGTCGCTTTCCCAAGTCGCTTGTTCGTATACCAGCTCCCTCCACTTAATCAGGTAGTCGTACTGATTCTTGGTGTACATCGAGTGATTGATGATGCGATGGATCTGCATCCATTCTGGCTTGATTCCGTATCTGTAGAATCTGTACTCCAAACACAAAGGATCCTTTTCCGTAGGCTCTGATGGTACATCTTCGACTTCTGGAGGGTTTTCAGGGTCTACTTTACGCCAGAACATTCGTAACGCTTGCACGTAGTACACTTCGAGCACATACTCTGGCACCCACTCACAATGCCAGTAGCTCATGTACTTCCATTTGACAAACAGTTCACGGTCTTTCCGTGGCTCCAGTTTCCTCGAAGGCTTCAGCATTAACCTCTTTCGGCGTTCTTCCTCGATATTCTCCATAGTTTCTCCTTCCTTCAGCAAATATTCATCGCCTACTGGCTCTGGATAATCGTGAAGCTTCCATCTCCAGAACAGAAACTTCTCTGGTCGATTCTTTGGCTCTGGAGCTGTACATCGAGGACACGCCCAATGTTCTTCAGATGGAGGTAGTTCTTCCAATGGTGGATCTATACAGTAAACATGATAAGAGCTTGGACAGGAGTCACAACATAAAATAGATCCACCTTCTTTGCATGCTCTACAGTACTCCATGTTCCCTTTCTTTTCTTCGATTTCTTTTTTAGGTACACCCTCAGTCTCACAATGAGGACATGACCAGTCTCCGTTTGGTGCTTCTACCATGTCAGGATCTACACATACTGTGTGGAAAGCTCGTGGACAAGTGTCGCAGAGTAAGAGCTCTCCGCCTTGTTGACAAATCTCACAGTAGTCTTGCTCTGGCTGAAAGTAAATAAAATATTATGAATTAGCTTAAGCCATAAAATATTAAATTGTGATAAAAGTTTTATCATAAAACTACAACAATAATGTAATTTTAGTATAAGTTTAAACCCTTACCAAGTCATCTGGTCGCTTCTTCTTCTTTTTAGCTGTTTGAGCAGCTTTCCGAGCAGCTCGTCGTTCTTCTTTCTCCTTTTCAGCTTCATCAAGTTGTTTCTCATGAGCTTTTAAAAGATGTTCAAACTCTTTGTCACTGTCCACTGAAATATTAAAATTAAAACTTCATTACCAATCTCAATCTACAGCAAACTGTACCCTAATATTTCCTAAATTTGTAAAATATAAGCAAATTCTTACAGTCGTCTTCGTTAGTCTTCTTGCTTTTTCTGTTAGATATTCTAATCTTCAATGGAGCCACCTTCTCATCCTTAGGCTTGGCACCTTTCGCTACTCCTCTGGCGGCTCCAATATCTTTAAACTGGTTATACTTAGCTGTTACATATGGATTCATCTTTGTAACGTTCCAAGAAGGATTTGCTTCCAAAAATTGACCTCTGAATCGTTGAGCGTACAACTAAAATTAAAAAGTGTTTAATATTACCTAAAATATCCATGTGCAAGAAAAAATATATAAAAGAGTCAAATTCTTCAAGTTTTGATTATAACATTACCTAAATCAAGCAATTTAAAAAATAAACACAGTTAGTAAGACAAGTATACCTTTCCATTAGTAACTTCAAGAAAATCCTCGTCAGTATACTCAATGTCAACATCAACCAATCCCATCTGTTCACAAATCTCAGGAATCGGCAGGTTTGTAACATCAATTTGTCCTTTCTTTCCTTTACCCTTCTTTTTCTTTGGCTTACGACCTCTCGAATTTGACGATGATGGTTTTGCATCTAAAACAATATCCCAATAAAATCATTGTTTTACGCTGTAAATATCCCAAAGATAAAAAATTTCAAGTGCACCTTGCAACCTTGAAACTCTGTAACAGCAGCCGCAACCCACAACTAATGCCCATCTGCATTAACAGAGTTCATACCTAAAATCATAAGAACTCAAGAGAAAGAAACCTTACCATTATCACCACCATCACCCTCGTACAGAGCTTCATCAACTTCTTGTTCTCCATCGTTGCTTATGGTCTCGTCCATCTGGTCCATTGACTCCTCCTGTTGAGAAACTTCGCTCGTATCCATCAATTCCTCCGACATTTTTAGGAAATGTCGTCGATCTTGACTAAAATTTTAATTCATTTAACTTAAAAACTAACAATGTTTCATACAACCTTCTTTAGCAAAAAAAATACTTTACCACACCGTTCCAAATGTTCTCAGACGTTATTTTAGAACGCTAAAATCGTTAAAATTAGATAAAACGCGCGGTAAAGATCGTCTGAAACCTTTTAAGAAAGTCTAGTAAAACAATATTAAAATTTGTAAATCTGACAACTTTAAAACGCTAAAAATAGTAAACAGAAAGTCCTAAATTTCAACGAAAAACTTGAAAAAACCGAAGCGTCGCGCAAAAACAAATCCATGTTTTATGACGGAATTTATAAAATGTGTCATCCCTAACTTGATTTTTCTGAAATTTTTATAGAAAAAACGAAAAATTGTAGAAAAATCTTTATATCGTTTGTTTTTCACTCAAAGCATCGAAGTAAATGGATTCAGAAGCTACAGTACAGACGTTGAAGGTAAGTCCTAGATTTTTGTCGTATTGGACACTTTTAAAATATATTATCAGTTTGGAGATGTTCATAAAAAATGATTTGGTAAAGTTTCAAAAAGATCCTTCTGCAAAAGTTAGGTAGGAGTTTCTCTATGGTTGTTCGTAAATAAAAAGTCTTCTTACACTTCAAAGACTAAAGATTCAGACACCAGTAGCCATCGGGCCAAAAGATTTTGGTTTCCGCAGGTCCGAACTCGAAGATTTTCTTAAGAAACAACCTAAAGTGACTTGAAATTAAATTTAGAGTTATGAACAAGGAAGATAAAGCCGGGTATGAACGCCGTCTAAATGGAGTTCAGTCAGTCCCGCATCCTCACTCCGACGCGCCACCTCGGCCCCAACAACCTTTCCTCCTCTTATTGCATGCTTTTCGGACATTCATCCGTTTCTTCTGTTGTCTTTTCGCAAATATAAAATTATTTGCCATTAAACCGCCCAGCATAACAAGCTGTCATTTATGGGTGGATACAATTTAACGTTGACTTTACAAGTTGGCCTTAATGAGGTTGGGCCGAGGAGAAAGGCGTGTTCTAGAGGTAGCAACGGCTGAAATACTGCAACAACTATATTAAGTGTGGTATATTAAAGGAATTTTTTTCATTTTAGTTTTTGAGTGCTTAAGGTACTTCATATTTAAATAAAAGTAAAGAAACAATACCAGCAGACACTAAAACCCTTAAAATAAACCTTAACGATGCCACTATTATTGATAAAAGATAACCAAAAAATAAGAATAAGTTGTCTTTATTGTAAAGTTTGTCGAGTAAAATACAAAATAAGCCCGCAAAATAATTACAAACGAGCGGTTACATTGTAATCAAAGTTAGAAACCATATGCGCTGGACATGTTGTTTTCTGCTGCGTTTTCTTCTAGGATTCGAATTCGGCGTTCGTGTTGTCGGATTACGGCTTTCATACGTTCCAGAGTTTGTATGAGTTCATCCATCGACCCGGGGACCTAAAACGTGAAGTTTAGTTATTGTTTATGGGCTGAATTTGGTCATAAAGTAGTCAAGTTTGTCATTTTCAAGACGTTTTAGTTGACTTTTTCTAGGTTGTCGACTAAAATATGGCGTGTTCAGAGCTTCTGGTTTCATAAAATCTTCCCACTACATTATAAAACTATGGTAATAATTATATAAAAGATAGAAAGTAGAAGAACCGCACCTCTCCGCCGCCTTGAGTCTGGCTGGAACTCATGCTGGACCGTCTCGAATCGGTTGGCGTAGCACTGGCTCGGTTGGCCGACGTCGTACTGGCAGTGAGGGTTGAGCGAGGGCGTGGCGGGATCTCCTCCTCTGCTTCTTGTTCATGACGAGCTTGTTCTCTTCTGATTCTGTCCAATTCCGCAGCTGCCCGCTTCTGGCCGGCCGTGTTCGAGCCTCCCATCATTGAGTCACGCTGTTCCCGTGATCTCAGCTGGATCTGTAGAAGTGTTGTTAGTCATGGAAAGGTTAAAGGTTGTCAATAATGTTGAGTAAACAACTTGAAGTGGTTATTTTTGGATTTTCGGAAAGTGATGACAATTGTCATTTTTTGTAAAAAGGTATAGATAAGAGTTTTTATAACTGTAATTTTATTTAAAAGTCACTCTTTTATATTGCATTAGCATTAGAAGTTTTAGTATTACTAAATAGAGTACTTACTTGTTGGCGAGGAATCATTGGATTGGCTTCTTCAGCTGGTTTCTCCTTTTCAACTCTTCGTGGAGCTGGTGCTTCTCGTTGAACTTCACGTTGAATTGGAACGATGCCTAGAATAAATTGTAGAACTTTTTATCAATTTAAAAAGCCTTTTTAACAATTGAAAGCTTACCAGTATCATCGTCATTCCTTGGAGCCGCTCTTTGAACTGGAGCTTGTCGTTGCTGTGGCGGAGCGGCCGATGGGGCTGGTTCATTTTGGCTTGGAGGAAGTTGATTCAAAATATTGGCTTTTCTGGCTACTTGGATCTTTGGCTTGGCTACAGCGGCTTCTGGGTTTACTGGTACCAGTTTTGGTGGAGCATTGGCTCCTTCGGCCCAAGCTTCGGCCGTTAAAGCTGGTTCAGTACTGCGAGTGTCGGGGTACAAATCAGCCTGCCACAAGTCGCTCTTACGAGGGACAAAGAATTGGAGGTTGTCAACGACACCTTTTGTGGTGACCTTGTACATTCTAAAGTTAGAGTTGTATTACTGTGTTCCAACATATATTGAAAAGAAACGTCAGTATAAAGTAAAAATACCGTGCAATCTCGTTTTCTTTGTGGTTTAATCCGCGCTTTGGCATGAATCCGATACCTCTTTGAGGTTCGTTAGTACTGTAAGTGTTGATGTAGTGCACATACGGTGGGTCGTCGTTGATTTCATAGTAAAGTATAGCACTTCCACCCTAAAATAATTTTTTTATTTCTTAGTTAGTAAATTAGGTAGCATTTTTAGCATTCTCAGTACTGTAGTTATCATACAGATATTATTATTGCCAGGCTACAACAGTTACAGAAATGAATCTTTATTGAGCGTTCAAAACTTACCTTTCCAGCCACATACATGATGCTACTGTCTTCATCGTAGTATGGAAACAGTACTCCATTGCTAGTATCAATCTCTTCTTCGATCAATGGCTGAGACAGGTTTTCTTGAGCTCTCAAAGCATACAATCGTTCAGAACGTTTGGTGAAGCCAGTAGTGAATATTCTGTCACTATTAACAAAGACGGCACGTTGAGGTCGGATACCTTCGTGACCTTCACCTTCGTGCAGAATCTGACCACTGTGAGAATCGAGAATACGAAGTTTACGGTCTTTACATGTTGTGACGAAGCGGCTACCGTCGTAGTTGAAACCAATAGACCAGATTTGGTCTGGATGGCCAGCAATTTCAATTAGAGCTTCGCCTGTTCCGACGTTCCAGACTAGGATAGTGTTTTCTCCACCTAAAAAAGAGATGGTACAAAGATTTTAGTACCGTAATGTAATATCAACAGTGATACTCTTCCTACGATATACATATAGTCCAAGAAACATATAAACCGTACCAGCTGTGAACAGAATGTTATTGGCAACCGGATGCCACTCAATTGTGTTGACACGTTTTTGATGACCCGCAAGTTCAACTACTGGTTCAGTGAGGTTTCGTACTAGACCTCCTTTTGGGATCAGCCATACTTTGGCCGTGGTGTCTTCTGAACAACTGGCAATGACGTGGTCATTGAAAGGACTCCACTTGATCTCCAGACAAGGAGCTTTGTGAGCATCTACGAATGGACAGTCCATCTCAATTCTGCCGATCTAAATAGTGATTTTTGTTGATTTTAATAAGTATATTTGTATTATTGTAATTTAGAGATTTAATGAGCTTCTTGGTAGTATTAAAACCGATGATAGTTTATATTACTTTTTCTTTTAGGCTTGTTCCTCTAATTTTTTTATAAGTTGTTTAGACGTTTCATATAATAGGAATGCCAGTTGTTGTTTTCATGGCTTGTGTATCTTGAACTTTCCCGAATCTCAAAGGGATAAAAATGTTATGAAAGAGCAGTCTGATCAAGAATAAAAAATAATCCAAAAACAAAAGAAGAAAATTAGTATGGTCAAAAAGTTTGTAGAAAACCCTTATTTTACACCTAACTTATAGTTATTTTTTGGTTAAACTAGTACAAGATATAGTAATACAAACTCCAAAAGCTAAAAAAATACTTTACAGAGGCAATACTTACTTTGTTAACCGGCAGCACCAAGAACGGACCACCAGCACCTTTGTGTATGATGGCAATAAACTTTGGGTTCACGGCACAGAACGGCGAATCCCACGTGATTTCCGTGATTCTGATGTCGGACATGCAGTTCTCATGCTTGACCGGCTTACAAAAGACGTGCCGAAACTTGCTCTGGCGTACTATACTCATTGTGGATCAAGTTTTAGTACTAGGGTGACAATGTAATAACTTCAAAGTAACCAACTACAATACTGGTCGATTTTAGTAGTAAAGGACCAGTATTATTAGTACTGAGCCTAGTATTAGTGCTTGTCCGAGAATAGTATCAGCCGATCAGTAGTCTTCGGCCGAGAATAGGAGGACAAACGGGATAATAACGAAAAAGCGCCGACTCTTGAAGCGGTGGGCGGTGTCGGGACGGCCAACTTGATCAGGGCCCGAGGGGATATAAGGTGGGGGTGATTGAGGACACGGGCTTTCTTTCTCAGCTTCTCGGATCCCAAACGCTGCTCTCGTTATCTCTCACCGGGTTTCGGGGCTTGATCCGATCAGACGGTCCGTTGCACTTTTTATGCATGGCCCAGAACCTTGGCCATTCCTCGGTGTTATGAACGTAGGAGAAACGAAAAAACAAAATAAGGCCGAGCCGAAACGTCATCTGCTCTTGACCGGCTCATGTATTATATGTTGTGGAAAGGTGTTTGTCATTGTCCGTTCTTTGAAGACACAGTACGAAGGAGTACTGCCGGTTGTAATAGTTATGGTGTAAAGAATATGCGTTAATGTTTGATGGCATGTCATGAGTTTATTAAACTACCTTAGTATATAATCTGGGGTATGACAAACTATAGCCTTTCTTTCAAGCATGCTACAACATTATTTATTAAGGCATGGTATTTTTATATAACATTTATTGTTATAATGTTATACTATAACGATGACAAATTGTATGTTTGAATTTTGCGTAAATTAGAGAAAATTTTTTTGAAAACCATGTTAAACTAGTTCCGTATCATCTTTTCCTTTCTTCGTTCCACGTGAACTGCTAGCACATGAGCAAAACAAACGAGCTACTGCGACTTAAAGTTTGTCCAAGAGCGTCGGAATCTCGAGACGCAATTGTACACTCTTCTTTTGTCAGAGGGTCAGAGCGGGGTTTGAACAACTTTGAATGACCTCATGTTCGTTACTTCGTATCTTGTAAATGGAGATCCTACAGCTGTTGCTACTGTTATTGCATGTTGTTGTTGTTCATGGGAGTCGATGTTATTTGTGTTCGAATATGGATGTTAAGCAGGTTCTTAAAAGTATACAGGACACGAACTGGAAGAGTTGGTTGAGTCAGGCCATCTCAGATCCAAAAGTGAATGAATGTAATGATCCGTTTTTGGTAAGGTTAAAGTTAGCTTACTATTGCCATTTAGCCTGAAATAGCCATCCGTGCTGGAGCCAAAAGTCAGGAATGTGAAGCCGGTTCCTGCTTAAAGATGAGTATCAAAGAAAAGTCAGGGAATAGTTTTGTGTGGAGAAGTTGTTTACCCGACTCAAAAGATTCTGTCACAACCGACTGTACGAAAGTAACAACAAGGACAGGAGATCTTGAAGTCTGTACATGTTTAGGTAACCTATGTAATCATGGAAGTACAAAAACCACCTCTTGCTATTTATTAATGCTCATTATAATAATTCAGTATATATTACAGTAAATTATAATACATGTTAACTTATAATTTATACGGTAACACTCATCTGACAATTGACAACTATAAAAAAAGACGTCCGAACTCAGGATTGAAAATTTATTACAATATTACCAAACTGTTAAGTCAACAATTAAAAACAAAATAAGTGGCATGTCAGATCACAATCGAGGAATCACTTGTCTTTCTTGGTTTCATCTGCTTTCTTTGCATCTTTGGGTTCCTTGAGAGCCTTCTGTTCTTTCTCTTCTGATTTCTTTTCTGCTTCTTCCGATACTCCTTCTGGATGTTCAGCTGAGGTTCCGAACTCGTTCACACGAGTTGGATCAACTGGGTAAACCCATTTTTGGTAAATGTATATCTGAAAAAATATTTAATTATTAGAACAAATTGTTTATTATTGTGCATAATATTACCAATTAAAAATTACAATATTAATAATTACAATGACAAGTCACTTTAAAAAAGACTTACCAAGAAAATAATGTCGTCCCTGAAGCAACCCAGCCTGTACATAGTTGGCATTTTAATCACAAAAGCAAAGAGATCATCTATGAAGGTATTTATAAACTTGTAAGTCAACATTCTCCACGGCAAATGCGCCACGGACTTGAGTTTGTAGTTGATAAAGAGCTGAGGCGTCATCATAATAAAGCCAAACATTAACAAGAATCCGTACAACATTCCTAGCACCCAACTGTACCATCCTCGTTGTTCTTCGTATATCAACGAGTAGACACAATAACATCCGAGAAGTGGGAACAACACCCAGGAGAGGTATTTGAAGGCCAACTGGTCGTATTCCTTGGTAGCTGACTCAACATACGATCCTTTGTCGGAGAACTTGATCTTGGGAATGATACCAAGTATCTTGTCGTCGTATTTGATCTCTACATTCAGACATTTAGGTATCTTCCACATCTCGATCAATAACCCGAACCCAATCGACATCTTGATCACAAAACTAGAGTCGTTGTCGCAAATGTACAAGAATACGATCACCGATTGGAAGATGTTGAACAGAACCGACCGAACTGACAGACCTTCCAATGACTTTCTGGTTCTCCAGAATTGAATATCGTTCTTGAAGGCAAGAAATTCTAGCACGGTGTGTAGAACAGACACAACTACTGTAATACCAAGTAACCAAGGCGACGTTTCTAATAAAGCTTGTTTGATGGTATCTTGATCATCATCGTTGTCCTCATGTTGTTCACCCAGTAAGTGAGACCATTTGCTTTGTTGCTGAAATGCAAATAATATTAAAAGAGATTGTGTTTAGTTTACAAAATACTCCATTTTAAAAAACTTCAAAATGTGTTTGAAAATTTATTTCTAATAATCCTACCTTTTGAGAAGAATACAGCTGAAGTTTAAACAGTGAGATCGGCGCATAAGTAATGGTCAAGTTCAATTGCTTAACAGTCTCGTTGATAGGAGTATATTCACTACCGAGATTCCAGTAGTCATTAAAGTACAAAGTCGGATAATAATCTAATCCTTCTGGCGTAAATCTGATCAACTCGTCCAATGGGGATGGAATCTGTCCCTTGGTCCATCTACTTTGATCATAAACAACACTGATCGTGATATTTGGATGCCAAAAGTTTAACACTTCGTATTTCACCTTGGCCGCCTTCTTCTGGTCTTCTTCACTCTGCTCTGTCTTTCCGGTAATCAGATTTGTGGTCAACTTGTAGTGCTTCTTTTTGTATCGATTCAACCTGAACACTGAATGAACAACTTCTTTGCCTCCATAGTTGTTATCTTTGGGGTTTATCGATTTGCCAGCTTTCACAATAAAAGCATGCAGGTAAATCGACTGATTTCTCAACAAATATTCGGGAGTTGGAAACGTCATTGATTTGATAATCGACCCATCACCCGCTTCTCCGGTAGTCCAATCTCCATAGATAATATTCCGTTCATTCCAAACCAAAGATTCCACATTTCCAAATTCTCTAAATCTTTCTTCATGTGGCGACAAATATACAAACAGATCAAATGGCTGTCCTGGATTAAACAGGTTACCAGCTGGAGGAAATCCTTTAACTGGAGCCCCAGGAGTATTGGAAGAAGGGGCGGTAGGTTGGTTACCTCCCATAAAACTTTTTATTGCAGTTGTAATCAAGTAGAAGAAGATCATTCGTTGAATAGTTTGCTTGATCACAGCTCCAAACCCGACATTCTAAACACAAAGTCCAATTGATACGATGCTAAACTTACGTTTCCTTCAGCATTTTCAGCACCTTGTGCTGGTTGCACATCCCCGCCACCAGTTTCAGCCATTTAACAATATTAAACCACTACAATATTAAAGATAAAATATCAAAGACTAGGTACGAATATTAGAAAAGCTTTACAAAAGTTCAGACGCGTACATTCACGAAGGTCGAAACCGACGAGACAAAAAATGGAAATTTTTAGTATAGTCGATATTGACACTTCGTCTTATCGCGCAATGCCACAAAATTATTTTAATATTTCGTAAAATTTTGTAAGATTTTTACTTATTTTTTAATTTTATACAAAGATGGTATTAAAAAATGTGGCCAAGATTGTTTTGGCAGCAGGAGAAGCCGTGGGAAAAGCTTTCACGCGAGCAGTAAAGCAAGAAATGGAAGGTAAGTAGATTATATTTTCTTCAACAGTTGTTTTAGCATCAAGGCGGACAGCTCAGGCCGCTGCTTCTGGTGCATCTAGCTCTCAACAAAGGACTTCGGCTCAAACTGAGACAAAAACTAATGCCAGATTGGGAATATCACTTCAGGTTTGTTTTTACTTGGTTTTTCTTTTGTTTTTAGCGTTATTCATACGAATTCGAAAGGCAATACCTATATGATATCATGAATACAAAATACGAAGTTTCTATTCATTTTTTTGTTTATCTTGATATGTATTATTAATTTTCAATATTTTTTACCATCTTACACAAGTCATTTCAGGAGTCACTTCAAATATTAGACGTCAAAACTCCGCTGAATGCAGAAGAAGTTCAAAAAAAGTATGACCATCTGTTTAAAATTAATGATAAGGAGAATGGAGGTACTATATATCTACAGTCGAAAGTCTACCGAGCAAAGGAAAGGATAGATGCTGAACTTTCAAAAGAAGAACCACAGAAACCAAAAGTAGAATCGAAAGAAGAGGCTTCTGGATAAATAATGACGTACGGTGCAAGTTTTAAACTTAGGAAGGGGTACAATATGTTACTTGTTGATTGTAATTGTACAACGATGTCATATTATGATAAAATTTTATTTTCAAAAAGAATTTTATTTCCGGATGAATTTTAAGAATGCCTTATAATCACTTCGATACACCGAAATGTTGAAAAGTTTATCTTAAGAACACAAACGTTACAAAATTTATTACTTAACAATTGCTGTAGGTTTTAATTTAAAGCTTTGTACAAAATAAAGTTTTATCAGGACTTTAAAGTATTTCTTCAGCATAATTATCAGGGTATAGTCCTGTAACTCCATCCAATACTCCTTCATTCCACCCGTCGTCGTTCTTTCGTACTATGTATATTATGGCATCTGCAGTAAGGTTAAGCTCGTCTGGTCGAGCTGCTGTATAATCGTATAAGGCACGTGCTACAACAATATCGTTAAAGATTTGTTATTTGAACTAATGGCTTCACATTGTGTTAAGATCATACCTTTGGCAATATAAGTAGCAGGTACATTACTGAGAACTGTTGGTGGGGAAGGTAATCGATCATCATCTCCATTAGAATCCGCTGTTATCGTACTTCTAGCTAAAATATCATAAAGTTAGACCCAAAAAGTCGTTATTAGATATGGTAAGCCGCTTAAACTTAAAATTTCACACTTACAATTGTAAACCGATGGCAATGCCCGTGAATTCAACGTTGATGACATATATATCTGGTTATTGTTGTTGTATCCACCAACTGAATGTTGAGGTTGATGCCTTTTGAGAGTAGAACAAGCATAAGTACCGTATTGGTCTTTACTCGGCCTTAGCGTATCTTGACTGTACATACCATGTGGTATTTGGGAAGGCATCCATTGTTCATAAATTCCGCCAGAACTATTTAAATGTGTGGTACCATAAGCAACACTATCACCTGAGATTATGGAATGAGTTCGGTTTACTGTACCACCCATACGAGCTTGGTCTGGCACAACTACTCCATGCCCAACGTCATCTAGGATGGTAAAGTCAATGGCTGTTCGTTGGTAGCGGGATGCTTTTTCCTATAAATATAACATGTTACGACAATTTAAAGTTGGTATTGCACATAGTTGTCGTTTGTTCAGTTTTCATATAAAAAATCTGTTTTTTTTTAATTTCTATTAGGTATAATGTAAGATTAAACGTACGATAGTTGGAGGAGCTATCCTTTTGTTTGTTGGCTCGCTTGTCCTATGTTCTGCCAATCTACCAATTTCTCTTCTGGCCGCTTTTTCTCTGGTGATATTGATTATCTAAAAGTAAAATGTATATTTTATTTAATTTATCTTATACATATTCACATATCTGTTCTAAACGTTTATATACCTAATAATACATTTATATCAGACGCCTTTCATGACTTTTATCCCACTTTCTATCAAGAGTCCAGTGTCCTTTATATCAACTGTTATAATCAGCTCTAGAAACCAAAAAACTAACAAAATTATGACTCACGGTTTTGAGATTTTTCAGATTACTCTGTCGGCTTGTCATTTTATCAGATTCTATGGCCATCGCCTTCCAAAGATTATTCGAAATAGCATTTACATTCGTTGCTACAGATGCCAAACTTTGAATCGAGATTCGCTTAGTCTCTTCTAACACTGCGGTCTGATTTCTGTCAGGCTAAAAAAAACCTTTATGAAGAAACCAATATTTGATTAATTTTTAATATTTGATCAAGAATTTCGGAGAAATTAAATAAAATATGCAGGGTGCATCAAACATACAAACTTTAGCCCAGGAAAAATATTATAACTTCATATCAAATATTATCTAAAAAACCTTAACTTGAAAAAATAGAATAACTTACAGCAACATAAACATACTCGCAGTAACTGGCGGCCTTCTCCAGGTTCTCCGTACCTCTGGATAACAAAGTAATGTCATTTGGCAGCTCTTGTGTTATCGTATGATGTAGAAGAGCTTCTGGATTTTCCATTTGGATCGTTTTTGCTTTATAGAGCTTTACAAAACGAATGGCAAAAAGAATAAGATAATTCGCGAGTGACCAATATTATTTTCCAAAGAGACAATTTATACGATGAAAGTTGTTCAAACGAAAATTTGTTTTTTGAACAAAAAGGCAAATTTAGCGGTGGTCAGCGGTAAGTTTTGATAAAGTAGTGGAATGAAATTTTTGCTAGGGTAGTAGAAAAAACAGTTTTTTGCAAAGCTAAGTTTTTATATTACTTGGTTTACGACTGAAAAGATATGATTTCGTATTACTATAGGGCGTTTATACGAATTGAAAATCTCTACGGATAAATCAGTAGATAAATAAGAAATTCTTCGTTTACATGTTTTAGTATTTTACAACAAATTTAATATATTTAAAGTTATTTTTTATAAGTTTGAAGCAATATAATAAAACTTATAAATAAGCAATTTATTAAAATCATATGTATATGGATATTTTACCGTCGAATAATTAAACACAACAGTAGTAGCACAAGGAATATGCAGATATTAACCGAATTTGTAGTGTTTTGGACTTCATCTGAATTACACATGTTTCCAGTACACGAGCACATTAATACCTAAAATGGTGTTCAAGTGTTATCTTTATTTCAAATTTTTACAACTATATTATTATAAAGCTTTTTATTTAAATTTATGCTTTCAAAACTTTTTTTAGTATTACAAGTTACTTTGGAGGGGCTTTTTATGTAAGGTAAGTACAGTTATTAATAAGTAAATTATGTTTAGGTCTAAAATAAGGTAAATTAAATTAAAACTCATAATTTTATTTGAAATGTATACCGTAGGCTTTGCTAATTGTGTTTAAGAAGAAAGTGCAGTTAATGCAGTTATACTAATATATTTTCGCCATTAAAGATTAATGGGATAAACGCGACCGTATCTTTGTTCGGTAAATAGTTATTTCATCGTATATTTTGAAAAAAAAGTCGTTTGTATTTAGCCACGTAACTACTCAAAAAAAATATTGTATGCTATTTTTGACAATCATAGCCAACGCAGAGAAGAGCAATATAACAGATATTAAGAAAAGGTTGCGTTTTCCACTTTTAATTAATGTAAAACTTACTAAAGGCACATTATCACTTAGAGATACGAGATTGAGCAAATGTCTGTCAATGGTTCGGCAGGATCGGGGGCCTAGTTGAGAAATGGCAGTCTTGATGTCATCATCAAGACCAAATAAAAGTAGCCTGTCGATGCAGCCTCTCATCACGGCTTCTCGATTTGCTACAAGTACTATCCATAAGCGAATGTGAAGAGTATTTTTGGTATTATAAAGAGTAATTTTATTATTGCGTTACAATATTAGTGTAAATAATTCTACATACTTCTCAAAAAAATTAAAAAATTATAGCATAAGGTGTTGTTTTATGATCAAAGACGTTGTGAAACCATATATAACACTTCATGTGGCAGATGTTTACATAAGAAGGAAATTTATTTTTCAATTTTAATACTAAATCTCAATAAATACAGCAGAATTAGTAGAGTCGCTTAATTATTCCAATATTTAGTAACAATGACCAGAAAACAATTAATGCATAACTAAGTGCTATTTCGAGTTAAATTTGGCATACAACAAAATTACTTTGACGGTTAAGTCTCTTAAAACTATAAAAACTTACTGTGACCAAATATCTCCTCGACTATCGTGAAGCACGCCGTACTACACGTGTGTACCCCGACCTCAGGTCCCGGCTTCCAGCAGCTGTCGGTGAAGTTCTTGGGCGGAAAGTAATGGCCGAGCAGATGCTGATTCCATATCTGAAGATACGACGTGGAGGCACAACTGTAACAGAGGAATCCCAGCCGCTGCACGTTGTTGTTGTTCTCCACGGCGTAACGTAACGCGCTTCTGGCAAGAGTTGCCATGGTTGTGAGAAGCAAGAGGACGGGAGCGGGCATCAGAAGAACCCGTCCCTAAGGAGCGCCACAAGAGTTCACAGTGTCAACGAATATGTTACGAACACGACAAGTGGGTAAGAATGGAATCACATATGAAAATAAATCCTGAAAATGTGATTTTGAAGAATCTTTGAACTTAAAAACTATAAATTGTGCAAAATGTGATTTTAGGGATATGATGGATCGTATATAACCTAAATTCATACTGTAATTTATTTAGAAAGAACGCGACAATGAAAAAAGTTTGGTGAATGTCACTGTTAATCAAAGTAGGCTACTTTGGTCATTTCTATATACTTCTTGACCGAGATAACGCCCTTTGATAATACACATTTAAACTGTCAGATTTCAACATAGCCAAACTACTAAAACAATTACAAAAACACTGTCAATATTCAATTAGTCATCACTATTTAGCAAATCCACCCCCTACGGCCGCGAAACACCGACCGAGAGCATCCAGGTGCACAAAGGTCATGCCCGAGGAGAATTCTGGTTCAACGCGCCTCCAAACCCCTCAGGGCAGACTTGAAGGCCCTAATTTTTTGACTTGTCCAATTTTCCGTGTGTCCCCAAAAAAGGGCTGAAGACGCGAAATAGATTCGGCTTAAGATGTCCGGATATTCCGCGCGCCCTCATTTCCACAGATAGCCTGAGGGGTGGTGGAAGCGATAAAACAATGCGAAAATAATTCCGGTATGTAATAAAGCCCGCGTGTAAATTGTTATGGCCGGCACGCAGCTGTTGCAGCGATTCCTTATTTCTGCCTACGGCATAATAATCCAGAATAAACGCTAAATCAGGCAGGATGGTTTATACTAGAAGTTGAATTTTAATTTTGAAGCTAGGAGTTGAACATTTCTTGTTTTTACTATATGTGTATAACACCTTGATCCAAAGGTAAACAGGAATTACCGTTAGTTACAAAACAAAAACTTTTCAGTCAAAAAATGGTGAAAAAGCTTGCAAAAATACTTGGTATTTAACACTTCAATCCAAAAAATGACATCTTTCGAGAAACTATAAGTTTTCCATAACCATTTCCTCCATACTACTCCCAAAAAACCAACTCAAAACGACGATTACTCAAAAAACAACCCGCCCGCCATAAGTGACATAAAGGTTACGCGTCTAATTAAGTGCACTAAACAGTGTTCGCACGGTCGTGTATCCGCCCGAATTCTCTCATAGCCATGAATTTATTGTCCCTTAAGTTTTTACACTTTTACTTCTTTGAGTGTTTCCAAAGTTGAAAGGCCGGGCCCACTTCACGAGTCGATTCAAACTTTAATGAAATCGAAATCGCATGAATTTTCACGAAACGAAGGAGCGAAATTTAAAATTCAGACAGTTCTCATGGCCAAAACATTCCGTTTTGCGGCCAGAAACGTTTTGAAGGTATGTCTTCAGACACCGGTCCAAATTTAATATTAAAAGTCACCGGTGAAAGGCGGGCGGTGCGCGATTTGGGCGGGCCTCCTCGATTAGTGCCTCAAGGCATTTAAGGGGCTTTCTGGGGGCCAATGTCTCCAAACAAATGCCCGGACTCATAACTCGTCTTAATTCAATTAAAGTGACCCTGAATGCCTGAGGAAGGCCGGGGGTCGGCGTTATTACGACAAAACATTTAATTGTTAATTTACAGCCTTCTTGTTTTGCAGCTTGACTCCAATAACAATATGAAAGTAAAGTTGTGGGTCGGCACAAAGTGATTCATGAATGGCAAAGAAAGTTATATTATACTAATATCAATATTATAGTGCATGTTATGTGTAAAAATAAGCAAAAAAACTGAAAAATGTAAAAAAACGAAGTTTTATATCGTTAAAAGTTAAAAATTTGCCACTAATCAACTTTAGCCAATTCAAAATATAAACCTCATTTTCTCAATATAAAAGTTTTATTTCAAGGCGACATGGGTGGTACCAGCTTGATTGGGTTCTTAATATGTATGTAAAATCAATACAAGATACGAAAAGACCGTTTAATACACGAGCAATAGAGCGAGGAGGCGGTATTACGAAGTTTAATGCATACGATATACTGTAAGTGACCGTAACGCAATCTTTCCTGAATGTAAACTTTTCTATGGAAGCAGTAAGTCGTTATTCTAAGAGAATATCTCGATCGTACAGTGTGTATCGACCAAAAATATTGTTAGCTTGTTGTAATAACGTGTTTTGAGCAAACATTACTTTAGTGTAAAAGTTTCCCCAATAACAGGCCCAAACTTTAACAACATATAGCACTAATTTGGTATAAAAGCAAATAGAATAATTTTAAATTTTGGCATTGGAGAACTTCTAAACACTTTTTGACCAAATCAGGATTGTATAACTTGCAGAAAATTAGACTTAAAAAGGTAAAATACATATAGACAAACAAGGATATTATAAAAATATTATTAAATAATTTAGCTAAAAGTATTAAACAATAAGCCTACAAGGAGTTCTGGGTTTTGTTCAACGTGTTCAAGCTGCCTTCTGCCAAATCCAGGGCTTGGCTCACTAAAAAGTATAATTTAAAATAATACGACAAATAAGTTAGAAGAGGTACCAAAATTCTAAATCAGTACCACAAAAACACGCCAATTCAAAAATCTCAGCTTAACTTGGCTTAATCTGTCATGACTACTACAAATTCAAACTTAACTTACAGGCTGCCATTGTGTTGAGACTGGTGCCTACATTGGTAGCTGGCGGTACGCCAATGAAAGCATCACATGCATTTGTAAGTTCTGCTTGCGCAGCTGGGTCCAAAATTGATAATCGGAATAACAAAAGCGCGATGACTTTACTGACTCGAGTCAGAACGGTCGGTTTGGCCTGTGTGCCGTTTGTGTTGACATCTGAAATGTAAAATTTAAAATTTTTAAAAAAATTGAACAAGAAAAAAGAGCTTTTAAAGCAGCAGTTATATTCATTTTCACCCGAGTTGTACAAGGAATACCCCTAATATTCATGAAAAAACTTCAAAATTCAATTTATTACCTAACTTACAAAATAATACAAACTCACCTCCTAGATCCTCTCTCAAAACACCCAAACTCTGTAGCACACTCTTAAATTCATCTCTTTCGAATCCCATAGCATCCAATTCCATTCTCAAATCCTGAATCTGCGCTTCCAATCTCTCCACCTGTGCCTGACTTTGTTCCGCCTTGAGTGTAACATCTCTCTGATCTTGTTCCAAGCTTTTATTTTCTTTAGACAAGTCATCAATCACATTTCTCAAAGAATCCATCTCCAACTTGGTAAAGGAGTTTTGTCGTTGTGTAGACACAGAAGGTCGTGGACCTCCATTAACACGCATTCTCATCGAAGCAGGAGAGAAAGCACCAATCGTAGAGCCAGGAGATCTGAATGCAACTCTCGAAGGCGGAGCAATACAACTTCCAGGTCGTCGTTCTGTGGCGACAGAGTTGATAGAACGACACTAAAAATTAATCTTTTGAAATATACTAAAAAAGTTTGTTTTAAAGAAGTATATAAAGCATTAAAGTACTTCTGAAAAGAATACTGTTAAATTTACTGTCAATTCGCGTATTTTACCAAAATAAACAACTTACAGAAGGTTGACGACTCAGCGTACCAACAGTACCAGTCTTTGGCCGCGAAGATTCGTGTAGTCTTACTTCAAAGTTTTCGACAAACACTCCAAACCCATATTCGCAGAGGAAGTGCCGTACGCCCTGAATGTAAAATATTAACCTAAACCTTCAGTAAAATTTAAATAACCTCAATAATTGTTACCTAAACTTTAAATATAGCTAGCGTATATAAAGTTATTTCTTACAGCATAAGTTCCATCACAATCTCCTCTTTTTCGGTCCAGCAAGACCCCAACCATGATTGGCTTGTTGACTTGTCGATCATTAGCCGACCATCTGAATATTGTCATAACCGTACCAACTCGAGATCCTTCCACAATAACTTTGTCGCCTACGTCCAAACTAAAATCCAATGATATTTCACTGACAAAAATAACTCTTAACTAAATTTTTACTAGTTTTTTATAACGAAATATTAAACAACCTTAAACACAAACAACAACATAAAGCAACAACTGATAATGTACTATAAAACTAAAAGTAAGTTGATAAATTAATAACTATAAAATTCTTAAACCTAATAAAAATATGACATTTTAACCTAAAATAAATAATTATACCTGAAATGCTACGAAAAACTTACTTTTTCAATAACTTTGACCAAATCCCACCTCGAGGCGGTGGTGTGTCTCTAACCTTGAGCAAACGATAGTTTTTCACAAACAATCCATGCATTGACGGGCACTAAAGCAAATTTACAATAACAGAACACAATAAGGTGTACAACGAATTAAAAATTCTCTTACACAAATTGACTATCAGTAATATAAGTGTATACAAGCCAATTTTTCTGTAAAACAAAAAAAATGCTACTGGTGAGAATCTAATCAATCAAATAATACAATTCCAGCCATGTTTTCAATAGCTCTATAAACTTACCTCAAAGTAAGATTTTCCATCCACACTGCCATTGTTCATTCCCAATGCCTGATCAAACTGAACTCCATAGTAAATCCCAGTTTTACCTTCGATTGGCCCAACGTACCTCACAATACACGACGCACACATGGCATGGCCATAGTAAACACACTCATCATTCACATTTATTGGCGTCACTAAACACAGAATACGCAAATTTCAAACAAAACCTACCTTCATCGTCGTCTATCGCAGACATTCCTCACAATTGCAATGTGAGCGATCTCAGTTTAAATCCGATAAAATGCTCAAAAGCCTGTTTCCGACGTCCAGTTTACTTCTTGTATCCCTTTCTTACTTTGCATCCACTATTTATGCAAAAAAAAATTTCGCAAAAATATATTTTTCCGATGCGAAGTGTCAACAGGTTATAGCATATTTGTGACACTTCGTCACAAACAGAATTTATTCCGCAAAATAAGTTTTTAAAACTTATAAGCCTAAAATTTAACTAAATAGTCTGAATTAGGATGTTAAGACTACATATATTTTTTTATAATTTATATGGTATTATAAATTTATTGAATGTAAAAAATATGAAACTATATTAAAATACGAATTCGTGTTTTTTATCCATTATCTTCTTGTTACCAGCATATTAAACGCGTTTTCATTTCAAAAAAGTTTATTGCAAAATAAAACAATAATATTTGGCTAGTATTTAGCAATTTTCAGGCAAATTGATAGTTAAATTGAGGGAGAATGTCCAGTGAACTGATCCATTGATAAGTGAACATACAAATGATAACCTAAACTATTGTGAGTAAGTGCTATGAGTGATGGCTTTAAGAGATTCAGTGGACAATGGGAATGTGGTAAAAATTTGACTTCGAAGATAAAATTCTATAAATATGGTCAAGTTAAGAGCGACATTGATCAAGTGAATTGAAAGGTAAACGTTGAGGGCGCTGGATTACTTCTTCTGAAAATGACGTTATTGTTACCTAATTATGATAGTCATGTTGAGAACGATAAAAAACATGTAAGTTTTGTCCAAATGTAAGCGTTTTAAAGGTTTTGGTAAATGATGTTATTGTTACCTAATTATGATAGTCATGTTAAGAACGATAAAAAACATGTAAGTTTTGTTCAAATGTAAGCGTTTTAAAGGTTTTGGTGGAAATTTTAAAAATTTATCAAGTATAACATCGTGTTTTTGTAATTTTGTTTGAGAAAAAACTGGATTAGCCGATAAGTTTTTAAAATTTATATGGTCAGTCTGCAAACTCACTTTTCCGGGTTCCTTTTTAGCTGCTTGCGATGGCTTCCGGACATTGTTAGCAACATTATTTGCTTTACCTGGATCCGATTTCTTTGCACCCGCTTTGTTTACCATACCCGTTTGTCCTGTACCCGAGCTTTTTGGCTTTGCATTCGGTGTAGCTGTGCTTCCAGCTCCAACGTTTTTGGCGGACGTCTGGCTAGTTTGACGAATAGGTGGCGCCTTCTTTGCGGTATCACTAAATGCGACTCCTTTGGGTCGTTGCTGCTCGGTACCAGTTGTTGGTCCGTATGCTCCAACTGGCCCGGCCATTATGCCGGATGTGGCTTGTTGTGGCACGTTCGAAGCCATCAGTGAGTTGCCCATGGGTTGGAGGAAGTTTGATGGCACCAGACCACGAACTCCGTTCAGTTCTCCAATGTAGAAACCGTCTTCATCCACGTCACCGTACAATGTTATGATGTCGCCTTCTCTGAAGCTGAGTTCTACTTGTTCAGCATCAACATTGGGGCTTAGCCGTCTAGAATCGTAGTCATATTTAGCGACCATTTTAGTTGTTGGGAGACGGTCAATGTTCTTCAAGCTCTCTTCGAAACTTGAAACAGCTTGTGGTTGTTGTTGTTGTGCTTGGGGAGGTTGCCCTTGAGGCGGCCCTACATGATTACCTTGGAACTTTTGTGGTTGTTGTTGAGGTGGAAGTTGAGCTACTGAAGGTTCTTGTTGAATGTGAGGTGGAACGTTCTCTTGTGAGTTCTGATGTTGATACTGGTCTTGTGCTGGAGCTCGTGAAGAAGACTGTGCATACCCGTTGTCGTAATACTCTGGTCTATTCTTTTCGTATCTATCGCTATAATCATGTTTCCTAGTACGTCCAACTGGTGGTCGATCAGAAGAGTAGTCGTATCTTTCTCCTCTCTGCACTGTAGCTCCACCTTCTCGTCGGTAATCATATTCGTAGTGGTCTGGCCTTCTTGTTGGTGGTCCGTCTCGTCGATGATGAATGTCGCGGGGATCTTTTGGTTCTCGTAAGTCACGGTAATCACGCTCACGGGTGTCTCTGCTGTCGTGATCTCTGATTTCACGATGGTCTTTCATATCTCGTGGATCTTTCATGTCTCTAGGTTCTTTTAGAGGTCCACCCCTTGGTTCGTAACTTGCTGATCTCCCATAACCATTAGTTCTTGAATATTTTGGAGCGTAACCACCAGCTCTGATCCCGCTACTTGGATATCCTTGTACATCATAGTAGTCGTAATGGCGTCCTCTAAGCTGAGGATCTCGATCCAGAGATGAATATTCATCTGCACCATGACCAATCGAATGATAAGGTCGTCGATCAGGGTAATCGTAACTACGAGATTTGATAGAACCCCATCTGCTACGTCTTGCTGCATGATCCATGCGATCGACTGGTCTTTCTATACTCCTGTCTAACGTTCTGTCCATCGACCTTTCTAACGTTCTTGGCAGCGTTCCTTTGTATTCCGCTTCTGTAGGTAAACGTCGTGGATGTGATGCAACATCATCTTTGGCAATTTCTATTACCATATTGGATGGCACCAGTCCATAGCGTCGACCGATCTGACCTCTGTAGAAGCCGTCTTGATCCACTTCTCCAAACACCTTAATCAATTGGTGTTTGCGGAAGGAGAGTTCTTCTTGAGCTGCGTTGGGATTTGGAGACATATGATGATCGTAATTGAATAAGGCGACAAACCAACGGCAGTTCTCGTCGTCCAGCGGAGTTGGTCGAAGATCGGGCTCGCTGCGGGTGCCGAGCATCTCTTCTGATCGTACCCGATTCAATCGCGGTTCAAAATTACTGGCCGTCATCATGGAGGGACCAATTCGCTTTCCGCTTGGCATTACTCGGCCGCCGATGTGATCGCGGCCATAAATATCGTAACGAGCTTCAGTTGGCCACATTTCGTAGCTGGTCGGCTTACTTAGCTGCTGTTGTTGTCGATGCCTCAGTAAATAATTGTTCTCCATCTCAAGAACACTAGGCTTCTCTTCCGTAGCCGTGTACTCCTTGTACAACGCCTTCGGATGGAATGTGTAATATTGTTGTTGTTGTGGTTGTTGAGGCTGTTTCCACTAAAAAAGGATAATTGTTAGTGAATTTTAGAAACGCTAATTGGCGTCGTTAAGTTGTTTAAAATTCTTACCTCGAACATGGATGCGTACTTGGGCAGGCTCATAGATCCGCTATTCTGGAGCAAGGCACTTGTACTTTGGCGTCCGAGAAGCTTGTGAGGATGAGGTTTCATCGTCTGGGGGCGGAAGATAACCGGAGCTTCGGTGTGAGTCGTATGTACATGATCGAAGGTGGTCGGTTGGTACATGGCAGTGGCAGGGTCTGTTGGGTTCATTACAGCTTGGGCAGGATTCACATATCTTGATGTTGTTGGATATGAGTAGTAGCTAGGCTGATTCGTGAACTGGCCACTGGTTACCGGTACGACATTCGGCATCATGGTTAACAAGCCGGGCTCGTTGATTACATTTGACGTTGTTGCATGTTGGTTATGCTCGTATCCGCACGCACTCATTACGTTGTTCATACCTAATGGGGCTGGCTGACCGGGTTGAGGATTATAGACTGGGATTGGCTGCATTCCATATGGCATCTCAGGATTATCAATTGATGTCGACGGGCAAATAGGTAACCCCAGCACGTTTCTCGGCACTCGAACAACGTTGGAATCGGCTGATATGGCTCCTTCGCGAGTTCGAGTTCGCACAGTGATAAAGATTGGAGGATCGTCGGAGAAGTCGGATAGTCTTAGTAGAATGTGGTCGGCTACAACAGAAAGCATTATAGTTAATTAAAAAGCATTTTAGAATAAAGACTTAAAAACTAATAAGCCACATAATAATAGGAAATTAAAAAAAGCAAAAGTTAGGTATGACTCACCAGTTGCTGATGGAATTTGAGCGATGTTTTGGCCGTCGGCGTAGACAAGATATGAATGTACTGCTGCTCGGCTTGGCGGGCGAGGTTGCGTACTAACCGGCCTCCACGAGACCAGTAATGTGCCCGGTTGTGGTCCAGAGTCCACCTGAACATTCGACGGGGGATCCGGAAGTCCAACTGCAAACCAATAGTTAGGCCTATTTTGGGGTTTAATGTTGCAAGGAATCCGTGACTAATAGATTGCTTTAATCATATAAAGTACGGGCCCATTGTTGGGCGTACCCACCGTTTACGCAAAAAACTCCCACCCAACCGAAAAAGAAAAGGGCTCAATGCCGGAAACGGCGTCAAAGATAAGCGTGTTCAAGTCTGAAGAAGAAAGAAGACGGCATTGCACTCTGTCGTCCTTCGTGTTCCTCTTTGGCCTTTGGCAACCACTATTGCTTGTCCAGAATGGCCAGAAACCGAACGACAAGCCGGATGGAACGATGGAGTAACGGCTTTCTCCTTCGTCCCCCCCCCCTTTCGGTAGCTATTTTAAGATTTAAAGAAACTTATTAATACTGTTTCCGGAGTACGGAGTGCTAACCTGGCATTCGAGGCCATGGCAAGGGATGTTATCAAACTCTGGCAAAAGCGGATAAAAGATATTCGCTCCAAAAAAGATTGTCAGTTTACTTACTTTTCGGAAGCGTTTTGAAGTCAACACAACGTTCCACTGGTCTTTGTTCTAGGACGGCCTTAGGGTGTTTTGTACGTACAGAAACGCGGTAAATGGTCGAGGGGGAAAGACCAAACAGATGGACCTGAAATTAACACAAATAACTCCAGAAAAAGTAACTTGGGTCGCATGAAACATAATGTTGGAACGAACATATTAAACATTCTCCAAATCTCTTTTTACATTCATGAAAGTGGACTTTAAATGGCTCACCTGGTAAACAGCCGGAGGGCAAACTCCAATTTTAATGGCGTTCAAAAGGAGAACGTGCTCGGCGTTGCTGTTGGAGGGATACCAGCTAACACATGCCGAGACCGGTGTGATCTTGGCGACACGAACGTGTTGTGGAGCTACCGGTGCTTCTGCACCTATTGCCAACGTGCACGCCGCGTCCGAACTATGGCCCTGATCGGTTACCGAGCGTACGGACACATTCACGGACTTATCCAGATTAAGGTCCTCGATTAAGGCTTTGCACTTGTACGTTCCCGGAACCACCGCCTTCACCACGCCATCCACACAAACGTGGTACTGCGAAACGGTGGTGAGTTGATCGTCTGGTGGCAGCCACGACAACACCACACTTCGGCTGAGTTTCTTCTCGACCGTTAGTTCGCGGGGTGCTGATACTGAAAGAGTTGACAGTAAATAAAGTGTAAATCGAATAAAGCATTGGTTTTTGGGGATGTAATGGGCAATCTGCACAACGTTCCGAACAGGGTCATTACAAGATAAACAGGGGTCAAGCAAATCATATATGGAGTTATGAACTTAGCTTAGGGCGAGAAACTTTACAGCGCTTGAGTAATTAAACAAGACTAACAATTGAACCAGGGGTCAATAACTTTGACAAATGACCAACAGTTTACTAACTGGTTGAGTATATTAACCAAGGCTTAAGCAACTTAATCAAAGCTCAGTTTGCAACTTTTGCAAAAAGGTATACGCCGCGAAACCCCAACTTTACAAAACCCGCAGCAAGTCTGCATTTGCAATTACCATAGTTACTTTATTATGCCCGGATTTCAATCAGTTTGAAGTTAAAAGACGTGGTAAACTGGCGAAACTCTCAAGACTGGGAAAATTGTAAGAAAAAGTGGGAAAACAAAAAACTTTCCTAACCCGCAGGACCGCACCGCTGCCGGTGCTAGAAAAGGAGATCCGGTTTAATTCGAGAGCCAAGATAGGCACCCGAAACAAACAAAAACTTTTCTTGTCGCATTAGTTAGCCCGGCCCCATGTCTGTGTGAAAGGGTACAAATATTTGCACTTTTTGCCTAATACCTACAAGCATGGTGACATAGTTTTTAGGCATTATAAGGTATAGAGGCTAGGCATATAAATAGAGATAGGCATATAACGTATAGAGGCTAAATATACAATATATAAAGGCTAAGCATATAAGGTATATAAAGGTTGGCTGGGTCATTCTGTTCGAGAACGAAATGAGCTAAAGGAGGAAAAGGGACAAGGCATGGGGAAATCCATGACGAAGGACTTTTGACTGGCCCTAATCTATTTCATAGAATAAATATAATCTAATCCTCAACATGATGTAATCGCTGTTTAAATTATTTTGTTTTTTTCAAGCATAAACAGGAAAAAGTTTTACCACCTAAAGTATGAGGAATATAACTTAAATTTACATTTTTGATATTGAACAACTTGATGACAAAAGAGAATTTTAAAATTCAATAACAATTTTGCATTTTAAAAGTTAAATCAATTTCAAAATCTCACTTTTGGGTTTGTCCGGAATCTTGATCTCTTGAACACTGACTTTGGATACGTCGACGGGAGGATATGGGCAAATGGAATCGGGCAATGGCGCGTCGGTTGAATTTACAGTAAAATCATGAGGAATTTGAGCCAGATGAGGTGGGACATTGAGAGTGAAAGACGGCGACGATGGGCGACTAATCTGATCTAACAACGGAACCCCAGCGTCCATCAGCAGGGGCTCCACGTTCCTAGGGCTGTGCTGAGTGGGCTCGAACACCGCACTTCTGGGCGACGACGGTCGTGAGGCTTGTCGCGAGGTCGGTCGAGATTGAGACCGTGATCCGGGGTTCGAATAGTGCACACTAGGTGGATTCGCTGTTTGAATGCCAAGTGGTGCACACGGGTCCATTGCGCTCGTGGATGCCATCACGTTGCCTTGACAGTCGCAGCTGGTGCTGGTCGATGCGTTAAAGTTGCATTGAGGGCTGGGCGCTCTTGACGCGTTCTGTAGCAGGACGTGGTCGGGGATGCGTTCTACATAGTTTGACGGCACCAATCCAGTACGGCCGGATAAGGTTTCGCCAAAGTAGAACTGGTCCTCGTCCATCTGTCCATGAACCAACAAGTAATCACCCGCCTGTAACGGTAACTCCAAGTGGGGGTTATCGTTGGGACTGTCGCGCAATGGAATGTATTGGAAGAGTACCCGGAATAACCTGAAAACAAGAAATTGAACTTTTTAAATTATTGTGTAGCGAAATAAAAATTTAAGCAAAAATATTGTAAAGGTAAAAAAGCGCAAAACTTGATTTAAAACTTTGAGTCGTTGAGCCTAAAAAGCACTACGAAGCGACCCAATCTCTAAACAAAAAAGGTCAGAATATATTGGAAATCCTACTACATCTACAGAAAGTAAAAAAGTTCAAAATAATCTTTAATCTGTCAATTTATAAAAGTTTTTCCAATCAATGAGCATGCAACAAAGCGGTATCAGATTTTTGGGTTGGGCCTAGCCATGAAACTGGGAGTTAGACTAACTGGTTTGATAGAATTACCCACTGCTGAAAAGCGCCTCTATTCGGCCCGATCCCCCCGAGGGCATGAGGTTTTTTACTCTCCGGAGTGCGTTGAACTTGGCGCGCCGTGGGCGACGCCGAATCCGCCCCCAGTCTTTTTTATGACCACTGCCTGAAGGGGGGGGGGGGGGATGACTCAACTTTTCGGCGCGGCCGAAAGGGCTTAAGCGCAAAGGGATGAACATTGCTGTAAATCCGCGGCCTTAAAAGGACACCGTTTGTTTTGGGCCAGTCAGAAGATGCACTGTCAGTGAACGCGCGGGGGGACGTAAAGAGCCGGAGGGGGCGGTAGACAAGTGTTTCGGCCGCTAAAATTAGGTCACTAGTTGGCTTTTTTAGGTAACAAGCTCTAGTGCCATAATTCGGCCTGGGAAAGTGTGTCAAAAGTTCAAGGAACAATGAGATATTGGCTGTTCTATATTAACATTGAGGCTTTTGGTATTATTTGGAAATATAAAAATTCATGTTAGTACACAACAGCTCAAAAACCAGTTTTTTGGTCTTAAACTAGGCTTATTTTACCCTCTTTTAGGCTATTAAATGAAAATTGTTCCATTATCGAAATTCGATTTAAAAGCCAAATTACCCTATCCCAATATTGGGGCTGTTCTATTCTAGGGCCATAACCGAAACTCCCAGAAACCGTTCATTTCATATTTGACTCAAAGTCGTGGCCCCGTTTTTTGTTATTGTTTCGGACAGCCTTAAGGCTAAATGGCATCAGCTCCGCCTAGAGAGGATAAATTCCTTCTTCTTGTCCATTCTCATTACCTTTTTTAATTTATTTAAAACCGTGCGCTTAATTTAAATAATTAAAGAAACAGTAAAAAACGGGCGGGATGGGGGAGGCGACGGTGGTAAGCTATGTGAAATACCAATGTTTATGTACGAGTACTAACTACTGAGAGTTAGGGCAGAAAGTTTGGGAAAAATGGTGGACAACTGATGGCAAAAAATTAAAGAAATATTTTTAAAGCTTTGCAGTGCAAAATTTAAATACTCACCTGGTGTTCGGACGGCTGCGACGCAACGCCAACAACAGTGCATCACTTAAAGACGAGTTGGTCGAGGGCGTAGCCGGCTGTGGTTCAGTGCTTCGTCGCTGGTAGCCGCTGGATGTGGCTGGTGGTTGTGGGGAACATTGAACACCGGTCGAGTGATGTCGGCTGCCGTAGAAGTAATCGGAATGCAAGGTCGCAGAAGTGCTGGGGCTCGGCTCTTCGTTGTATCGCGCCCTATAGGACATTAGACGTGGCCAGCCGGACTGGACGTGTCAGTCCGGCAAGAATCTGCTCGCTCAGAGGCTACACGATACAAAACAGAATTGTTACGGTACGAAACGGATTTCGCACGATCAAATGCAGATTCCGCAGGGTATAAGACAGGTTCTGTAGTATATAAAAGAGATTCCGCACGATACAGCTGGGGTTGCGTCCAGAACGGACTGTGCCTCAAACTCGGCCACAAGATGTTCTTGGAGCTCAAATTCCGAATTGATCCCTGAGTGGTGTGAGCCGGTGGCAAGGCTGCCAGCCGGCTCTGGGGAGAGACCGGCAACGCACGTCTAGCCACTCTTTCGGCTACGGCGGTGAGTGCTACGAGCTTCGCGAACAGATTCTTCGTACTGTTGGGTTTGGGGAGAAGGTTGCGGATCTCCAGCGTGGCAGTGGTTGGAAATACGAAACTACTAATGCCGTTGACGGGATTTCATCAACGATCGCCTGAGAACATGGTTTTGGGGGCTAAATGTTCTGAAATGTCAAAGTTTAATGTAATTATCGTAAAGAGTGAAACGGATAATTCACGGTTTAGTAGCAGTACAAAGAACAAATTCGTAGTTTTTTATTTGAAAAAAATAAACAGAGATGACTATTTTAACAAAAAAATTAAAATACTGACATTTTTAGTAAGGTGAAAGTGAGATAATATTCATTAAAAGTATGCCTATTAGAGTTATTAAGAAAAAAGGCAATATTACCAACATAAGATGACTTTTCTTTAAAAAATTCCTACTTGAGAAACTTAAAAAAGGTCCAGAAAGCTCAAACTTTGTCGTCCTAAGATTAATACTGAATTCAGAACACTTCTAAACAACAACAATATAAACAAAAAATCTCTCCCACACTCCGATATCCCCAAACAAAGCTGCAATAGCGCACAATACCCTTCTACTCATCACCTTGAATAGTAATATACTTGGAAGTTCGTGCCAAATCACTGCCAACGCCACTTAAGCGAGGCAAAGAAAGGCGGTTAAAGTGTATTTGAGTATAATCCGACTGGAAAAGTAAAAAGTGTTGGGGGAGAACTGCATCTATTGAGCTGAAGAGACGAATACTGGGTGAAAAGTTTGTAGCATCGCATTTTCGCGAAAAGGAGAACCACACAAAAATGACAAGACGAGCACTCGCGGGGCCCCACAAAAAACGGCCCCAGCCGATAACAGGAGGCGCCGAAACGGGTGATATGCCCGCAGGGTCAGCGTTCGAACGTTTTGTGTGCAATTGGGTTAATTGATGTGTATCGCCATTCTCACCGCGAAGAAAAACAATTGGCTGTTCGCGTATTGACAATAGTGCACAATGGGTATTGGTATATGGAGGTTGTACTGGACAACCGGGGGTTGGAAAGTTAAAGAGTTAAAGATTTTCTCACAGGTTTTGGTACTAGTACCATCAGTGTTGGCATCAATATCAAAGAACTAAGTTTACATGGGTATTACAAGCATAAATAATATTAAAAATGAAAAAAAAATTAATTTAAAAAATAAGGATTGGCACACCTAGACCCTCACATAACATATCTAATCATTACCGCAACATTAATGCACACTTACATTCACTTTTTTAATCTTTCGTATTTCATAAACTCAAAAAAATCTAAATTTACCGCGACCCCTACCCAAAAATACCTCTTTTCCCTTCAAACCTAGCTTTAAATGACCATTACACTGTTTTTCAGCACGAACTACTACATGTTATTAATAGAAAAACAAAATTATAGTCCAATCTAATTGCATGCATTCAATTACCAAAGTAAAACACCGGGTTGAACACAGACATTCGCCTAATTACAGAGTAAAACCTACTATTTAAAGTGGGAATGTCGTCCGAAATGTCACAGAGTAACTCGGTTAATCTTTTGAGTAATTGTTTTGTTAAAGAACGTGCCTTTTTATAACATGTTATGTACTAGTAATCTCGGCACAAAACAAAAAAAGAAACAGAAAGTATAATGGGAAAGTTAATTAGTAAAGAATAGGAATGCCAAGGGTGTTAGCAACAACATTATGCTTATATTATTTTTGATACTATAATACTTTGATACTATATTAAACATAATTGCTACAACTATACAACGACATAAATTTACAATGTAAAATATCTAAAAAATGTATATATAAATCTTTTTATAGTCTTAGTAGATACAGTTTTTACTTTGATATATGCCCTTAATTACCTCGTTCTATACCTTTTCAAAGCCTAATTATCCCCAAACCCATCAAAAATGACAAACGATGCTTGAGGCAATAAAGATAACCAAAATGGCACATTACCCTGATAACTCTCATAACCGACATTATAAAGCAGAACCGAAGCAGATAAACAAAAGATTTACAACTGAGGTTAGAGACCCAGAAGCGAATGCATACGTAAATCCTAATGGAGAATGGGGGGGGGGGGGGTCTGGTCGGCCCCAAGAAGCTACTGTAGCGCGCGACATCCCTTGCTTCCTTATGGCCGTATGTTTTGTCGTACAGGTACACAAACAACAAAACTTTTTGGTAAATTCGAAATATTAAGCAGAAAAAAAGAAGGCGAAGGCGCGGTTGAGAAGTTTCGGCCCCCCTGGCCCTTAAGGGTCGATTTTGGTGGTGGGGGCAACAGCGTCAGGTCGTCGTCTCCACCTTCGTCGTCTTCTGCGCCGTCTTTTTCTTCTTCTTTTTTTGTCTTCGTAGCCCCCCTTTTTGTGTCCAAATTCTTTACTACTTTTGCGGCCGTGTCACTCCTGGCCCCCCTTCTTTTTCGGCTTCGATTCGCGCCACTTTTACCACAACGTGCCCAGAAAAGGAGAGTCTGTGTTAAAAGCCGTCCTGTCCTCACAATGCACCCCCACACAGACACATACATACATCGTTTCAAAGCATTTTCGAAAAAAAAAAGAACTTACACACATTTGGAACAGGATCTGGGGTCATGTTCACCGGGCTGGAATAGTATTATAGAGGGGGGTTTCCATGATTTATACGAAGGCCATTACGATGCGAGGGTGGAGTGTGATTATTTATGTTACGACACTAATGACTGTGTAAACTAATTACTCGCACAAATTACACAAATAGTAATTACGGTAATTGATGTAAAATTCTTTGGGTAAAAAGTTGTAGTAAACAATAAAAAAATTAAAAATAATTAAAACAAACGAAACTACAGTATCAAGAGTAATATTATCCCTGTATGGTACCTTACACTCATTATACTCAAAGTTCAATTTCATAAAGACACCTAAACATATAAAAATGCAAAAAAACTACTAATGTTACCTAAAAAAGTAACTTGGCCAAGTTGTGAAACGATTAAAAGTCCTTTACTCTGATTTGCAGCCGAATGAGCTCAATTTGGGCATGTCCAATCCTTTTAAGAGTTTGGAGGGGCCAATTAAAGTAAAATGTCGCCTTAAATTATTATCAGCGACGGAATACACACAAATGTAATGGCGGGGAAAACAAATTTCGCAAAAATAAATCCCAGATTGTATTGTTTTTACATCCACAATGACATAATTGAAATACAGACAAGTTATCAAAAATAAAATTGGGCACGGCCAAAGAGCGAGCCGTGTTGTGGTGTGTAACATATATGCGAGTATAGAGGTGAAGGTTTAACTATAGTATAGTAGACAAAGTTTAAAATTACTTTTTTAAAAGTCTTAAAACTAAAAGTTATTACCTTAAGTTTTTGATTTTATATTATAATGTATTGTACTGTAATCACAAAAAAATATATCAAGCTTTATATCAGTTAAAACCTTAACGCAAACAGCTTCATAATCAGTCTAAAACAATATCATCTAGCATACAAATTCTTGGGATCTTCATCACGATTACAAGAGTACAAAAACCTTGAGATACGACAAAATACAATGTAACAAAAACCATTAGCAAGCATACAAAACAGTCCTGGGTATATGTTCAAGGCATATTCGTGAGCGTAGATAATTAGCCCTACAGTATACCACATAAACAAGAAATGTAACGCTTTTAAACATCGTATACGACACTTGTAGAACATCATTACTCCAAAATAAAGTTGTACTTTCGACCAACAAGGCTTTACGACACACAACTGATGCTGATTGGTCTCACAACAACATAAGAAGGCTATGATTTGGGCTCCAAGGTAGAGCTGAGCTGCTAGGATTATACTAAAATGTCATGTTAGAAGTAATAAAACTTGGCTTATAATCTTAAAAATATGGTTTATCTTTAAATCTAATGTATATTGTAATAGCATGTGTTAAGGTATTGCCCAAAAAATCTTTTTTTACATTTACAGTCCCTACCCTACTTATAAGTCCCAGTACAAAATGGATAAAATAATATAATACCTTGCCAAAACCACGATTCCAATGCTCAGCCCCGTAGACAATGTCTCCATCTCTTCGTAGTTAACAATATTTGACCAGATATGACCTCCAAATAAGGACAACAACAGTACAAAGAATGTAATAGTGTAGTAGACAGGTAGCTTGATACGTCCACACATTAACGACCTCACATCCAAGTCCGCCTTCTTTGCTTCATCAAAGTTGGCCGAGCTGACATGACACAACTTGTACATCTTGTACAATATTGATCGGTTTTCGAAGACAGCGACTTCACCCAACTCCCAGGTCTTCATTGTTTCCACCACTTTCTTCATTGATACCTAAAAGTGTAAGAGAAGCTTACATTTTTGAAAAAAACAGCAATAGCATCTTGCTTAAAATTGCAACAGTAAGCTTTTGTTTTATACTACTACAGTTAAATCTTGCTTGAAACTACGATAGCAACCTCTTTCTCTCCAACTCTTATTGTATCCCTTACCTGAACCCTGTCCGGCCCAAGGTAAGTATTGACATTGAGAAAGCTCTCGTCGCTCAAGATGCCATCCCTAGCACAATTCAGAAGTCGTCTCTTCTTGTGTTTATTCAACTTTTCGATGAAATTAACTACGAAATCCGTTGGTGGAATGTCAATTGAGTCGAATCCACCCATTTTGATATGCGGAGTTACTTCCATCGGCGTATGAGTGCTTACTTGAACTTCCGCTAATGAGTATCTGTCTAGAATTTGTTTCAGTTTTAAAATATTCTACCTGTTAGTTACAATTAACAATGTTGATATAACGTATAATAAAATGATTTTGCCTTTAATACTCCGTTATTACTTACACCTGTGGATCCATTTCTTCCAATTTGGTCCCAAATGGTTCAAAAACTCTCGGATAGTAAAGCCTTTATTCAGTGAATCTGTTGAATTGTTACTGTAAAAAATATCTTACCAACTAAATTTTGTGAATAAGTTATAACAAAATGTAGCCATTAGCACATTTATACCAACCCTACAAAACATACATAATATTCAAATTCAAAACAGAATCCTCTGATATTAGTTGACATCGTAACGGATTCAAAATAGCAACAATGTCCTGGTGCGACAAACTTTTGATGTACCGGTCGATCAGCTCTAACGAATGACTTGACGACTCCATAATAATATTATGTCATATTATTGAGCCGAAGTGATAATTACAAATTATTTGGTGTTATCTTTACGTGTTTTATTACTGCTTAACGACCTTTGTATAGTTTTTTAAATTGTTTTAAATATAGGTTTTGTTAATATCAGAAATACTTTTGAAAATTGCATGAAAAACAACGACATAACATGTTATTTGAAGATTCAAGCATTGATTATTCTATGTTTTAAAACTGTATTATATCAATTTATAGCCATGTTTTGAGCATTTGTAGCTTGTAAGTTTCCATATTTCTCAATTTTCAAGTAATTACCTGATCCTCTAAACAGTTCAGTGCCATTTCCAACCAATACATGTTGATCTAGAAAGCCCTATGCCCTTCTCTGTACTTTAAAACAGCTTCCAAATGACATTACTTTAACGACCTTTCGAATGTTTATCTTATTTTGACAAACAAAAACCCAGAAACACCTTCTGATTCATTCGAATCAAACCAGAAAATCTGACTGAATTATTAAATTCAAAATTTACAAATCGAGATTAATCGTCAATTAGAACAACATCTGGTGGACAACATTTAGAGCGTCATAAAATGTAAATCCAGGAAACCGTGTGGTTTGGATCTCTTCCCGAGATCTATTTAAGTTTAAACAGTTGTTGGGAACGAAAAAAACAGAAACGTGGGCGGTCAATATCATCTTCTTTAGACCCATAAGATCATAAGTACCTGAAGGCTTAAAGTGCGAGAAAACTTTTTTGGAATATGGGCAACTTTCCAAACTTCATAGTTTTGTTTTTGAGCCATTTTGAACTTGGGATTTGAAAATATTATGTCTTTTATCTTCCTTTTTACTATTTAGTTTCAGAATGTTACAGTAAACAGAAGTGTTTACTCTTGTGTTTTTTACTTTGTATTCGAAAAATGTGTTCTACATTCTTGTCATGCTATGTAATGTATTCACATTATGCCAAAAAAATTTTTTTTTGATATCACAATGTTTGTATATAATGCAAGTTTTCTTAGATCAAGCACTTTTTATACCCGAATCAAAATACTAATAAAGTTAACTTGCTTGTAACAAAAGCTTACTTATAGCTAGTTTACTATGATCTAATGTGTTTGTTTTGATAAAATAGCCTAAACTTCAAAGTGATTTTCAGTACCGGGCCTAAAATAGTGCCTACAATATCGTCTTAGCTAAGTTAAACAACGCAAAAATGTGTTCTACCAAACCGGTTATAAGTCAAAAATGAACTAAATAAACAGTCTAAAGCTGTAGACTCATTCATATAGGAAAAAACAGCTCAATTTACTTAATTTTCAATTTTCGATAGCCAAATTTAAAACAGAAGATAGCCATTGATCCCTTAAATCAGCTTTTAATTTATGTTGTTTAGATTTCAGTGTGAAAGAATACTTTCAATAACGTTTTTCTTAATGTTTACTAAACTCTTTCATTTTTTTAGAATAAAGTATTATTAATATAAAACCGCTAGTCTGTTATGTTAAAAATATGTAAAGAAATTGCGCGCGTTGCCTCAAAATTTACTATATTACACAATCATTAAATGCTGATTTTCAATTTTGGTTTTTACGATTTGAAATCACACAAATAGTCATGGACTAGTTTGCAGACAATCTATTTGTTGTAAAAATCTCGATTTTGTACTATTTTTTGGTTTTTCAGATGGCTCCACCAAGCATTTTCGGAGATCCAAAGATCTCTCAAGACGAGAGCTCCGGCTCAGTCTACTTGGACGTAGTCGTAGCTAACGCCGATCCAGCTAAGACCAAGTGGTTCAAGGGTGACGACGAACTAGCTCCATCAAACACCTACAAGTTCAGCCACAGCGACGATGCCGGCCGCAAAAAGTTGCGATGCGAAATCAAGGTACCTCGTTTATCTCTCTCAATTTCTAATTAATGCTTTGAAATATAAAATATTAGTATCAAAAGGTTATACTTTATAAACATGTGAAACCAACATATAATCTACTAAGAAATGTTTGCATCTAGCTATCTTTAGTAAAACTTTAACTTCAGAACTTTGACAAGACCTTGGGCGGTGTTTACAAAGCCGTCTTCGCTGGTTCAGATGGCGCTGAGAACCATGCCACTTTCACCGTTCAGTCCGGAAGTAAGTCGTGTTATCCTCTACTTATTGTAACTTGATATAGATGCCCCTGAGTTCACTGACAAGCCCAAGATCGTCCAAAGGGACGGTGGAAACGTCATCGTGATCAAGGTTCGCGGAAAGTCCCACATTGAGGCCAAAGCCGAGTGGTTCAAAGTAAGTTAAGTTAACCGTGTAGTCAAAAATAGGTTCTATGTATTTACATCTTGTCTATCCTATATCATTTCAAATAAAAGTCCACTCAGCGTTTAAAAAACGAACCTATTTAAGTATCCAAATCTAATCCAACTTAATTTAAGGACGACAAGCCATTGAAGAGCGATGACAGAGTGAAAGTTGTCCAGAAACCCGACGACAAAGACAAGGACGCCACACAATACCTTTTGGAAATCACCGGACCTCAGAAAAGCGACGAAGCCAAGTACAAATGTGTCCTCAAGAACGCCGAAGGATCCAACCAACAATCGCTCAACCTGGTTTTCGATTAAACCCTTAAAATGTTTGTAAATCTACTCTTTAACCAATAAAAGCATTCAGAGTCTCACAAAATAGCTACTTTAATATGATCTAAAGTGAGGTGGATGTAAAATACCGATAGTAAATCATCGAGAATATCAATAATAAAATAAAAGTACTATGCATAAAATAGAAAGCGATTGATCTTCAAAAGACGTTAAATTAATATCATTTTACATCGTGTTAGAAAATGGTAAAAAACTGCGACATTTGTTACCTAAAACCGCGAACTAACAAAAAACAATTTAGGGTTAGAATATAAACCTTCATTCAACCTTAAGAACACAAAAAGCAACAACAAAAACTAGAATTTTGTCTCAAGTTGTTAAGATTTTGTATCAAATTACTGTTTAAAACCTGAACGAATTCCACGCAGCAAACGATCGGTTGTAAACCATAAAAACTGACAAGTATAACATCAAAACAATTATTACTACCACAACATTAACACTTAAAGAAACAAAAACAAAGGTAAATAAAGCAAAGTTGAGCACATCACAAAAAAATCTGTAAAATATATTTATTTTCCATTTCAAAACATTTTTGTTCGTCTTGAGTAGGGCGCAACTTGTCGCTTGTTAACAATATTTTCGCAAACTGCGCAAATCCTAAAAGATTCCTGAAATTTTTTGGAAAAAAATATTGTTTATGTACGAAATTGGTGGTAAATTTGTCAAGCTAATCAAATATATAAGTTTACCGGCTTATTAAATAAATATAAAGCTTGGAAAGCAACTAAACTATTATACAATAAGTTTAGTTTTTATAATTGTTACGTTTTTTTTGTTTTATCTGGCTTTGATTGCAATGGAACGTTATAAATAGGTAGATATTGGTAATATGAGGCGTTTTGACATATTGTTGTTTGGAAATTTGGCAACGATAGTCTTTTCAGAAAATTATTTTACAAATGAGAGAAATTTTTCAATGTTAACCTGCGCGAATATTTTAGATCCTAAAGCATTTTTATTAAGATAACATAATAAAAAGTAGGTTCGTGTACGTACTCAGACTCTTGATGTTTGTTAAATATTGTTTGACCTTTCTACGGATATAGTTGCAGCCCAATATTGTGTTTGTTTGTGTTATGTTTATGACGGTGTGAAAGATCAAGGACGCGCGGATGGCCAAGCTTTGATCCGAGTGACTTTGAGGACACAAGTCTGGCCAGAGGAAGAGAGGGAGGAACACGGCCAAGCGGCTGTTAAGCGATAAAAAACACAGAAAATCGAAATCAAAAAAAGCCGGCTTGATCTTGCACAAGGCTTCAGAGCCGTCTTTTTGGCCAACTTTGCATGATACTTTAGCCGTTCCACTTTTTTTGCAAACCTGTAATATTTCATTGAGTTTGTCGCTCTTTTACAAGTATTTATCGACCTATCACCTTATTTATTGCCTTATTCATGGAGTAGAACGAACGAATGACGACTATGTGGCATAGGGTTCTGCTACTGGCTTTTCTGGCCGGTATATGTCAATGTAAAGGTATGTTTATGATTTTGTTGGTTTTTAGCTAAAATTGTTTAAAATATTTTATTTGTTTTTTATTTTTTTATTCATGATCTGTTTTGATGTTAATATCGTGTAATTTGGTGTTTAAAAAGCCATTAGGGTTTATGTTATACTTGGTGATATAAAATTGTATATTTTTCCTCAAAATGAAGGATTTTATGACCTGCTAATTACTATTCTGAAAAGTTTTATTATTGGTTTAACGTTTTACAGATCGAAATGTAGCCGTTCTTCTTGGTTCGGACACTCAGAATCATTTCAAACGACTATTGCTACATTCGTTGTTGCCGGAAGTTGATGAAAATTTGAATTGTAACTTTTTTATATGTTATAAGTGTTGGTTCTTTAGCTTTTTAACAAGTTTGATTTGTTTTGAGGCTAGACCATCTCCTTTTTTTAAAAAAAAACTGAAGACCGTTAAAGTTTAAAATTGTCAATTTTTCTAGAAAAATTCTTTAAGTATTCAAGGTCAACGGATACTGTTTTCAAAGAGTTTAAGTCAATAAGTTTTGTTCTTAAATATTTCATGATCTAGCTGACAAACTTTTGTCTTTCTTGTTTTAGTTTTGTCAAAATGACGTGAGTTCGTATTTTGAACAGAATTTTTTGGTTGTCCAAAGCCATTTTTCACTCGTAACACTACTGTTTTCTCTTAAAAGTTTAAAAATGGTTACATTTACTTATGTGAAAACATATTAAAGGATATCAATCTTATAAGACCACACAGAGAGAAACATAAAAGCATGTGTAATATATTGAGTATCAAGTTATTATTTCATCTAAATTAATATAAAAACTATTAGTATAACTTTCAATGCCTATCTTTTATGGTTTAATCTTAAACATGTCGTTATATGTGTAAATGTTAATTAAATTCGTTTGCAGACGATGACCACAGTTTTGTTGTTTATCAAAACAAGGAGCTTTTGGACGGGCAGTTGGAGTCGCCTTTCATCAAACCAATTTCTATTGATTTTAGCCAGATTACGGTTATTTTGGCGACAAAGGGAACGGAGCAAATGAGTTTGGAGGAATTGCGACTTCTAAATGAAATTTTGTATCAATTTAACGATGGCATCGCACTAATTAGTCTTGGTATGTTCTTACTTTAAACCTTTAGGATACAAGTTATAACTTTTTATATTATGATGTTATTTAATAGATTATATTGTAAATTATTCATGTTTCAGGAGCTGAAAATGTGATGACCCAAACTCTAATTGAGCAAAGTGTGTTTTGTTGGGCTTCTTCCAGAATCCGATCGGATTTGGAAGTAGGAGAACATCATGTTCAACTATGTAATGGAATCAAAGCTTCAGAACTTTCTATTCTAGAGAGTAAGATGATCCCCTTACATGAACATGTAGAAGAGATTGCTCTGCCTTTGATGCCTCAACGACGCTTCTGGCCTTCTGTATTCGCATCTGCTGAACCAGCCGTTAAATCAAAACATACCGATCAACCTAATGCTAGAAAGGAGAGGATTTATGGCAAGGATAAGAAGAAGAACTCGGCTGAAACATCGCAAGAAGTTGAGGAGAAGAAGGTCAAGGTGGAGAAGAAAAATGCAAAAACTGTTAAGAAAGAGACAGTGAAAGCTGATAAGAAGGCTACACAGAAGAGACAGGTTCAACAAGAAGAGGCGGAAAGTGTTGTTGAATCTAAAGATTCTGACAAGAAGTTGGACTGCAAATACAGAAAGAGCTGTTACGAAGGAAAGCCTGCTCCAACAGAAGAAGAACTACAAAGAAAGTACTCGTCAGCATCAAAGACAGAAGCAAAACCTGAGCCAAAACCATCTCAAACTAACAAAAACTTGTCGGAAGACGATAAGAAACTAGAATGTAAGTACAGAACATCGTGCTACAAAGAGAAGGGCATCAAGTTGAGTGAATCCAATGAAAAGAAAGCTCATCAACATATCATTACAACAAAACATGCTGAAGTTGTTCACGATCACGAAGCCGAAACTCTCAAGACGGCGGCCAAAAAAGCGATAAAAGACGTGGAACGACAAGAACAATATGCGAAGGAACACCCAGCTGATCCCAATTACGAATCTCTACTCAAGGACACTAATCAGAAGCTCAAGTCGAAAGAAGATTGCAAATACCGAAAGTCGTGTTATGCGACCGGGATATTGACAGAAGAGACCATCCGAGGAATTCAGCAGTCCCAGACGGCCATTCCTCAATCTCATTCTCACGTGGATGTGAAGGAGCTGAGCGAGGCCGACAAGAAACTCAAATGTAAATATCGCAAGACTTGTTACGAAACCGGCGACATTGACATTGACGATAAACGCTTTGACAGACCACCAGCCTATATCCCACCAGAAGAGAAGGTACACGTGAATGTAGTTGAACTAAGCGATGACGACAAGAAATTAAAGTGCAAGTACAGAAAGTCGTGCTACGAAACCGGAGATCTTGATCCTGAAACAATCAAAGCGGAAAAAGTACGACCGGTCGAGGTACATCGACCAGAAGAATTTCACAAATTGGATGTCGCTGACAAGAAATTAAAGTGCAAATACAGAAAGGACTGCTACGAGAGTGGTGTCTTACCTAATCTGGATGTAAATCATGTTACTCCCACCACCGAAACGCCAACAATTGCTGCGCCTAAGGGCGAGAGCAGAGAGTTGAAATGCAAATACAGGAAATCGTGTTACGAAAGTGGCCGTCTTGATGTCGAAAACAAGCCAGAGAGAGTCGTCATCTACGACGAACCCGTACCCACATCAAAGGCCGATTTGAAGTTGCGATGCAAGTATCGCCCCACTTGTTATCAAGAAATGGCCAAACAGGCTGAGGAGTACGAAAAGTTAGTTCATACTGGTCACGATGAGTCTTCTGAAGAACCGGAAGACGATGAAAACGAGTCGGATGTTATTGTTGAGGAGCCAGAAGATGATGATGAGCAAGATGAAGAAAAGGGAGACGATGAAGACAAGAAAGACAATGTTGTAATAGAAGAGGTGACTGAAGAAGAACAAACAGAAGAGCCAGAAGTTACAGTAATTCCTGGAGGCTCTAAAAAGTCCAAAAAGTACAACGTGGAGCCAAAGAAAGAGGACGAGAAGGTCGAGGAACGACCAGAACACATGAAACTAAAGCAAAAGAAACCTCCAGTAGAACCAAAGGTAGAAGAAGAACGACCGGCCAAGAAGGACGTGGAGAGAATGAGGAAGAATCCTGACAAGAGATTCGTTCACAAATTCAAAAAAGTCGGAAATTACGAGAAACTTCCAAAGTCAGAAGACGACGATGAAGTTGAAGAGCCTGTTGAAGACGTCGAGGAGGATGTTGAGGTTGCTGATGAGGGTACTGATGAGGTTGCTGATGAGGTCGCCGATGAAGTAGTTGAAGAAGAAGACACTGAGGAAGAGGAAGAAGTCGCTCCAACACCAGCGTTTGTAGCTATTACTCATGAAGACGACGATGAAGAAGAAGAGGCAGAAGCAGAGAATGTTGAACAATCTGAAGCAGAAGATGAAGTAGAATACGAAGAGATTGTAAGACCTGAGAACCCACTACCGTGCAAATACAGAAAGTCATGTTACCGTACCGGCATTCTTGACTTGGACCATGTACCTGTGCATACTGTAACGCAAAAGTCTTCTGAAAAGGCAGTTGACGTCAAGGAGTTGAAAGAAGCTGACCGAAAATTGGCTTGCAAATACCGTAAGCATTGTTACGAAGATGGAGTAATATCAGAAGATCATGCGGCTGCTAAGACTACAGTACATCATACTGTAGTTGTTGATGTGAAGCCAAAGAGTGAAGCTGACCGTAAATTGGATTGTAAATACAGAAAGAGTTGTTACGGTACTTCGGAGGAAACTGATGATGACGAAGAAGATGAACAGCCAGATGTTGAGGATGTCCCTACTCCTAAAGTAGTGCCAGTCACAGAAACAAAGCATGATGAAGATGATGATGACGACGATGAAGACGACCATGTTAAGGCCAACGGAACAGTCGATCCAAATTCGATCCCACGAGAAGCCAGACTTATGTGTAAGTACCGACACTCTTGCTACGGTAATGTAGAAGAGGTAGCTAAGAAAGACCCTCAAATAGCTATGAAGTTACATGGTGAAAAGTGTAATACCTACTGGAAGTCGTGTCGCGAAAAACTCGGACTACCTGTGATTGAGAGGGCACCAGTCGACAAGGAAGGTCGCAAGTTGTGTCGCAAAAAAAAGGCACAGTAATCTTAGTTTGTTGTTGTTATACAGGTAATATTATAGTAATAGGGTTACTTTCTTGCTAGTATTTCGAACTTTATACGAGCTATATCTATTTACATTATGTTAGGTTTACATTAGGCGGCATTTTATGCGAATTTAGAGAATTTTATGGTGTTCTAACCACTTTTGGATGTTGTAGTAGGTCTTTTGACGAAATTTGTAGAGTAAGCGATGTTTGAACGATTTAAAAAGTTACGGTAAATACTTTAAGGTGTACTACATGTCATTCTTTATTAAATTGTGTTTTTCTATAGCCTTTTATTCTTTTAATTGCATTTTTTACTTAGTCAGTCCGTTGTCATTACTTTAGGTTTCGTATAACTTGTTGATCACTTTATTTTCAATATCACGAGCACAGTATTTCCTTAAATAATATACCGAATACAGAGAATAAACGTATTTTCTTGGTCCCGCGGGATCTCTAGACTCTCGGGCTATCGTTTATCTGCTGTTATGCGATTACAAAACGGAATGACGTATGTACATATGGAAGTCGAAAGATGTAGTGCACGAAATAAAATCGGACATAGAGCACCCAGGAGGATTGTTCCGCCGCAGGGGTTATTTTGGTAACATCTTCGCTGAATTATGGGTCATAAGGTTTGGAGGAGCATGGGCTGCGAAACGAAGGGCAAATCGACCAAAAATTACACAAAAGTTTTGAAATTCGAGTAGGATATGGTATTTTGCCATATGAACTTGTAGTAGTGAGGCATGGCTTTAGTACATGGTGTTTTAGACTAGATAACACACCTTGTTGAAGAACCGTTAAGTTTGATCAGCTGATATCTATTTTACTTTAGTGTAACTCAAGCTCAATTTTCAGTATTTTATATCAAGTACGTACACGTACTATACCTACTTTAATATTCTATACTATGGCCTATCAAAGAGACCGATGAAAACTTGCCTAAACGTTCGCTTCCCCACTTATTTTAAAATTTCAAATACAGTAATTGTCATCACGCTAACTTCGAATTAACCACAATCTTCGCCATTTACACTTTACTCAGACACGTAAATAAATAAATAATGAATGGGGATAGCAACATCAAGTTATTGTTTATTTTCTGTGCCGAAGCGTCTCTCCATTGTACGTTACAAAAAGGGGATAAGGTCGCAGTAATCTACAAATAGACAGGAGATACAACTGGGGTGGTTATATTACATTATGGAACTCGGAAGCGGCGGCGATGTTACAGTACGTTCAGGAGAGTCAAGGTACTATACGGGGGTGGATTATTGCAGTATGATAAATGGGTGTAGTACTGTACTGTTGTACTGTTAAAATAGTACTGTAAGGTTAAATAAAGTGTTATATGTGTACATAGAGTCATCTGAGATAGTTAACATAGTATCGTGATGGCTGGTCAAGTACGAAGATCTTCTCCATTATGTACTGTGCTGGTCCCATAAGCCCGTTTGACGTCGAGGAAGAAATGGCGTTCAACGACTTCTGAAAAGCGACGGAAGTTGTAATTTGCATGTGAAATGGTTTTGAAATGTAAAATGGCGTTTCGAAAAATGCTGTTTATGGCATTCTCGGAAAACCTATCATAAACATATAAACCCGAGTAAGCGAAGTCTGGAGGAGTAAGCAACAGTAAGCGTAGAGCATAATCGGCCTCGTAGTTCAAGAATACATAAAGTTATGTCATTCTTGTTATGTACGCGTAGAAAGTTCTCAAATTTTTCATATTTTTAAAATTCGAAATGAAAGAAACATTGATAACGAAAACACCTATCACGACAGAACGTTTGTCGCCGAAAAAACAGTTTTACTCTGATTTTACACCGGCTACGCTAACCTGCTCTCCTCCTCCAGCATCCGCTTGGATTCGTCGCTAATCGGAAAACTTCGTCCGCCCGCCCGCTTGGACTGGTCCGCGTACCAGTAATATGGGTCGTAGTATCTGGGCTGGAATGCCCTGCCTCCAGCACGCTTCATCTCCGTTAGGTAGTAGGGCACGTAGTCGGCCTTCTTCTCGTAGCTCAACGGAAAGCTGGGCGCGTACAGGTTGCCGTAGTTGAAGCCACCGTAGAAGGCACGGCCGCCGCCACGTTTGTTCAAAAGGTAGTAGCCGTCGTTGGCGAAGCCGCTGAACGCCCGGCCACCGCCTCGTTTGTAATCGACTGGTAGGAAGGCGCGAGCTCCTCCACGCTTCTCCTCAACATCTTGGAAGGCACGGCCACCGCCACGTTTCGAGTTGAACTGGAAGGCGCGGCCACCACCTCGTTTGTCTTCTGATGCTAGGAAGGCGCGGCCACCTGCTCGTTTGTCTTCATCTGAAGATATTAATTTATGGTTTTAAAATTATTAGATTCAGATGCCAAAATTATTGGATTTAGAAGTCGGAATCATGTAAAAAAAGTGTTATCAGTTTTATAATAATGCTAAAACTAATTTCTAAAATCCATTTACTATTAACAGAGCTTTAAAAAGCAAATATTGTGCAGTAATTTCAGAAGCGTGAGAATCTGGAGATGGCATCACTTACTTAATTCACTGTCTTCTAGAGTCTGAACGGGGACGAGAGCTGCACCATGGATTAGTTGCGTTAGGATTCCTGAAATGGCACGGTAAGAAAGGAAATTTAAGGAGAATCACATGGTACACAACACTAAGTAGTAAACATGTGACAGTTTTAAAAATTTTTTATTTATTTTAATTGCGATTTTCTACAGTTTTAATAGAAAAACGGTCATTTACAACGATTTTAACTTAAATTTGCAAAGTTTTAATTATTTTTAAAACTTTTTCAAACTATCTCCCCTTCAGCAGTTTTTAGTGTCTTAACCCTACTGTAACTCTACTATAACCTTGTTACTATAATAAATCGGGTAAACATTTTTATGTTGCGTGCATTTTACATTTCTGCGAATTGAAACTGTTCTCCGGTTGAATTCGCCGCTAATTCCCTGAGGGTATCGGACGAAACGTAAAATGTAGGCCAAGATGTTGTTCATGGTGAAAAACAAATCCTGGCCTCAAACCGTTCGGCACAAAATTAATTTGACTCGGGCCGCTTATTTGATTTATATTAGAGAAGTGATATGTTATGGTAGATGTATTACTGAGAGTGATGCCATTTAATAGGACAGAAATAGCTGTGACGAAGATTGATGGCAATGAAGTTGTGACGAAGATAAAGATTGGATTCCGACAATGAAATTATGATTCTATTGAAAGTTGTGGGGAAGGGCGATCTTTAATGTTGTTATGTGTTATATGAATAAGAACATGTAGTACAAAAGTAAAGCTGGGGAGACAGACATTCAGAGTTTTGTAAAGATATGAAGAAGAAAATATTGTTTAAAGGTACTGCATCAAGGATAGTAGTACCTTCTTAGTTACTGTATAAAATGGAATGGCATTTCGAAACAAAAGTCAAAAAACGATTATGTTCAAGCTACTGTAACGACAATACAAGCCCTTGCTGCCACGTCAAAAAATATTTTTTGCCAACTTTAAAGACCTCATTACATTCTAAAAATACTCCAAAGTCATTACCAGGCCACGTGATCAACAGTTATGCTATTACATTGTAATTGTTTTTAAGAACATATCAACTTGTAGTTGTTTTCAAGAACATATCAACTACTTCTTGTTCCAAACATTAACTACCAGTTGTTTTCCAAAACCTATTAGGTACTATTTAGTTTTATAACTATATTACATATGCTTTTTCCCTGTCAATCTTATACTGACTTATTTTCTCAATCGTACTCGACCCGTTCAACCACAAAAGTTCATTTTTCGTACCCCCAAGTCATGTTTTGTTCCTTCAGTTCATATATTTTGCCCTCAGGTCCACCGTCATTACCTTTGAAAGTAACTGTGACTTGTTATTTTATGACTACTTCTTTGGCCTGAAGACGAACAAAACCTCCGTATGTTAACAAGAGCCGAGTATGCATAACTAATGGTTCCCAGTCTCATGGCAACTTTGTTTCTATGTAACTGGCGACAAATGTGACCCTGACCGTTTTTTGATCACAGTTGACGTGGCGTTGGTTAAAAAATGTAAATTTAGAGGCACTTATATATTGAGATGGGTGTAAATATAGCTATGGTAATAAGTGGCGTGCAAGGGGATAACAATATGCAAAAGTTGCGGAAATCCAAAATTCGGAAGATTTTTGAATAAATATGCAAAAATTAAGAAAACAATGGTAAAAATGTTGTCAAAGACATGCACAAAGTACAGTATACTTAAATGAAAAAGTTTGAAAAAATTAGTTTTAAACGTTACAGTAATTTCTGACACTACAGTATGTTATGTGATCCCAAGGATTGAAAGAGCAGAAATATTTTTTTTACATTTAAAAAAACTTTTAAAACTTTTTTTAAGAAAAAAACTTGTTACCTTTTTCACTCCAATCAAGAATTTTTTCTAAAAGTTTGCTCTTTTAAACCACAGTAATTTCCCACAAATCTACAGTAATATTAATAACCAAAAGTCTGTAGATTAATATAATTTCAAGAGTTTTGAAGTTTTGCTGACTTTGCAGTTCAAATTCGTAAAAAAATCGGAAATTACATTAAAAATGTCTGAAAACATGACATCAAAAAGACACGACAAACAGGGAAATAAACAAAATCCAGTAGATAGACACGGAATCGTAACCGAGACGTCTTCTTAAACCGGCAGAATGTAGTTAAACTTTGATGTAAACACGAAACTACAGTAGACGTTAGTACAGAACCATGTCTACTGATTTTAAAAACTATGCCTACAGAGTCTAAGAAGAGCATGGTAAAAACAATTAGACTAGTGCTTTTGTTTTGGATAGACTTGATAAGGTTACAGTAAAAAATTGTTGAGTTTAGATTAAAATGCAGTTATTGTGCTTTAAATTCAAAAAAAGTGAATTTTAAATAAGAAATTGTCAAAATCTTGAACTTTTGAATTCTCAAATTGGAAAAACTAAAATTCGAAAGCCAATTTTAAATTGTCAGGGTTTAGATAACGGCTATAGTACTGTTAAACCACTTTAAAACGCAGTAAAAGTAGGCTTGGCCGAATGTCATAGCATGTCATAAATCATTGCCCGATATACATAAATTAAAAACAACCTTACACACAACAAAATAAACCGTAAAACGCAGGAAAACAAGGCTCAAACCATATTCGTACTAAAGAACCAAAAGTTATTCAAAAAATTTAAAAATTTTTTTTTTATTTTCAAAATTTATATCAAAAATGCACTTTTTCCACATATTTTTTGACCGATATAACATTTTTAAAACTCTTAAATACAGCAATATTATAAACGCTTTTATATAATTATTCAAACCACCAATATCACCTTACCTAACAACGAAACAACAAGAAAAAGGTCGATCGTTCGGACGCCGAGATTCATAATGATCAGTTGCCGGAATCGTAAAGTCTGGCCAGCTTCGGTTTTGGCCACAATACTGAAGGCCGGAGTCGAACGCACCAACTTACATGACTTCAGCACGGCCACGCCCCCTTTTCGGCTTCGTCTCGGCGAATCTGCGACGTTTCGAAGCCGTTCCAACGCCTTCTGAAGCCGAAGGGAAGAATGACGTCCATTGTTCATCCGGAAACCTTGTTGTCTTCTGCAGATGTTAACGTGACGCGTCAACTGTTTCAATCACGTTAACTGCGAGCGATGATTAGATTGAGTACACTTGAGCGTGCTATGTTAAGCGAAGTAGTGTTAGTTTGTACATAATATGCATTATGGTAGTTTGTGTATGGGTATCTTTTTCCATTTATGGTACTGTATATTCTTTTAAGCTTCTAGGTATAAAGTGTTACTATTTTACTTGTGTCTATGCACGTAGTATAGCTTTTACAATGTTACGTACTACTACTATGTGAGCATACCGTTGTGTGCGAGATAACGTACTTGTTTGTATCCGTTAATGTTGTTCTCAAGCTATATCTGTTTGAAGTGACAAGGTCAAAGGCTATAGAATCATGTTAGTGTACACTACAAGGCTACAGAATCTTCAATGTTACAAAGTTAAAAAGTAATGCAGAGTAAAGTAAAAAGGCCATAGAATTACATTACTATGCGCTACAAGTTTACAGAATAGTAGTAGACAATAGTACACAACCATAAAATTTGATTAGTAGATGTTACTGACTCAATAAACGTACACATCACAAAGATAACAAAGTATAACGTCTGGGAGAGTTGTTATAACAGTCAGAGTAAACAATACCACGAGTCTTTAACCAAAATTCACAAAGAAATCACGTTTTGTGCCAACATCGCCAATGCCAAAGTCTGTTTTATTTTACAAGTATAGTTACTTTACAAAGCTAAATGTACTGTCAGTTGACATGTATCTAATCTTGTACTATGCCTCAAAGATTACATAAAGTTGGAATATTTGGGTAGATACCACATTCTGACTCGTTTTCCCACGAGTTTTGAGTTCACATCGCCTGAAAAGGCAGCAAGGAAGTAACATTACACACATTAAGGTATATTTAACATTGCTGGAGTTCAAAAAGTAACATTTCTCAAACTAGTAGAAATAACAATACTAACAAAAAAATAAACGTTTCAAGTCTAAAATGAGTATGTTATAGTAAAAAAGTCAAATAAAACTGACATTACTCATGGAACGGCAACGAAAACAATATCAAACAGAAGTGAAACTGTAAATAAAGAAAACCAACGCTGTAAATAGATAACAGTAACACTGTAAATAAATAAAATTACCCCTGTAAATAGAAGTAATGAAAAAGTTGTAAATATTTATCAAGTTTCGTTCCGAGAAAGTCAATTTCACAAAGTTTGGGATAGATAATTAACTCGCAGAGCACCATTTAAAATTAAAACAACATGTTTTGAGCACTTGCAGAGTACGAACAGTTAAAGAGCCTAATTTTATAGTAGCTCGAGTTAATAGTGGCAGAACGTACAAGTTAATAGTAAGAGCATTTACTCTTGGTTAGAGTAATAGTAAGTGTATTTACACTTCAGTAAGAGCAGAATTTGTCATCGTGAAGGAATCTGAAGCAGACATCAGTTAAGTGAAGAGTTACTACGTAGTTTGACACAAAATAAAAACGAATTTTGAAGAGAGTGTAAGATGTTACAAACAAACTTGTTTTGATACAAAAAATACGTTTTTTGAGTACATGGCTACAACAGAAAATGAAAACTAATACACTGTAATACAATTACCGTTTTTAATTCAATTTTTTTTTAAATTTTCAAAATTTTGACCTTTTTGTTTATGACAACTTCTTCCAATCGTCTTACTGAACTTACCAGATCATCTCGTCCTTGGCCTGCCCACTGGTCTTTTCTCTGTCTTAGTCCGATTTATTACCTTTCAAGCGCAACTGAACCCTTTATGCAAATTTTGTAGTGTGTTTTGTATTTGTAGGGTTGACTATAATGAAGTGTTCCTTCTGCTTCGCTATATATAAAAATAGTAATAGGTACACTCGTATTTTACCAAAAGCAAAATTGAATTACAAAACTTTGCTGCCACTTCATTTTATTTATTGTTGCAATGAGTAACAAATATTTACAGCGCCGAAGACAATAACTTATTAATCACGGAAGATCTCGAGATTCCGGAAAGCCGAGAAGCTCGAGGGTCGGGTTTGTCGCCGAGATCAGATAATTATCAACCTGAATATTTATTTTTTCGAATTCGCTTTTCTTCGCCTTAATCCCGAGGTGATATTGGGGAAAGAATGGTATTAACTCAAGTCATATTGACCATATTTTAACACATTTTTTAAGTTTTTCGAGTCGTATTTTTGCCGATTTAACGATATTTTAAAAATTTTATGACATTTTACATAGTAAATGTCATTTTAAAGTTTTTTTCTTAATTTGGTTTACATTATGAACATAATTTGTCATATTTACTTCTATATGATCGTACATTGCCAAATTTAACCTAAAATGAACAAATCACCCTATTTTTGTATATTACCACACCTTTGCTTATTACCTACCCTATCTCTGTCACATTCCCCAACCTTTCTCATCCCAACCCCAACCCGGCCATTTTTGGTGATACCATGGTAAACACGAAGGTTTTACTGCCATCCTCGACCTTTACGAATGCAAATTTGTAAGAGCGGGGGGAATCGCCACTTCAAAACGGTCCATTCACGTTACCGAGTATTATTCAAATTAGCCTTTTTGTTAAACCCGTTGAGCGACGACGGCTTCCGAGATCGCCTTGAGAAAAGAATTCGAGGCATATTTATTTTATAATTATTACACAAAAGCGCATTGTCATGGTGTTGCTTGATTTATTTGCATAATTGTTCGTTCGGCTTTTCAAAGTTTTTTCCAAAGGTGGGAGGGGGGGGGGGGGTTTGATGGGATTTTAAGGGATTTTTTTTTCATTTTGTAAGCAAATTGTAAGGTAGGAAAGCAAGCTTGGAACCTTGAGTTTTGTAAACTTTGAGGAATATTACTCTGTTTTGTCCTTATTTTGTTCTTGCATCGCTTTATAGCTAATTATTATTCGTTTTTTTGTAAAATAGCAGAACGTTGATATTACTCACTGAAACTGGTCAATTGGCTTCATTTTTAAACAGTAATCATTTCACTTTTGAACAAGATCATAAAAGTTTAAAGTTATCTTTATCAACTATATTTAAAGTTTACTAAGATACGTTTGTTCAAATAATTATGTGCTCCCTAAGCCCAAAAATTTGCATTGAAAAGGGGCACAAAATCATTTGAACAATTTAATACCTAGAGGAGGGAAATGGGTAAAAGACATAAAATAAGTTAAAAATAAAATTGTCTTTTCTGTCTCATAGCTTTTGCCATAAAATTTGCATATTTAAAATTTTTATTTTACTCCTCTTTTCGTCCCCCCCTCTCAAATCAACCGCCGCCCATACAACTCTTTTTGGTGTTTTTTTCGATTTTTTCAATTTTAAAGGACCAGTTCGCCCATTCAAATATCATTGGCATTCTGTCGCAAAAAGCGTCGAAAATCAGGCAATTTCAATCAAAATTATTTTTCTCAAAAAACGTGAGTGGGTCGGTGTCAAAATGAATTTTCCAATTTGGGACCGACCTTCTCAGGTTTTTTGCAAAAAAATGAACGTCGAATTTTTGCGACAGAATGCCAATGATATTTGAATGGGCGAACTGGTCCTTGAAGCATGCCTGAGCGTATTCTTATTTTACATTAACCAATATAACAAACTTGTCATCAAAACCTCACGTATCCACTGTATCAAAACACTCCCTGTCTAGAGTTTGTAAATAACAGCTTAACATTACTAAATCCACTTGGTTCAAGAACGTCGTATCTTGTTGATCTTAACGCCTCTCAACAAACAAACGTCCAGCATAGTGTCCACAAAGCGTTGGTCATGTTGCGAGAGATTTTATTACTTTGCGCTTTAACTATTATGTTTTATCGGATGAGCGACAGCCTTGTTTTACTTTTGTAAGGGGGTGGATCGGCAGGTCATTGCGTTATATGGGATGATAGGGGGTGGGTGGTTTTGTAGCATTTGAGAGTTCTTAAGTAATTTCGTTAGAAGAAGACTATCAACAAAAATAATAAGATTCTATTGATATTGAGAACAAGTGATAAGGCCCATGATTTTCTTTAGGCTACGATTTCAAAATTATATGTAAAATTGTTTTCACCAAATTTTGCCTATTTGACCTTCTGAACTTGGTTTTATTGCCTTTTACTGTTTACATACCATAAAATTGTCGAACTTTCATTTTATAAAACTCCTCACAATCATATCACAGTAAGTAAACCCCTCAAAGTGCAACCCCCCCCCCCCTCCTCCTTAATATCCCTTTTGCAATTTTTTGTATCTTTTGTAATCGCCTTATCCCCCCAAAAACAACACCAGCCTAAGCTTTTGTCCGGGAACATGACCTCGTGTGTATATGATTGGAAGGACAATGGATGTCGCACCTTAAAGCCGTGTTCCATTCGTTTCAGGATCATTTCATTTCGAATTGCATTGGTTCAATATTCAATCAGATTGTGACATGACGAATTGAAACCATGGATGACGTGATTGAAGCCGTTCTGGATAATCCTGATCACAATTTCACCAGTTTTTTGTTCGGTAAGGGGAAAGGCATGATGAATTGTAAGAGGAGGGCATGGTGAATATAATTTTTTACATCTTGTTTTACATTTTTAAGATTAAAGCCTTGATTTTAAATAAAAAATCATGTTTTATTCAAAAAAAAACAATTTGAAGCAATTTGTCATCATTTCAAAATCAAATTGAGATAAAAACTGATTAAAATATGACAAATCATATACCCTCTCAACCTTTGTAGTAATAAATTCCAACTTTCAGAGTCTGATGGGCCAGCGACGATAAAATTACTGTCAGAAATCGTGTCCAAACGCAATGGCCACAACATTGTAGTACAATGTTTGAGTATCTGGCAGGACTTTCAACAGTCCGAACATTCGTTTTCTGTCATTTTAGATGAACTTCAGCATGCGGTCAATGTGAAATCTGTTGAAAATTGTGTTCAACTGGTCAATAATTTGTTGGAAAAAGCTCCGGATTCCATTGCGAGGATTCGGGTTCGACATGAACTTGAGGGTATGTTAGTTGTCATCATATGACATTGTTTTTGTGATGTTTTTTGATTAAAATTATGTTTTGTTAGCTGTAATAAGTTGATGTACTATTGCTTTTTAGAACTAAAACAAAATTGAAAAAATGTCGAAATAAAACATAACTAGTACTATAAGAGTGCATAACATAATATTAACCATCCTGATTTCAGAGCTGGAATTCGGCCACCACTTGAAGAATGTCTGGTGAGAATTTATTTTGTAAAACATCTGTTACCTCCCTTTCCCCATTTCCAAAACGTTGAGAACGTTGTGATGCCGTTCCTCGTCATGACATCTGACTCATACAAAACCGCCTCAGGGATTCTGATTCTTTCTTTTTTCCGTCTTTTTTTTTATTATTTGGCCAAATTTTAGTCAGCGTTTCGATTCGAATATATTGGATAAATTAGTCACCAATTTCTTCGTACTATGTTCGGGAGTACGCAAAGACAACAACAACATTAACGTGATTCCCGTGATTGAATGTCGACACACGGACGCGGATTCTGGCACCTTCTCCAGCGAAGACGAGGACATGAGTAGTCACAACGACTCGGTTATTAAGGTGGGTGTCTGTTGTTTGTGTTTGAAATGATTTTTGATGTTGTTTATGAAGATGTGTATTCAATATTGTCCTGTTGTAACCTTTTACAAACCTTTTCGCATTTTGAAATCATGTTTTTCAGAATCCCGAGATCGCAGAAGACCTAAACTCATTGTTGTTGTCTCTAGATGATCATGAACAACTCAAACTCTTAATAAAGAAAATTAAAAACTCAAACGATGCTCCCAACGTACTCAGAACAATCAATGAAAACCTAAACAAACCTTCGACCTCAGCTCTACCACCACCCCCTCCTCCTCCCCCACCTGGACCTCCACCAGCACCACAACTCAACCTGCCCAAACCTCCACCCCCACCTCCTCTCAATGTTAAAAAGCCCGGAGGCCCTCCACCACCGCCTCCACCCTTAAACAAGGCTGGTGGTCCAGGCCAACCTCCTGTTGCACCAGCCAACGGTCTTTTCAAGCCAACACAACAGAAGAGAGTCGAGATACCGGCCGCTTTGAAGCCAAAGGTTCTGCCAGCTGAAGGCAAAAAGTTGCGACATTTGCAATGGACCAAGATCCCGGCCAACGGACTGCAGAATGAGTCCAACATCTGGCTGAACATGAGTACTTTCGGAAGCGATCTGGGTAAGTTAACGATGCCAGATTGCCGCTCTTAAAACGAATTAAGTCTGGAATGTTAAAGCGGTTCAATGAGCTATAAAATATGATCTGTGGTCGTAGTTTTACTGAGGAAAGTTACGATAGTTTTCAAAGGTATTAATCAAGCCATTCTTTGCTTTAAAACAAATTAAAGCCATACTGATATTAAATAATATGAATTATATTGTAAACCATTCTCACAACTTTCTATACCTATTCTTTCAGTTACAAAACTCAACTTCAAAGACCTAGATCAATACTTTGAAGTGTCCGAAGTCACGTCCGAATTGCAACAACCGAAAGAGGAAAAGGAAGCCAAATCCAATACGGTATCGCTATTAAACAGCAAGAGATCGTTAAGCATAAACGTCTTCTTGAGAGCGGCAAAAGGCGTCGAAAACTTGATTGAGTTTTTCAAAAAAGGAAACTCAGAAGCCATCGGAATAGAACAACTCAAGATGCTGGTACCACTACTACCAACTGAAGAAGAATGCCAAACATTGAACAATTACACAGCTGATAAGGCTCAATTAGGAGCGGCAGAACAGTTTCTGTTACAGTTGATGAGTGTCCAGTACTACAAGATCAGGTTAGATTGCATGATCCTCAAGGAGGAGTTTGCCGCATTCATTGCTAATGTACAGCCGGACTTGGAGTTGCTGATTAGAGCTGGCTCAGGTCAGTTGGAACAAATAACTTGTGTTATATATAGAAAAACACTAAATATTACTTCATATCTCCTATAAAAACCTAAAACATCAGAAAAAACAAAAAAAATTGAAAGTACAACCTTTTTGTTACCTAAAACATTTGATTTTAGAGCTGAAAACATCTCCACATTTAAAAAAGGTGCTTTACATTCTTCTCCACATGGGCAACTACTTGAACCACGGAGCTGGTGTTGGGAATGCTGTAGCGTTCAAGTTGAGTTCATTATGGAAGATCGACGAACTCAAGGCTAAAAAGTCTGACCGAACATTGCTCAACGTTGTGGCGCAGGTAACAGCTAAAAACTATAAAACTTACAATAACATTGAAGAACATATTTAAATGCCTATAATAAAGCAAGTAGCATAAAAAAGTATAGTTGCACTTTATCTTTACCCAAAACAAAAATATTCGACCAAATAAATAGTTTATTTTCCGGGCAAAATTTTGTCGAAATTCAAACGAAATGTCACAACAATGTCTATTGATTGTTTTAATAATTTTTATTTCAGGAAGCCCACAAGCTTGGAATCCATTTGGAAGGCATTAAAAATGTTCAAGAAGCGGCAAAGTAAGTTTGTTTTGTTCAATATTGTAAAATAATGTTCAGAGTACCATTTGAATCCTTGAAAAGCGAAATGAAAGGCTCTTCCGACCGTCTAAATCGATTGGAAAATCAATTGACCAACAAGAACGACGACTTCTTCAATGAGTTCAGGTTGTTCTTAGAGGTAAGAATTTATTTTTGAAATGTTTAAATATTGTTTTGATGTTTTATAGCCTTAGATATATTATCTTAGATGTAGAAATACTTAGTTTTGGGGTTTTTAATAGTTTTGCATGTTATTTTATTGTTTTAGAGATCTAAGGAGAAGGTGAAGAAGGCAAATGTCTTGTTGGACGATATTGAGGTTACCCGCAAAGAATTGGCTGTCTACTTTTGTGAAAATGAGAAGACTTTTAGTTTGGAAGAATGTTTCAAAATATTCGCAAACTTCTTGACCAAATACAAAAATGCCATGAATGTAAGTTTTTTTTTTCTTCTAACAATAACTTTATTTTAAAAGGCCTTAGATAGGTATAACGTTTAGAAAAATATGAGACTTTTGATATTTATGTAGTTAGTTACTCTTACTAGGATCAAATTGCTAAATCTAATATTATGTTTTAGGAAAATCTTCAAAGAGAAGAGCGTCAGCAACGAATTCATGACAAGTCATCTGTTCTTCCACCAGTACCTTCAATAAAATCTTTACCTCCATCTCCCCCACCAGCCCGAGTAACTTCACCAGTCGTCAGTAGAAAGCCTTCGATAGTCACAGAACAAGACCGTGGCCGAGAATCCTTCCCATTGACTCCATATCAACGTAGAAAGTCGTCGATGAGAAGAGAATCTGTTTTTGAGAACGTTGGATCCAACAATGACTTGAGTTTGTTCGTCGATGAAGCGTTGAATGCTAGGAAGTCATCTAGAGTTAGTCAATCGCCAGTCTTCAACGAGCTGAAAGAGACACCGACAGAAAAGAGCAGCGAAGAAGTTGTTATGGCCATACCTCAGAAGATTGTTGAAGTTAGACCACAGGATGTCAATGAAAGTAGGACACAAAAGAACTTTACATCGCAACAAATTGGAAGTTTCAATTCTCATTATCAGGATAACACCAAACCTCAACATCTCGTCAATACGACACCACAAACCATTGTCACTTCCAAGCCAAAGGATAATATCGCGGTCATTAAGGACAAATTGATTAACACACCTGTCAAGTCGGAACCATCTCAGACTGGTATGAAGGTAATGTCAGACAAAACACCTGGAAACTCTGTAAATAGAACAATGACCGGTCGAAAGGTCACAGGTGTTACGACAACGTCAATGGTCAAGCCAGGTACGGCTGTGGCTAGGAATACACCGCCTTCAAGTAATTTGTCATCGAAATCGTCGACCTCGGTGACATCAAGAGCTAGAGAAAATGGCGAAGATAAGGTTAAAAGCAGTATTGATAGTAAAAATTCTGGTACTGTAAACACAGCTCGTACTGTGCTAAGAAGAGTACCAATAAAAGAAAAAGAACCGGAACCTATTAGTAGAGGACCAATGTCAAGAAGAAGTGTTACATCAAAGATCCGAACAAGAAGTTCAGCTGTAGATCCAGTGGCGACTGAGAAGAAAGAGTTATCTACTTGTCCTATCAAGCCTTCTGACATCAGGGCTAATAGATTGGCTACTTCTACAGCCCCTAGCTGGGCTAGGCCTACTACAGCATCAAATTCTACGAAAGATATGTCCAAGGTTTATGCTTTGAAGTCAGAGACTGCAAAAGCGTTGGTACGACCTTCAGATTCAACTAAAACTACAACAAAGTCTTCTTTTGATGCATCTATGAATACAGCAAGATTATCGACTTCTAGACCTACTACAACGTCGCTAAAACTTGCATTGGCTGCAGTATCTCCAAAGCCTTCAACAATGACATCTCCAAAGACGTCAACCACTTCAACAACCCTGAGACCGTCTTCAACAGCTGCCAGAGTTGCGGCAATTAACAGTAGAACGACTGCTGCAACTCCAGTTAGGTCTACGGTAACTGACAGAACAGGAAAATCATCTACAACATCTTCAGCTTCTCCTGTAGCTACAAAAGCAAGAAGTGGAATGAGCGCTTCTGAACGTAGAAGTTTGTTCAAAAAGACGGATTCTGTTAGTACGGCTTCGAGGCCGGCTCTGATTAAGACTGGGAGTATATCTGAGAAACCGAGGTGGCTTGGTTAATGTATCATATGGTAGTATGGTGATAATAGCATGTAATATTGGCTTATCATTAGAATCTTGCATTGTCAGGGCTTGAATATTGTGGTATTTAACATATCATATTGAACTACAATGGATAAGTGCCTTAGCATATGAGAGAGAGCATAGATAATATATAAATCAAATTTTAGATGTGATAGAGCTTTGTCTGTTTATATTATAAATGTACTAAACATTAATTTTTAAACGTTTTTTTTTATTTAAAAATGGGTATTGAAATGAATTTTTACTTCGCTCAAAATTGTTTTGTCACTTTCTAACTCTCTACTTGTGTACTACAACATACTGTGCCCGCTTAACACATATCATCTTCAAAAGTTGTCAAAAAGTCTATTGTACCGTACTCTATTCTAATATTGTAGTACTTTAAAATTAAGTTTAAATCTACTATTTTTAAAAATTTATTTTTACTTTACCATTTTCTAGGCTAATATACTGTACCATACGTAATCCGGTTAATAAAATCTAACGGCCGTTCTGATAAGTACATAAAAAAAAACAATTTTAATTGTGATCTCCTTGACGTTTCACAGCAAACAGCTGGAACCAATTTGCATTCGAAGCCACTTCCGAAACCGTTTTAAAAGGCCTACCGGATCAGAAAGATGTCTTTTATATTGGCCTTTAAGGCTTCCGACGAGTTTAATTTTGTTTTTAAATAACATTAAGTTTCTGGCAAACATTCAGACAATTGTTTAAAAAATGGTTATTTCAACGAATTTTTTGTCAGGGGTTGGACCTAAAAAGGAGCTGGGCCGGGCCGAAGTATATTTAAAAGGGGCCGGGCTTGCACCTGAAGGTCGGAGTTCAACCCAAGTCTTGGACTGGACCTTCCCCAGGTCTAATCAAGGAGGAGGGGATGGTTTTTTTATGGATTTCTTTTACGTAATTTGTCAGATATAAAATACTTGTATAGCAAATATGTCGTTTGAGCTCAAATTTAAAATTTTTTTTGGGTAAAGTGTACTTGTTTATGGTATTTTATAAAGATTTGTTTATGTTTTACTTTATTTGACGTGTTACTCTAGCTGTCGAGAGCTCTATTTTAGTTTTATAATACTTTTGAAGCTTCGTTACAATTTTTTACCAAAAAAATGATTATACAAGCAATGTTTTTAGACTTATTTTTTATTTAAAAAATTTTTTTTAAAAAAATTGAATTTTAAACAGTTCAGTACAGTGAAACCTCTTTACTATGGCCCTCGATAGTGTGACTCTCTTTGTGCTGACAGCCCTTTGTAATAGAAATTGTATCAAAAAGTAATTGAATAGTGTGACACTCTTGTTATAATGGCGCTTTGGTCCAGCTTCTTGATTGATATACTAAAGAGGTTTTAGTTTTACTGTATCAACAATTGAATTAAAAATTTTATAATATTATATATAAGGATTAGTTTTCGATTTGTAGTACGTGATAGTGTCAAATATAGTGTAACGTACTATAAAATGGTCAGAGAATAGCTTCACAATACAATACTACTGTTTTTTAATAGAAGCTTAAAACTTCGGTCTTATTTTATAGTCTTTCTATATAGGTATTGTCCAATCCATAGTTACCGTAGATAAACTACAAAAATTAATTTTTACATAAACAATTTATCTTTATACTTTTTTTCTTTGGCTATCCTAAAATCTTAAGCAAAATGCTAATTGAGTCAAACCTTTTACTATGCAACATGAACAAGTTTCACTATACGATGACCTGTTCAGAGACAATGGCGATCTTCCACCTCTTATAACGTTTTGCACGACTCAAATCATTAATTTATCGTTCCGGTCCGGGATCGTCAGCTGGCTGTTTTGTCGTTTTTCAAATTCGTTTTGCATTCAAATCCCGTCTTGGGCCAGCTCTTCTTCATCACGGCCTCTATGCCGTTCTCGCAGCCGTTTTTTGTTAATATATCCGGGTTGTTCTTAAGCAAAATATTCTTTTTTTTATTTTGAAGTAGTCCTAATTAGTTTTGTTCGAAATTCGAAATCTTGGGCTTTGAATTTGTAGTTGCACTTTTGTAAACACGCTTGGGGAGTTTTGAACTTTTGGTTGTATCGCCTCGGGTCATGGTGAATAGTTTGATGTTTTTAATGGTTTTCTAGGCCTTTTCTTCTTAAATGGACCGTGGAATGCGTATTTTTGTTGCATGATTGTTATAGTGTGTATATGTTTTAGCCATTTTTTAATTTAGGTAACAAAATGTAAAAAAAACTGTTTTTTACTACAAAAATATTCTTCTTTACTATACGATCTAACCAATTTCAAAATTTTGAATCCTTGTTCTTGCCTATTTACAAGCCCCCACTTCCTTAAGCCATATCTCTGAACATGTACTCGGATAATGAAGCTGTAAATAATCATCGGAACACATGTTGGGGATGGATAATAAGACGGGGGGATGGTGTTGTTTCGACTGTCGTCAAATCGAGTTACCGCGCCATTTCTTCCCATTCTCCTTTTGCACATTCAGCAAAAAGAATGGCCAGAGGGGGAAAAATGAAATTCGTCGCTTACGCAATGACCTCAGGGCATTTTTCTTTTGGGACTGACCATTCGGACAAATTGCGGCTTAATTTCGTCGTCTTGAAAAGGGATACTTGGCCGTAATTGTGGGAGGGGAGGGGATTTTTGGGGAAAATGGTGACAGGAGGAGATTGGAGAGAGGTTTTTTTAGTTAGGAGGGGGGGGTAAAATTTTTTCAAAATTTTAATTTTGTGTACTAAAGAACATAAAGAATATCTTCTTTTAGTTGTATACATTTTTTCTGTTTACACTTGTACTAAAGGATATTAGGCGCGACTTGTGGGAGCGACTTTCCAAAATTTCTGTTAAGAAATTTTTGTTTTTTATCTTTCATTTTTCTATATTAATGAATTAAAAGTTATTCTTTTCTTTATTTTGGCATCAACTTTTTTATTTTTTACCTTTGCTTTTGATTCGTATTTTACCATTATCCCACTATAGAAATCCATTTTTTAAATTTAAAATTTGAACAAGTAATAGCCCCAATTTCTCAACGACCGGATATTTGTCGCAAATTATGGAAGCCCAACTTTATTTTCACCGAACTCGTCCTTTGAATAATTGAGTAATTTGGGCCAAACGAAGTTGGTATTCTGTTGTCTGTGGGCAGCGACGTGTTCATGTTTCTAATCTCCTTGTCTTAATCAGGCGGCCTGTTGTTGACGAAGAAGAAATGGCAGAGATGGTTCCGCTTCTGATCTCGTCCCCATTAAACGCTTCTGAAGCCGGGGTTTCGGGGGTTCGAAGCCTTCCTTTTTTTATTTGTGTGTTTTTCTTCCAGACGGTTTGCTTGTTGATTGGGGAGGGGCGAGATCCTCCCCCCCGCAGGGCAAAGGCGGTAGGTATTTCTTCCCCCTTCATTACTTGTTTTCCTCAAACGCTGCAATTAAGAAATCTGCCGTTGTCAACAGAGTAAAATGAAGGATAAAATTTTTGAATTTCGAGTGTCAAGATTTGTCAGAGGTTTGGGTTTGGTTATGTTTTTCAGGGTGGAGGGGGGCTCGTAAAAAGAAAAAACTTTTAAAAATGTAAATTTTAAAAATTTTTTTAAAATTTTTATTTGTAGACGATGTCATATTGTCATCTAGATTATCGATTAAACTAAGCTCAGTAATTTTGGTCAATAAGTTTGTAGAACCGTTCCTATTTTTAAGTTTACTAAACACATTTTAATGTACTTATACCATCTTTTGCTTGGTTCAAAGGCTCAATTTTAATGCCATTTTAAACTCGGTAAGTATCCTATTAAAATCGTTTAAGTACTCGCGATCCGAGCACGACATTCTGTTCGTTCTATTACAATTTTCGGTTTTTTATCGTCTTTTGAACCGTTTTACCATACTTCCTATTACCAGAGTTGTCAGTTTAAAAGTGCAACAATTTAGATATAACTTTAGTCTAGCAATTAAGACAACCCACTTAGGACTAAAAACTCAAATTGTGAGTACAAGGCACAATTAAGATAGTCAAAGATGTTATATCTAGTGCATCAATTAAGATAGTCAAACAAGTCAGCTATAATATATAGTGCAACAATTAAGCTAACCTAACAAGTCGTACCTAGTGCAACAATTAAGAAGTCTTATTTAGTACCACAGCTAAACTTAATGCAACAATTAAGATTTATATTCTCCTCCAATTAGTAGGTATCCGTCTTGTGGGAGGGGTTTTTTGGGCGGCGGAAAAGGAAATTGGAGGGAATGGCTTGAGTTTCATGAAGTTCCGGAACACCAATCCCAAAGATGCGACTTCTTGGCTTCAATTTCAAAGCTTGTACTTGCTTTTGTTCTCACTCCTACCTCAGTTTTAATGTGTTTGTGGATTCTGGAGCCAGTTTTGCTCGCCTGGTAGTGAGGAGGGGTTTAGGCTAGTCTGGGTGGGTGAAAAGACTTTTGTTTGTCTGGAGGGGTGGATGATCATCTGAGAAGGGGATTCTAGAATTTTTGACACCAGAATCCACAAAAAACTTTTCCTGCTTCGTGATTATAATTGTTGTTTGGCGGAGAATTTAAATTAACGGATAGGGAATTGTGGTTTGTGCAGGGGCGTGGTAAAGTTTAAAGTTTGTTTGATATATGTGTGGTACAACAAGAGAATTAGAAAGGGTGGATAATTACAGAGAGTAGGTTTAAATTACTGTTTGGGAAGAAGTGGGTTTTGAAATTGAACTTAATAATTTGGATTTTTTAATTATTAGGTGGGGATCTTGTAGGAAAATGTTTTTTTGTTTGCAAGACTTTTCGAGGTATTTATACGACATTTTGAAGGTTTATATCTCTGTTACTCTGAACTATGTGACACTTTATTTTTAAATATTTTTGTAGAATTTAGTTTTAGATATGAATCTTTAATGATTTCAGACAATTCCATGATGTTTTTGTTACGTAATGACATTCTTTAGCCTATTTAAAGCCTTTTACAACACATCAAAGTCTTTATAAACATTCTTGCCATATGTCGTATCTAGGGCTTCGTGATACAATTTGTATCATATGTTGTGTTCAAATGCATGTTTAAAAGTGTCTTTTAACTGCTGTATTAAGCTTTTGTGTATGATGTTTTAAAAATTGCATTGCTTAAGAAAGCTATGTCATCTAGTAGGTACTTTGTTATGAATTGTACTTACCTGACTATACTTTTTTCAAAAAAATCGAAATTTCGAAAAAATAATAATTTGTAGCCTCTGCCTTACCTCAAAACATAATAATATCTGACATTTTGTACAAAGACTACCTTGTAGTATCCCCTTTACCTCAAAAAAATAATAATTTGTATTCAAATTTGTACACCGTGGGACGAGTATTTTCGAAATTACACCACTATTGTAGTACTTACCGCTCCAGTACTTGTTTATTCTCTTAAGGTGTTTTTTCCTTTTTCATTCGAAAAATATTCGAAAACCGGGAGCACGTCCGGCTCAATTAGTTTCTTGCCGTGCTGTGGTTTTTGGTTTGTCAAAGTGACAAGGCTTCTCATGTTTGTTGTATCTGAATTAGGGTCGTACATTAATCTTTCCGTGTGTCATAATTAAGCTGCTTATGTTTTTGGAATGATATTTTGTTGGTGGGTTTATATTCTTGAGATGGGTCAAAAAGTTTACAGAAATGTCAAGTTTTTGCAAGTTTTTAAGTCATTTAAGTCAAAGAAAAAGTAATTTTAAATTTAAAAAATCGACAAAATTTGGGTCTCAACTACTATATGATACTCTAAAAATACGTTTTATAAGCGTTCTACGTACTTTCTGACCTTACATAACCCATTTTTGTCAGTTTTCTTATTTTAATGTTTATTTCTATGGCTTCCTTGTCCTACAACAACATTCTCAACATCATCTCTACTAAATCGGCTTCCCCTTACACAAACCTATTACAATATAGTCTATTAATACCTCCGAAGAGCAATAAAATGATGTGCCATTCTAAGACTTCACCTTGCTATAATTAGCCTTTTTGCTTACGTCGTCGTGTATTTTCGTCTAAAACAATATAATTAAGCCAATTTCTGACTGGATTTCGAGTCGCTGCGGAAACAACTCGGGCTTCTATTTGCATATTGGGCTTAAATTTACAATTATAATGTAAGCGGGACGGGGAATTTAATTCTGGAATTTGTGAGTGTTATGAATCTTCACGTCGTTTGAACTTTGTGCTGTGGATGTCACACTTCTTAAAGTTTTATTTTCTATAGTTTTTGGGATTAAGAGACTACGTTATTATTCTTTTACGGGCCTAGTTTTTTCGTTTTAAATTTAAGGTCAATTTACAAAAAAATATTTTTTAGAATAGGGCTTTCGAAGCTACATCTTCAAACTACCCTTCAATTCTTATATCATGAACCCATTTGAGCCCTAATTACTGGAACAACTTGTTTTGTTGTAAATATTTTGCTTATTATCACAAGTACGTGGTTGTTAAGTTTTAATCTTTACTCGAGTTTCAAATGTAGGGAATGGCTAATTAGTAGTGCATTTGTTTCGACACTTTTTTCTGCTTTAAAGTTGAACGAGTAAAAAAATTAAAATGGCTATTATAGGCGATGAAAAACAAAAGGGAAAGGGACTCTTTCACAAAAGTTTGAGATGATTGAGGGTTTTTTTATCAATTTGATCCGATTATTGAGCCTGAATTTTTTGGTCTTGCCACGATAAGCTTATTATTATCTTTTTGAATTTAAAAAATACAGTAATAAGGTCAAAATGTTCGTAGAACACTATCTTTTACGAAGTTGATCTTTGTTGACGACTTTTTTCTTTGATTTTTGAACAATCAATCTTGTTATATATTCTTGTTTATGGTTAATTCATTACCTTACATTATGTTATAGTATTCCTGGAATTTGTATATTCTATCATACTTTTGTTATTTTACAATTGGTGTCAAATTCCTTTGTTCTTTGTTTTTAACTTTCATTGACTTATGTCATCATTTTTATTTAAATGTGTATTGTGTTACAGTAGTTCATAGTTTTTTACAAAATAATTTTTTAGCTTTTATAATATTACTTTACTGCAAGTGTTTACCGTCTTTAACTTAATATTTACATTCTTCAAGTTTTTACTGTAAGTCTTATCACATATTACTTTGCAGCTTCCACTATAGGTAAATGGTGGCATAGGTACAGTTCTCACTGTACCTACATTCATCACTTATTCACTGCACTTTCATGCTGTTCAGTTCACCCACGTCCTATCTAAATTGAGACAAGTAACCCTTGAACGCAGATCGTCACAATAATTGTTTTGCGACAATACTCTAAGTACTCGTTTATGTAAAATACGGCCTAAATGGCAACTGTGTTTTGTAGTAAATAAGTCTGTGGGCAAATTGAACAATGTTATTGACGTGAAGGCAGTAATTAATTATTCAAAATGGAAAACAGTCATTCGTGTACACTGTACTCGAAGGTCCCGTGTTTAACACTGTAGCGTGAGTGGGAGGGTTTAATTCTGTTACAGTAAACTTTTTGTGGGTTTTAAAATGCTTTATGCTTTTTTAGTAGCTAATGTTATGTTTATTCTTACTTTTGCGTTATGTAGCTGTGTTTACTATAGTAAACGTTATTTTTTTGTACTTTAATATCACTTTTTCATTTTTTTTCAATTCAACCTATTTTTTCATTATTTCAGTTCCGTCAAACCCTAAACGCCAATAAAATGCGTCGCCTACTACAGCCATAAGCAAGGTCAACATTCAGATTCCAATTTGGCATTGTTTACGTCGTTAACGATGGCTTGTGCTACCGCCCAGGCATCGTTAGTGACATCGGTCGAGAAGCGGTTCAATCGTAGCCTGTCGACTCCAGATTTGGTGTCTTCAGTTTCGACCATTTCCAAACGTTCCCTCGTCCTGGATTCGGCCGCCAATCCGCTACAGCCTTTGGACATGGAGACGTTGTCGCGACGTCAGTCTTCACTGACTTCTTCGAACGACAATCCCGTAACCTTCTCGCCAGAAGACCGACCTCATTCACGATCCAACGAACTCACCGTCCCAATTCAAGAAACCCAAAATGGCTCAATTATATCGTTTGGCAATGTAGAGTTAATGAGGTCCTCGTCCGATATGAATGTAGAGACCTACATTGACGAGAACGGACACAAAATCAGCGTGCACAGTCCGCCGCCTGATGAGATTAGGCGAACGCTCCTGTCGTTCCAGAACGTTGGGAGAACGTTGCAAAAGACACACAGTCATTTGAAGAGGACACGGTTACTACACATGTTCTACTTCCTCGCACTTCCGGTATACACGGTCATTGGGGCTGTTATCTTTCATGTAGGTTTAGCGATTTCAAGTAATTTTTTGAAATTTGTAAATATAAAGCTAGTTTTGTCAGTCTGGTTTTGTCTCAACACGAAAACCCTGAAAATTAATTTTGGTCTTTAAATGCCATAAAAAGGATCTGTTCTAGTAATTTATGTTGTTTTAGTCGTTCCTTTATAAAAACAAACGTAAAACAAACGTTTTTTTATAAAATAATTTTATTTATTACCTAATTTAATTACCAAAATTCAATACCTCAATAAAACCCCTAATTACATTACAATAAACCAATTCCAGGCATTGGAAAGCGGACACGACGAGCGTGTAGCCGAACTCTACAAGGTCAGATGTCTGACCGACCGCTCCCAGAAGCTACTACAATTAGAGGAACTGTGCGCGTCTTCTGGAGTTAATTGCTACAATCACTTCAAAGAGTTCCTGACGTCAATAGACAGATGCTACAGGGAATGGCAGTCGGACAACAAAACTATCGTGCACCCGATGTCTGACTTCACGAATGCCATCGTGTATGCATTCAGGTGGGTCACGCAATGTTGTTTATGTGATAGTTAAGATGGTTTTTGTGGTGGGGATGTTAACATGTATTTTAAACTTTTTGGACATATCTGTTGACATTTTTACCAAGAAAGCGGTTTGGAATACTTTTGGTCTCACCGCGAAAACCCTGATTATCATTTTCAAGAAAGAAAAGGCTAGCAAAGATGAAAACATGTTGAAGTAGGTGTCACCATCTTAAATTTTGCATACAGCAACTCAATACACACACAATTGTACATATTACATTGTAAAACAGTATGAGACTTCACAAACTGCAGTAATATACCACTTTTTTATACAAAATAGTAGTATTACATACAATATAACAATTGTAGGTATCTTGAAACGTATAAAGTAATCATTAAAATTAAATTTTACTTCCTTTTCTCTATCTTATAGTAGCTACATTAACCATACCTTTTGAAGCACTATATTACTGTCTTTCCTCACAATTCGTATGTTCTGTGATTTCTCTTTTAAGTGGCTCAATTGTTATTTACAGTCCACCAAATCCGTAGAATAACAGAGTAAGAAAACAAGATTTTATGTCACGCTTAATAGAATTGCCATAGCAAACCCGGAATTGACAGAACTATAATATAATTTACACAAAAAGCTTCTATAATATTATATTTACGAACAGATACTATAATGTAGTTGTAAAATGACATAATATAATATGCAAACACATATTTAAATAGAGGAATTGAATTACGAAGCAGTTCAAAAGTTTAAAAACTAAACGCAAATGCAAAACGAGGGCAAACGATTTAAAGTCTAGTATAATATTGTGTTAGAGGCTCTGTTTTTATTTTTTGGTCCAGACTAGGCACCTTTTTCAAGTCCAGGTATTTTTAAAGTCTGGTCCGGTTTAGAAATTTTATTCTCAGACCGAACCAAGCCGGATCGTTCCAGGAAAAAAACTGTTTAGAACTATAGTGTATCGATAAACTTTTGAATAAAAAAGGTCTCAAAAAACATAAAAGTGCAAAAAAGTGACAAATTCGAACCGGATTATGGAATTTAAGATGAGGAAACTCAATGAATACGTTTGCAAGACATTAACATATCAAAGGAAATAAAATTTCAAATTTTTTGGTTATTGTCAGAGACAATTCTGATCTCAAAAGAAATTATAATTTTTTAAAATTCAAAATATTAGAGTGTTCAAATAATTCTGTGCCTCTAAGCAAAGCAACTTTTTGAATTACAGGATCATGTTAACAACTTTATATACTTTAAAACAATAACTTAACTTCAAAATATTTTAGTGTCTACACATCTATCGGCTATGGCACAGTATCCGCCAGCACGGTATCAGCTCGTGTAGCTACTGTAATATACGCAGCCTTGGGCATTCCATTGTTCTTCGCTTTTGTCAAAGAAGAAGGTAACCAATGTCGCATCTGGTTCATCCGAGTTTACAATTATTTGAAGCGATGGAAACGACAGCGACATCGAAAGTGTTGTTGGGGTAAGGATTTTCACTTTTTAAGTTTTAAGCGACAATATTTTACAAAGCATTTTTTATTGGTGTAAATAATCGACCATAGTTTGGTAAAATACGTGTTAAATTTTTTCCTTCATACAGTAGAGTTAGTGTCATGCTTTATGATTAGATGTTGTTTTACATTTTTATGTTGTATAAACAAAATTTCAAAAACCATTTTTATAGTGTTTTTGTTTTGTCATCCAAACATCATCTATGTTTAGTTTAAGTTCTTTATCCGGAAACTCTAATTCTGTCCCATTTCTTGCATAGCTAACTTTATGGGATTGTTCTTTGAACATACCATCTCATATGTTATGTAGACTTCTTTAACTATTTATTAGATCAAATTCATTGAACCTAAACATCTGTATCTGTAGACAACTTATCTTTAACTTAAAATGCTCTTTGAACTCTTTATATCTTATACATTGGTCTTATTTATCTATACGAAACATAGACATTGTTTATTGTCGTCTATAAGTACCATTTTGTCTGTATTTTGTTTGATATGTTATATATTCTGTACAGCCTTAGCTATCTTCTGTAAAAAGCATGTACATCATGAGCTATGCTCATCTTACATTAATCTATAAAGCCAAAAAAGGAATTCAAATACGTACTTCTATTATGAGCTTGTTTTCAATGATATGGTTCATTTACTGAACCCAAAAAGGCTTAAAAACACAGTAGGACATGTTTTCTAAACAAGGATCATGAGGTCACTTTTGTCAATGTATAGGCCATGGTAATGAATAGGTCATTATATTGCTTTTATGATAATGAATATAGCATCATATTACTTTTACGACAATAATAAGGTCAAAAAATACTGTATCAGAAAAGGTCATAACACTATTTAGAAATGAATAAAGTCATAAAATTATTTTTTCAAATGATAAGCCCTAAAATGGCATTAGAATAATGATGACTCGTTTAGTACTCAAGTCGGATGACAAGAAAAACAGCGACAATGACGCGATGACATTACGCGACTGTGATGACGACAATATGGAAAACGGGAAACCCTTCTTCACACAACATTTGAGTATCTTCGGTAAGGAATACTGTAATCTACTGTAATATTTAGAGACTTAAAACATAACTTTCAAATTTTAAACTTTTTTGTCGCTACAACTTTAAAAGTAACCAATTACTGTGACAAACTATAAGCTACCTTTCAGACCCCCAATACATAACATGCTCGGATCAGCGACGAGTGTTTGTCGCCAGTGTGCTGGTCTTTGTGATATATTTACTGCTGGCCAGCTATATTTACTCAGTAATGGCTCAGTGGGATTACTTCACTTCGTTTTACTTCACTTTCAGCAGTGTCGCGTTGATTGGTAAGTAATTGCATAAATTATAAGCCTATGAATAGCAACAGCTAGGAATAGTAATATTGTTTACTCTGCTTTTGTTTTCGCACTTTTAAAGCATTTGAGAGAATTTGCATCAAAAATGGGTAATTAGGTTTACGTGGCACAGTTATGACAAATATTGTTATTCTGTAATTGTTGTGTATAAATAGATTTGGTTTGGGCAATTACTGTAACTTAAAGTTCAAAAACTTTGAATTCAAAAGTTTAAAAGTGCAAACAGTATTTAAAAGTACAAAAAAAGTCGCAAGAATGTATTTTAAAAACTAAAATTAAAAACTCAAATTTCAGGTTTTGGCGACGTCTACCCCAACGATCCACGTATCATCCTCGCCAACATGGTCTTCATAGTGATAGGAGTGGTACTGTTCAGTATGTGCTACTTTATCTTACAAGAAGAGATCCGTGCGACAGCATTTGAAGCTTCGAGACGTGCACGCATGAGTATCTCCAAGTACTCTCACTCTCTGATGCTACACAAACCACCGTGGTCGAGAAGAAATTCTCCAGCGTTCGACCAGAACTCGTCGAATTCATCGTCGAAGAAGTTTCAACAGAACAGAAAGCGACGACAAAGTGCACCAGCTATCACAGTACAAATGGACAGGTGACAGTAGGAGAGGATTGAGTATAAAGTGGTACTACGAGGGCTTATAGCTGTTGATGGTACTGGAAAGGGGTACAATGGTACGAAAAAAGCTGTGTACAAAAAGTTGCAGTACGAAAAGGATTGTGCACTATTGGCTGTTTTAGTACAATGAGTACTACTTCAAATGTATCTGGTCTCCTGAATAGACTAAATTGTATTGCCGTTGCCGTCCACTGCTTGTATTGATGACTGTATAACCAGTAAAAACCAATTATAGAAAACTACCGGTAGAGATAGACCGTTGATTGTACTGTACTTAATGTCACTTTAACTGACTGTTATTTATTTATTCTACTTATTGCTCTCAAATTATGTTGATCCGGGTAATTTATTGTAAATAAATTCATTATTATCACATTGGACAGCTTTTGACATTTCAAAAAGACGTTGGTTCTTACCTTACATGATTAAAATTATTAAACTTTATGCCTTATTTTATCATCAAAAAATCATGAAAATATTTTTAAAAAAATTAAAAATATGCAAATTTATGGCAAAAACAAAAAGTTTGCGCCAACCGGGATTCGAACTCGGGCCTCTGCCTTGGGAGGGCAGCGTCCTAACCACTGGACTACTGGCACGTTGAAACAAATAAAACCCGACAAAAATAAATGCCAGAGGGTACCCGGATTCCCATGGATATGGGAAAGGCAAGGAATTATAAAAAGCGACAAACTTTGGCGACAAAACAGTCAAAAAAATGAAAATTTCAAGGAAAAATTGATTGAAATAAGGCATAACAAAAACATCTATTTTCTAGAAATCTTCGGCTTATTATCTAAAGTTAGGCAAATTTAAATTAAGTAAATGTAGGTACCCAGATTCTCAAGGATATGAGAACAAAACCAACAAACGCTGCCAAAAAATAGATAAAAATCATAACTTGGATATGTCTTAAAGATAAAACGTTGAAATCAGCACAAAACTATAGTTAAACTTGAGGATAAGTAAATCTACATTTGACGCAATAATCGAGTACCCCGTAAACTATATTTCTTGTGTTATGATCTTGTCCATCATCTCCAAAATGCCAGCGAACCCACCACCAACTGCTGCTGTTGCTCCAACTGTCCGTTTAGTTATGGAGCCCTTGGTCTCGTATAGAGTATTTGTTGTTGGTCCTTCAACACGTTTGGCTGACATGATGCTGGACGACGAAGTTGTTATCATTAGAGTGGAATGTAGAGTAGCACAAGCGCCAGAAGATACAGAAGTCAGGTTTCCCACTGTAAAAGAAGAAGTTAAAGGTATGTTACTATATTTTGTATGTTAGTGTAATTTAGGACATTTTATTAATAAACTGAACTAATTACTGTAATATAAGAAAATAACTGTTATTATGCTTTAAATTAAAAGTATTTTATGCTTACTGTGGCTCTAGCGCTAATCATTGATAAAAGTCGTAATTTACTTTTGTACACAAAATTTCAACTGCTTCCATTTCAGATGCCGAATGCAAAATTTGCTACGAAACGGCTCCAGAAGCCGTCAAATGTTTGCATTGCAAGAAGTGGGTGGCTTGCGTACCATGTGCTACAAAATGGATTCAAAGTCGCCGAGAAGAAAGAGCACCACAAGCTTGTCCATGGTGTCGCGCAGATTGGACAGATTTAGAAAAAAGTGTCGTCAAGAACGCTTAAAAACTTAAACTGTACATTACTGTATTTAACGCATAATCTAAGTCAATAATTTCTGAAAATATGTAGATGCAAATAAATATTGTAAATACATTGTCACTGTAAATAAATAATTATTATCACATTGTAACTTTAACAAAAAAATTGCATTTATTGCTTCAAAAATGCGAGCAACCCATTTCCCTAACCTCTCTCTCTTTAATCAAGTTTGCACGGTACAACACTTTTTTTCCATCGCACAGTGCAAAAATCTTTTTTATCCTTGCACTGTGCAAGACTCATTAATCCTTGCACGGTGCAGCCTTATCCCAACCATTGAAATGTCGCGACAATTTTCTTCAAACCCACTTACACTGTGGAAGTCTAAAAGACTGTCGTGAACGTCGCAAAACCACGGAATTCCATCCTTTGCTTCCGTACAGTGCAGATTTGTCGCGTAGTGAAAGTGTTGCGACACAAACAATCGCAGTGCAGGTTTTTTATTCTTTTTGAGAAGGATTAACCTGCACGGTGCAGTAAGTAAAGAAGGAGCGCTCATTCAATTGTTTGCACCGTGCAGACCCTTTCTCTTTTCTTGCACTGTGCAATGAAGAAGAGATTCGAACTCGGGCCTCTGCCTTGGGAGGGCAGCGTCCTAACCACTGGACTACTGGCACGTTGAAACAAATAAAACCCGACAAAAATAAATGCCAGAGGGTACCCGGATTCCCACGGATATGGGAACGCCAAAGATTTATAAAAGTAAGTGCGTTTTGGCGACAAAGCAGTCAAAACTTAAAGATTTAAGTCAGAATTTACTACAAAAAAAATTTTTTGAAAAGTTTTTTGGTTTTTTAACAAAATTTTTTAAAAAATTTTTAATTTGTTTATGTTTTTGCCGCAGTCTAATATTATTTTGAAGGTAGCTTTAAATTTATTATATGCAATTAATTAAGCTTTATGTTCATCTGAAACAACACGTCTCCTCTATCATGTTTGTCGTCGTAATCAAGTATTTATATGCGCACGTACTTGAGATGTGTGAGAATAAACTGTCAGAGTTCACGGTAAAACAAACAAAAGTCGCGCTTTGTCGCTGAAGCATGTCTATCAGAGGATGTTGTGCCAAGTTTTCGCGATATATTTTGATTATTCTGAATGCACTCCTGACGCTTTTTGGGTTGGCATTGATCGCGTTGGCTTTGTGGGTTAGATTCGATGTCAATTTCGAAAAGGATTTGAGGATTAACATACTGAATAGTACGCCCAACCCTCCGGAAATGTACAAAACTAAGAGTACTATCAGAGAGAGCGTAGGTTTATCTTTAAAATATTCAACTTTTTTTTTCATTTTTTAGTAATAAGTTTTAAAAAATAAAAAAAATAAATCATATTAGCCTAACACTAAGATACAGGCGACAATAACAATATGGACATTAGTTGGTTGGGCCGTGATCATTATCCTAACTGGTTTATGGGGTATCTTGTGTGGAGTACTGTACAAACGACCGATGACAATGTCTTTCATTGTGGTAAAGCTAGTACTCATTGTCGCTGAAATTGGAGTAGGCGTTTTGACTTTTATTTTTAAACCAAGTGTAAGTTAGTTTAGATAGAAGTGATTCCTGGCAGCGAGGCCAGGTAGGGCGCTACATGAGTTATGATTAATTTCATAATAGGTAGTGTCTTTAACATCAATAAGATGTCAAAGATAACTGTAATGTGTTATCAATAGCTTTAACTATAATTCCAGATCAAAAGCTTAATCGAAGACTACGTACGATGGGCTTTTTCATTTGCTACGACAGATACCAAGACGTTGGTTGAAAGAGTAAGATGTTTTTGATATTAGGTTGTTCAAAAAATTTTGTGCTCTCTCAAAGCTAAATTTTTGGAGTTAGAGGCACAAAATTATTTGAACAATGTAATATGTGTTAAATAATGTCGGTTAATTTAGTTCAATTGCTGTGGAGACAACACTGACAACATTTACAATGTGGCGTACTGTTCCAAAGCGACTTATACTCAGGTAAATGATTTTTGAACAAAACATGCAATGTAATCATAGTTTTACTATAATATCTTATAGTTATTAAAGGACCACAAACGCTAGTCAGTTTTGTTGGCATTCTGTTTCAAGATAAAGATTGGCTAAAATTAAAAATCCGAGATATAACGTACGACCTTCTTGGCCAATAACTTCAATTAATCAAATAGCTTAATTATAATTTCAGTCCGAGAACTGCACGGATCTTGTTTGGTCCAAATTTGAATTCGTAATGTTGGTCGCTGGCCTTGTCCTCATCGGCGTTCTCTTAGTCCAGGCTTTGGCTGTCATTGTGGGCTTCTTTGTGTTATGTACTTTTAGAAAATTGCGGTGATTACTGTAGTTAATTTTTGATTAAAATATTTTTACTGTCTTCATTGTGACAGTATCTTTATAAAGTTATATTGTTTATTAGTTTCTAAAGTTTACAGACCTTTCTTTAAAGCAACATGCATACCTGTTAGATATGATACTATTGTCATACCCTTTATATAGGTTATCTAGTTATGATGACAGCCGTTTCTATATTTGTTTCAAACCTTCCGGTTTTTCAGTTTTGTCGCAAGGCTTAAGGTTTTTGGGGAGCGAAAAGTTGGTTTTACAAACAATTTGAACTGTTTTACGGGTTAGTTTTGAAGTTTATGTTGTCTTAGTTAATCAGAACAACAATGCAAACACTTCGAACCATAATTTGTACTGTTTTCTTAAAGCTTCAGGATGTTTTGTGTTCAAAAACGACATTTTTATTGATATTTTTTGAAAAATTTACGTTTTTTGATGATAAGATTTGTAGAGTACCGACTAATTTTAGAAGTTTTCGTTTTTTCTATATAAGTCATTGTCCAAAAATGCCTAAAGTAATGTTTTATGACCTTCCGATTATAACAGACTCTATATCTTTCCTATAACAATATATGCTTTTGTTTCTAATTTGAGGCTAAAAGTACAATTCGAAACTCTAAACGTTATGTATCTCTTAATTAATAAACCCTTTGGCTATATGAAAGTTAAGAGTACTATCAGAGAGAGCGTAGGTAGAAAAAATGGGTTCGTCCTCCCACGTGACGGATTACTTTGAGTCTGGAGAAAGAGCTCATAAATCGTCGAGGTCGGGTATGTAACTTAAGTTCTTGGTCAGATTAATTGAAGCCCTGCAAAACAACCCTTTACCTTATGTTTCGAAAATGTTTGTTTTAGTTAAACACTTTTCAAATATTGTTTTTGGTGGCGTTTTCATAAGTCTTGTTATTTTATTTTTTGACGTTTAACAGTATTTTTCCGTTTGCACTGTGCAGTTTAGCACATTTAACTTTTCAAAGCTTTCTCAGCCGGTTGTGTTCTATATCAGTAATCAGATTATATTTGATATTATTATGACAAATTTAATCCCCCAGGCAAATAGCTAATCTCATAAATATTATGTTAAATTATTTATAAGCTTATACTTTAAGCTGAGTCTAAACACTTTTGAATCCATGTTAATTTTAGCAACAACATAATGGATTAAAATAGAAACGTCACTTATCAACCCACACTTTCATGCCTACTTTTAACCCCAACGTTCCGGCTTCTAATTGACCCCTGGGGAATGGGAGATAGTACTGTAAACATCTTTTTGCAAAATTTCATTTTCAAACTGCCATTCTTATGTTTTTGGGCTGACTGGCCTAAACAAACCTTCTAAAGCAATAAGGTTTTGTTTATTAGTATTGTCAAGTTTATAATGTGTTTTTCATTTTAGATATTGTCATACTTTTTATTATAATTTAAATTTTTATTGAAAATATCAACCAAAGTTTTTTTTTTACATTTTATGTAAAGTTTAAAGCTTGTTCAAATAGCTTAACATAAACATTCCGATACTCTTTCCCCTCCAAAACAACAATAAGTTCAGCCTTTGAACCGGATCCCATAACTTGAAATGGGGTTTTTAACCATTTGAACGAGCTGTTTACTTCCCAAGTGACATCTGTCATTTAAGTTGTAAAATCAGCATATTCAGACAATGTAGGTAGGCATTAAAGAGATCGAAAAAGATAGGAACAGCCGCGTTTTGGAGCCGTTCGGCCGCTCTTTAGGCCAGCCGCTCGGAAAAGAAGGACTGGGCTGGCCGGAAAAAACTTTTCTTAATTTTTTCTAAATCTGCTTTAATTTTTTGAAAAAGACCTTCTTTTTTGCTTTTACAACTGCCAGTCATCAAGGGCTTCTCGGCCGTCGTAACACCTCCTCCATCACTCTATGGTTGGCTGTGATTGACCCTTGTTTTCATAACAATTATAATGATGGACCCGGAAACCCGTTCCTCTTCCCAAACCAGAACCATCCTTGCCGAAACACGTTCCGTCCGACCAAACCACCCAAATCTCATTAAGGGCCGAGACATTAGAGGAGGATCGCGCGAGGAAGCGGCCCGAGAGATGGATGTGGTTCTTTCCATTGGCAGTCTCGAGTGGCCCGCGGTCTAATCGATGCCACAAAAAGAGTGTCTCTCGGCCTCGGCTTCACAACCCCTCGCACTATTTCCCTTTATGTCTTCCCCTGAGGCAAACGTCAACGGCCGCCTCGTCTTCTGTTTTTCGGGAAGAATATACGGGCCACCAATTCTGACGTTAACTTGTAGTTTTTTGTTATACACAGTTCTTTTTGTTACAGGGAGTTTTTTTGATTATGTGGCATGATTAGCGATGGTTTCAAGTGTCATATAAGTTTTGCTACTTTTTTAACCAAAATGTTGTGTTCTTGTACAAAATTGATTAAATTATGTTTTCATCTGGTATTTACAGCTTTTTTTGTACATTTTTATATACTATTTATCTTGCTATTCGTATATTTTTATATACAACATATTTACTTTACATATCATGTTGTATTCAATGTTTGTTAGATCTTTCTTGTTTCTCATAAACTTTAAATTATATAAATGAGCATAGACAACAGGCTATTTGTTATTTTCTCATTAAATTGGCTTTAAATTTAAGTATGACGTTGGCTTTGATACGGAACAAAGGATTTTCGGCGATTTTTTCAACTTTTGTTTTATATACTTCAAGATGGATAATATAAAGTTATAGCTAAAGAAAATTTTTATCAAAAAAGTTTGACATTATTTTTTTTATTTTTTTTTAAATTTTTTAAATCTAAATTGCACTTTTATAATTTAAATGTAGCGTTTTTGTAAACTTACAATACCTAACCCCTTGCAGCCTGCAAAAACTCGGACGCGAGCCGCGTGTTTCTTTTTTTGGAAAAAGTAAAAACGTGATGGGATTTGAGTGTAATACCGGGTAATACATCGGTTTGGATGCATATTGTCGAGAAGATTGTTGTTTTTGCGAACAGTCGCTCGGCCCCCTGAATTTTGGATTGAATTTCTTTGGAGATCTCAGCTTTCGACCTTTTAAAATAATATTATTCGTGTTATTTTAGAGTCGTTTGCTTCGAAAAGTCTCGTTTTCGATTGACAACCAGCCCGACCAAATTGATTTTTCTAGTTTTCTTCAAGACAGTTTATTTATCTTTTATATTATGATGTTTATTGTATCGATTAAGGAAAAACTACTGATTTCTGGTGTTTATATTATTTTAGGTATTAACTTTTGAGGGCGCTTTTTACACTTAAAGTATGGATAAAGGCGACATTTTTATTGATCTAGCTTGCATTATATGTACTTTTCCTTTTTATTCGTATATATATTTGATTGAAGATTTGTTTTTCAACTCAATTGTTGATGTTACTCTTGTATTTACCACTTTTCCTTGAACTTTCCGAAAGTTCCTACGGTTTTTGTGAAAATCATATGTTTTGGTCCCTTTATCACGAGCTTGTTATCTTTTTCTAATGGTTCACTTATTTTAGGGTTTAGTTTTTTTTCTAATGTACGACAGAATTTAACGACGAACTTTACAAAATGGAAGAGTTCGATGACTTTGTATATTATAAGAAGGACATGTTGGGCCATGGTGCCTTTGCCGCTGTCTACAAAGGATATCAGAAATCTGTAAGGCATTAAAATTATTTTCAAAGGTTTTTAGTTTATAATTGTATGATAGAATCAATTAATGAATGTAAAGTAAAATGTTATACCTATTATAATTTCAAGAAAGTTCAATATTATGAACACAATAATATGTTATTTGCATGCTTCAGAACAAGAAGGAAATAGCGGTGAAAGCGATTCAAAAGAAGAATTTGAATAAAGCCAAGGGATTGCTGCAGAAAGAGATCAAGATCTTAAAGGTATGTTGCTGTAATTTGATTTTAATCTAAAATTTAGGAATTGAGCAGTTTGAAACACGAAAATCTGGTATCTTTGCTGAAATGTTTGGAGAATACCAACAGCGTCTTCTTGGTAATGGAGTTCTGTAATGGTGGAGATCTTTCGGACTACCTACAGATTCATGGCGTCTTGGATGATGTTGTTATTCAACACTTTTTCAAGCAAATAGGTAAGGAAAGAGTGTTATGGTAGAAAGAGTAATATCTGTTCAATGTTTTTTTTATTTTGATTTACTATAAAGATTACTTTATATAATGTGTAATATTCTTTATTTTATTTGTTACCTAAAACCTAATACAAGTTACTGACTCATAGCATCGTTTTAGCCAGAGCCTTAGAAGCTATAAACAAGAAAGGCATTGTTCATCGTGATCTCAAACCCCAGAATATTTTACTCTGTAACCCTCCACATAAGAAAGACTTTCCTATTCAAGAAATTGTTATAAAACTTGCCGATTTTGGGTTCGCCCGGGTGCTAGGAGAAGGTATTATGGCCGGAACATTATGCGGGTCTCCGATGTACATGGCTCCAGAAGTCATTATGAGTCAGAAGTACGATGCTAAAGCTGACCTTTGGTCCATCGGTACTATCATGTACCAATGTCGAGTGGGAAGAGCGCCGTTTCAGGTTGGTTTTTGAAGTTTTATAACGTGTTTAGGTAATAATTATATTTATTGTATTAGTTTTAAAAGATTATTTCTTGAATTTTTGATATTTACATTTATACAATTTAGGTATGACTCATTTGATTGTTTATGAAATTTTTATTTTAGGCAAAGACCCCACAAGGCTTGAGGTCATATTATGAAAAGAACAGAGATTTACAACCAAATATTCCTTCTAATTGCCCAGATAACCTCCGTGACCTTCTTCTACGCCTTCTGAAAAGAAACTCAGCCAACAGAATCGAGTTTTGTAAGTGTTATATACTTGTTTTTCCTGTACTTTAGGTATTTCATCATCAATTTTGTATATTTTTTGCACTTTCTGGACTCTAACCAGCTTTGTAGTTTTTGTTTTTTCAACGAAATGTATATTTTCTTACTCTCACGACGATTCTATAATCAATACTTACGTTTTCTTACTTTAGTGGACTTCTTTAACCACCGTTTCTTCTACGAACCTGTCGAAGACACCTCCAAACGGGTATTGGAACAAATGTCAGCCACCAACAGAGTCCACGCGTCGCCTGGAGTCTACCGCAGAGCTCCGATTACAGAAGCACCACTAAAAAGAATAGGATCAGAACAAGTTACTCACACCAATCATCACAACATTCCGTCTTCCGCCAACTTGGCCAGACCCTCTACTGTCGCTAGACTTCAGCCAGCCACATATGCCAGTCCAATGAAACGACGAACAGAACAATCGCCAGCTCTATCGTCGCCCAGAACCACGGTTCCCAGAAGTTTGGCAGCGAATCCAGAACTTCACAGAGCGAACGAACCTCCACCTCGACCTCCAAAGACGCACTCGAACCAAGCCATGACGGATTCTGGAGAATTCACCTTCCTCCCACCATTAAATCAGCCTCCTCAACGACCATTGTCGCGACAAGGATCAGCATCAAACAGATCCCTGGAACGACAAGGTTCGAACCATTCTCAAGGTCAGGCCAACTCGAGAGCTGTCCCAGTCCCAAGTCAGCGACTTAACTTTGCTATGATGGAACAGGAGCGGCAAAAGGAGATTGCTTTGAAGGTACAGGCTAGTGCTAATGTGGCGACAAAGCCTGAGAGTCAGAATGGTACTACGGCTGCTGTTAACTTTGACGAAATGGCTCCAAAGATCGATGAGGTCAATCCACCCAAAAGTAAGGTTATATTTCTGCATCTTTAGTGGGTTTTACAAGAAATAATACCAAAATTAGTCATTTTTTTAACTTTTTAATTCAGTGTCTTAAATTGATGAAAAGCATAGTATATTACTAATGTCTCTTTTTACAGCCAAATATCTGATCAAAGAACTCCCAAAAAGCCGGTTGCCAGCACGATCAGAATCCCGTCTTCGGAAGCCACGTACGTTGGTGTCGCCAGAAGAAGGGCCTGAGAATGCGGAGCCGGTCAAGAGCCTTCGGTCACCTTCAAAGTCGGGTATTCCCAGACCGGATTCAATGCGAAGTCCGAGTCCGACGAAGCCAACGGTGGATAACATCCGGTATCTCAGCACTCAAAACAAACCCCCAACTCCTGTTGAGGCCAAGAAGGTGGAATGGTAAGTGGTTGGAAGGATTTTTACGTGTATATGGTTTTAGATTAGCGAGTTTGTTTATTGTACTATTTTTGGTCAAAAACAAGATAGAAAAAAAGTGAAAATGTTCGAACACATGGGAACGGACTACGCACTTGTCAATACTAACATAGTATTGCTTCTATCCCAAACTCTTTATTTTACTATAGTAGTATGTATAACTTGCGAATCAGATAAACAAGTTTAATATATGTTTTAAACATTTCAAATGTTATCATTTTAGTGCGCCCGATGTGGAGCCTGACGAAGTTGACGACATGCTAAACGAATTTACTGGCGCCGTACCGTTCGCTTCTGGATTATCAGTCGAATCCTCGGATTCGCAAATGGTCGACAGTGTCTCAGGGGACGAGAACCAACAACCCTCGACTTCTGGGGTCTACAGATTGGACAAACAATTCAAAGACGTGGAACCAGAACCCCTGGCCAACGGTCCCAGTAGCTCGAAACTGAAAGACGAAAGGAAGATGTATCCAGAAGAAGTGCCAACCAGCTCCAAAGACAAAATGGAACCAATGCTGGATGCGCCCCCAGGATTGGAGGACGAAACCTTGATGGACGAGGAACACAAAGCTGTTCTTACAAAACTCAACTTCGTCCTTGAGCTAACGGAAACCCTGATAAACGTCGCCGAATTTAACGGAAGCTCCATCAGTTTCAACATGGAAAGCACGAAGCGGAAGGACCCGTCTTCAGAAACTCTAGCCAATCGTCGCTCAGAACAACTGGTACTTTACATTAAAGTGATGCACATTATATCATCAAGTCTAGTCATGGCTCAGCGACACCGAGATTTGGACACGCTACAGCCGTCCACAGCTGTTCAACATGTTCTCAATCAGTTGAACGACAAATATCATCAGTGCTTGGTAAGATATTGTTTTAAAACTTAAATTTTTGCATTTTTTTTGTTACTATTAATTATTGTTTGGACGATTGTTATTTTAATCAATGCTATTATAGACGAGATCACAAGAACTGGCATCGTTGGGCATATCATCAAGTTCTGATCCCTCGTCTACCGTGGTATCAGCAGAACGATTGATGTATAAACACGCAATCGAGATGTGCCAATCTGCGGCGTTGGACGAGCTTTATGGTAACCCACATTTGTGCCCATCCCGGTATAAACAAGCCTACATGATGCTACATGTTCTGTCAGAACAGGTATGTTAATTTGAGATTAAAGTTTGACGACGAAAGAAACTGCTAGATAGAATAATGACAGTTTCATGAATATAACTCTTGATTCTCGCCGTATTTCAGGTACAATCCGAGCAAGACCGGAACGTTCTGTCCAAGTACAAGGACGCAGTTGAGAAACGACTGCGGATCCTTGAAAACCAAGGCTACGTGATATCGGTCAGCAACAAATAAATCCCAAATGTACTATAATACCCCACTAGCTCATTTTCTAACTCTTGCTTAACTCATTCGTAGTATTGTAAGGTCATAGAATATAATACATTCGATCTTCTCATTTTTTCAAACGGGAGACCCTCCAATATATTGTTTTATCGTTGCTTTTTACCTATATTGTCACCATTTGTACAGTCTTTAAACTTTGACTAAATAAACGTTATAGATGAGAAATTGGGTTGGTATGTTATGAATAATGTCAGTCATTAGATGACAAATCTTTTAATTATTGTTACTTTACGAGTTATTGTTAGCGAAAACAACAGATTATGTTCTTGTCTAAACAATTTTGGACCTTTTTCAAAATGAAAATTTAATTTCGCTAAATATACGCAAATAAAAAATGACACAAACAACATTATTTACTATTCACCAAGCTTCGAAGCCTCGACCGCTCCGTAAAACATTAGAAACAGAAAGCCAAGAGAATATTTCGTTGCAAGACGCGAAAAGAAAACATTATTTTACTTTTTTATTTTATAAAATAGTTTTTTGTTGTATGGAAAACGGGAAACACAGTATTTCAGGAAGAAAAACCAATCTTCATAAAGAGAATTCCAGATACAACATTTAACAATTGAATGGGACGACGGATCAGTTCAAATGGAGATCAATCACGACCAAAAGTCTGTTAATTTTGAGAAATAACCAATCTCATTTTAGATGTACTTCTTCCAGCTTCATCTGCGGTGCCGTTGAAGGTAGGTCTAGGAATACATTGGTAGTTAAAAATGTCAGTTGAAGTTGTAAAGATATCGATTTTAAGATTTGTAAATTTTATTTAAAAATTGTTTTGAAATAACAAATGTTTCATGTGACATTAAAATGAGTAAACAACATCAATAAATTGATGTTCTTGCAGGATTCTATGGAAGACCATGGACGACGGAACAACGTAAGGATCTGTTTGAACGATTTAACTTACTTGGGCTTAATACTTACCTCTATGCGCCAAAAGACGATCTCAAGCACAGGTTTGAATGGAGAAGTCTCTACAATAAGGAGGAAACGGGTAAGTCATTGCTTATTGTTAAAAATTTAGATTCATTTTTACGTCTGTTACATGAAGATTGTGTTTTTGAAAGGATTTGGATATTATTCTGATTAAAAACATTATTTTAGGTCTATTAAGTGAACTTATTGCATCGGCCAATAAAAACAATGTAACCTTTGTATATTCCCTATCTCCGGGCATTGATATTGTATATTCTGATCAAACTGAAGTGGAAGCCATCCAGAAGAAGTTGTGTCAAGTTCGAGATATGGGATGTTCGGCTTTTGCACTTCTTTTTGATGATATTGAAAACTGTATGAACAAAAAAGACGCTGAGGTATTTGATTCGTTTGTAATGGCTCAGCTGACCGTAACTAACCTTGTCTACGAGTATATGGGCAAGCCGGTGTTCTTTTTTTGCCCAACCGAATATTGCTCATCTCGTTGTATACCTAATTTGATGAGCTCTGGGTATTTGAATACTTTGGGAGACAAGTTGCATCCGGAGATTCATATTATGTGGACTGGACCTCAGGTGAGTGTAGTTGACAATGTTAGAAAATTGAATTTTTATTTTTAGGTAGTATCTCCCGAACTAACGGTGGATCACGCCAGGGACGTGACCAAAGTGATGAAGCGAAAACCTTTGATCTGGGACAATCTTCATGCTAATGACTACGACCCTAAAAGAGTTTTCTTGGGACCATTTAAAGGGCGGAATGTTGCTTTAAAAGACGAGATATCTGGAATGCTACTGAACCCAAACTGTAAATACGAAGCCAATTTTATTCCATTTTACACGCTGGCTATGTGGAACAAGTCAGAAGCGGATGAAGAACAAGAAACGCCTGTTAGCAACAACAATAATGTCTACAAGCCTCATCGTGCTCTTGCTGATGCTCTAGATCGGTGGAGAGAACTATATACGAAAGGACCTGGACCAGCTATACCACCAATTAGTCATGTGGAGTGCACCATTGCTCCAATTATGGATCCAAATGCTGCAGCTCCATCTATAGTGGTGCCACCACCTACAATCCGAACTTGTGAAGGTAACGACCTGATACCTGACACTTTGGACAGTCCTGCACCACTCTATACCTCGCCGGTTGGGAATGCTACTACTGTAACTGTTCAGGCTTTTCCTATTAACGAAACTGTAAGGGGAGTTACGGAGACGGTAAGAATTTTTTGTTGTTTTTATACTTTTTATATTATCAGTGTTTATTATAAATTGTGTGATGTTTGTTTGATATAAAGCTACATTTGCTTGTTTTTGTTTGCTATTAATTCGGTTATTTTAGCACGAAGTACCATTGACAGTGAACTCACTTTGTTCTGAATACAGCGAGATGCCTTTGGATGCTAGTAAAGTACAATCGATCGAAGATCTGGTTGGTATTGTAGTAGAACCAGAAGTACCAATGGAACAAGATTCATCTACTGAATCTATGACGCCAGCCGAGTATGTTTTCATTTCTGAATCGACACTCATAAATATCATATTTGACAGCTGTTAGGTATTTATTGTTTTTAAATCATATTTTAAAAATATTATTTCCAGGATTGACTCATCACAACTTGCCTTATTGGTCGATTTATTCTACTTGCCATTCGATTACGGTGAGAAAGGAGTACAACTTCTAGCCGACTTTCAATGGATGCACAAGAACGCCTTCAACATGGACAAGATCCCCAAAGACAAGGATTTGGAGACAGAATTCAATCGTCGCTTCAAGAGCTTCATCACATTTCAAAAACAACTTGAACTCTTATTCCGAGTGTTTTTGGAAGCCCCGAACAGAAGTCTGGTACAAGAAATCTTCCCATACTTGGCTGAAGCTCATGCCATCACTACAGTACTCGGGGCTCTATTACGGTGGATGAAGGAGGGAGGATTAGTAGTGGAACCAACTAATATAGAGAGCTGGTGGTTGAACAGGAGGGCAGATGTGGAGCCATGGTCGTTTGGTAATGGTATCTTGGTTGATTTGCAAAAACTGATCATATCCAGTCCAGCCTTGGCTGAGTTATTGGTATTTAAGGTGGCTATTCCTCTACCGATTTCTTCGTATTCGATCAAACCGATTGCTTATACCGAGTTGGATATTGTAAGAAGTTTTGAGGATTTTTTTTGAAAATGCAAATTTTTTATTATCTAAAGCTATATCTACGAAGCTTTATTCTAAAAATAATATTTAAATTTCAGCAAAAAGTATTTGAATACTTTTCCCTAGAATCAGAGCGCCAATTACTTACTACAATATCGCCAAAAGCTTGCACAGATATGTTTTTTGACCGAACATTTGCATATCACTTCAAGTACGGTCGACCACCACATCATTTCATGGTGGAGGACATTGAATACCTAGGTAAACGAAGTATGTTTGCTCTGCTCACAACTATCATTTCGATGCCATCTACATTGAGAAAGATCAGAGACGAGTTTGTCGGGGAGTATAAGGAGAAGTACTCGGATATGCTCGAGGATGATAAGGTAAAGGCTTTTTGGTCGTGTTTGTTTTTATTTTGTTTTTACTTTGGTATCTTTGGCATTTTTTTTCAGAAAAGGGTGTCTTTGTCGTAATGTTTATGACTAGTTTTGTGAATGAGATACATTTCAAAATGACATTTGTGACGATATCAATCCAACCTGTTTTAGGCTCGAGAACTTTTCGAACAAGACATCAAAGACTGGCCGTTGTTCCAGCTGCCCGAGGAGTTTCTACATGAATATCCGAGTTACATTGAAGTCAGATGGAGGGAATTCATTCCAGAATCCGCTTGGGTTCGCCGTCTGATTCATACGGCTGTCGCAGCGCTCGCGATGAATGGTGAGTGTTGAATAAAACTTGTGGTTTTGTCATCACAGTTTTCGTATAACAGAAATGCATATAAACTATACGTAGTTGAAGTACAGAACGTATGAGCAAAAGTGTGCAGATGGTATTAGAACTGTCTGACATGACTAATATGATAGTAAAATGAAAATTACTTTACAACTTAAAAAGTAATGTTGCAGGTTCGAGCGGTGTCTTCACCATCCTCCCATCGGCCGACGAACATCTGGTTCAATTATATTCCAGGTTCGGGCTGGAGCAAATTAATGCGATCCAAATCAAAGACTGTGTTGTAATGGCCCATTCTCTAGTCTAAACTCTCGAACATTGATGGATGGACTGTAAAACAATGTTTTAAACCACCGCTTCTTACTTTCACATAGGTATCGGTCATCTTCTGTCGTGTATGTGTACATGTCATGGCCAGGGCTCGATTTTTTGTCGGGCTTGTGACACATCTTATTTCATGTAGCAGAAATGATTCTTTCTTGTCACATAGGTATTCATACTTTCAATTTCACAACAGTTAATGTAGCCGACTCATCTTTCTTTACAGCGGTTACTGTAAAAAATTAACTCGGTTATCACCTTGTTTTACTGCTAACCGGCCTTTGCTTATGATAAAAGTTTCTATAGAGATATTTTAGTCTTTACGGTTACTGTAGGATTTATTTTAAAGTTACCACAGATTGTTTGCCCCAATTCTCACATTCTTTCCCACCTATGAACACGTGTAATCTTTAACTTTGTACTGTCATCTTCAACTAAATCCTGTATATCTTGCTAATCGTCTTTGATACTAATTTGGTCGAAAAGTTTGTAGAGTTTTCGTATGTTAGGCCTAAAACCTATCTTCATTTTGACCATGCTAGTGTTGTATTATTTGAGTTTAATACTTCTTCAATTTTGGGTATTTTCGAATCGTGAGTGCACTTTGTGTACTACCCTTCGCAAAGTACACTGTATTTAAAATACATTTTGTATTCAAATTTAATTTAACGATTTATATTTATTTGATAACCCAATATTTGCGGTTGTTTGTAATAAGATTGTAGATAAACCTTGATTTGAATAAAGCTTCCCTAGTCACAACAAATTCCTCGTGACAACTTACTGAGCGTAATGAGCACTGACAGACGTGATTCGTATTCCGAGTTGGTGTTACAAACTGCCATTACTTTTAAACATTGCTTTTTTAAACTTGAAAAAAACATAATTATTTTACTGTGTAAGTTTTCCTTTACTTTGCTTTTAATTTCTTTTAATCGCCGTTTCAATTTATTTTCGGTCTTTGACTTTTGCCGTATTTCATTACAACCAGCTCTCGAACCCGACAATGTGATCGGACAGTATTGGGTTTACAAAGTCGATGGTCGTATTACTTTGCCCACTAACCGGGATACTGAATTTCAGCGCGACTGTTAGGGGTTTTCTGATGTCGCTGCGTTGCACACTGGCTTTGTGCCCCGCCCGAACGGTCTGAATAAATCACTGATTCTCTACCCCGCCTAAACTCTCAGTGTTGCCTACTCTACCCCGCCGAAGCTTTATTTTTAACTAAAAAACCTTTGCTCTCCGCGCCTAGATACCCTTACTCCCTCAACCCCTATGAACTTTCCCCCTACTCAGTAGATACCCCGCCTGGGTACCCTTTATATCTTAGCAAACCGTTTAGCCTCCTCTGATCTCCAATAAGCCCGCTGAACCAGCCAATCCTCCCCCTCTCTCTGCCACCCGCCGATCGACACGCCGACTTTTTTCCGAGCGACAGCGACCCGCCATTGCTCTATTTCTCTGCCGGTAGCTCTCCGCGTCGCCTGCTGCCTTGGCGAGTGCGTCTGGCTGGTTCTCCTTCACTTTGCTGATTGCCCCCCTCGCCGCTTCCCTGCTCTACCCCCATTGCCGAAAATTATTCGTTCGCGCACTGAATTTTGGGTTCGAATCGACGGAAAAAACCGAATTTTTGGAGTGGGAGTTGCCCCATTCTCGTTTGATTTGAATATGAGAGGAGCAGGTGAATGGGTTTTATGACACGGTTTCCTGTTTTCCCAAAACTACTTGTTTTTACTCAAAATGGCACTTTGTAAACTCTTCGAAACATACGTTGGAGTTCTCTGTGTACTGTTTCAATTACTAATTTTAAGTTTTAGTTTGTTTTGTAGTCATCACATCAAAGTTACTGTTGTATATTATTAGTTAAGCAAGATTTTTAAAAGTTTAGTTTGTATATTGTGATATCTTATCCATTTTTAACCGTATCATGCTCAAAGTAAGGCAGAAAGTAAGTAAAATCACCTATACTACTTAATTTATAACTACGGATCTTTCTATAACATTTTTGACCTACTTAATAATATGATACAAGCCTTTGATACTAGTGAAAACATTTTTAGTACTAATAACTTTTCTCACGCACTTACACGTAGTTTGCCACCTATTTAACTTTTTTTTATATTGAATTTTAAAAAGAAACCCTTATTAATCATTTTTGCTCTATTTCAATTAAAAGTTGTAAATTAGGACAACTTTTACCTCATGTTTTAATAACCTTGCGCTTTTCTAAATCTGATTTGAAAATGGCCAAATTTTTCCATCAAATGCATATGCACTTTTATACCTCTGCCAATGTACCCAAATTGTGTCATCAAAGCTTAATTTCCAAATTCAAGGCCTAATTGGCCTAGAAACCCCCGAGGCCTTTGGAATTCCCCAAACACTACGGTAATGCAATTTTAATTACTCTCATTACTCGCCGGGTACTCTACCTGCAGATCGAAGTGCCCCTTGATCAATAATAATTCGCATCCACTCGAGCGACCGATTGTATTCCGCTTCTAAAGCAAATTATTGCTTCCGCACTGTCGCCGGAGGGGAAATACGACGAAATGGGGGGGGGGAGCCAGTTTTCAAGAGCTCAAATTAGAATTTATTTACGCGACAGGGTCTGCTTACATTTTTAGACCACTGGTCGTAAATTTTTTGGCTCCCCTTCTACTGATTGTTAGCCTTTGATCGTAGTATCTTATACCCCTGACATTTTACCCCCTTTATTTTTAACCTAGCATTACATTTTCTTGAACGTCACTATCTCGTCTTATATCGCACTGTCAGCTCACCCCTCCCCTCTAGTTTCAACCCCTTAGCCAGCGGCGTTGTCCGAAACAATTAGCGACGTGCTGACAAAGTTTGCAAAACTTTGGAGCACTTAATGCATTTGCACAAAGTGCATTGCGCCGCGGGCTTCGGAGAGCCGGGACGACGAGAGGCTGTGTCGCTTTTCTCCATCTGCCCTCTCTCTCTCTCGCTCCCCCCCCTCCCCCCCCATCACGAGACTAGCGCTGGGCCGGCCTGCTCCTCCGACCCATTGGCCACCACGAACCACCACCGAGAAACGAAAAGGACGGAATTCAGGGGTTTAAGTTGACCGTTCCCTTCTCTTTGTCGCCTTTAGGGGCCTGCAATTGCGAACTAATGAGCGAGTGACCTCCTCGCTTGTTTTTTTAATTGTTCGAAGTTACGAAAAGGTTTCGTCTGCGAGCTCCTTTCGTATCTTTTCCGGCTTCACGACGGAGCTGAAACCGTGTTTGTTCTTTGGGGAAACTCGTTCTTTATGTGAACTTGTGTTTTAGCAAGTTTAAAGTTTAAATTTTAATAGCCACTACTTTACTTACCTTTAACATTACTATGTTAACATTGGACATTTTTATACAGATTCTTAACGTATTCCTTACAAATCTTGCCCATCTTCTTCAAAAAACCTCACCATATACCCTGCCAATCTAAACCTTACATTTTTACTTTATACTGACACCAAACTTACCAACTTCTTACCCTAACCTTTATCTTATTCATGTTCCTTAATGAACTTTATGTCGCGCAAGGATGCCAAGTGTAATATCATTTGACCTCGTCGTGCTGGCGTCACCTTGGCCCCCTGAAAGTCGTGCAGTAAATTTCTTCCCGCCTGACATTTCCAATTTACGACAGCTTCGGGGGGCCTCGGCTTCGCCTCGCGTCGAAGCCCCCTATCCCCGTGCTTAAGGCCGCCGAAACTTGGCATCTGGAGAGTTTTGCTCGGGAGTTTAAGCTCGAGGTCGGGGCGGGTTTCAATGTTTAACTTTTGAATTTCAACGTTTCGCTTGTTTGGAAGGGGGGGGTTAATGCATTAGAGCGCCGGAGGGGAAATGTTAGTTTTTAACCTCGAACTAATTTGAAAACCTAAATTGCTTTTTGTTACTGTTTTTTTGCTTGATATTGTTGTAGAGGAACTTTTGTTTAGGTATTACTCTTACTTTTAATTTGTTATTGTATTATTTTATTGATCAAACCTAACCTTTGTGTAAGACTTTTTCTAAATTTAAATTTTCCAATGTTTACCAACTACAAATATTTTTAAAATTTCAAACCTCTTGAGTTCTCTTCACTACTCTCGTACTAAATTGCACGAGCTTTCGTACAGTAAACACATTAATGTCATTATGCAATCGAATATGTCATTATCGCAAAACTGAGTTTCATTTGCCCTGAGGCTGTTCGGCGAGCTCGTCAGGGTCAGCCGTTCTGGTCGGCCGCCCGCCGGATTAAATGTAAACAGTCCCCCCCCTAGCCCTCTGTGATCTGCTGCAGCTCCGGCGCGCACCCCTAATCGCTGCTCTTCCCTCATCGCGTGATTTTCCGGTTCTACAACATTTTACTGTACACCATCATCCATCGTATACCTTTTATTATACATCACGATAAAAGGTATGTTTCGGTGTTTGTGGTACAGTATATGTTTTAGTATGTTTTACTGTATTGAACTATGAAAATACTGCAGCTGTTTGGATCATTACAAGCTGCTACACAATGTGTTAGACACTATATATTACTTACTATCTTGAAAATACTGTTGACAATACCCCTATAATTGACCAAATCTGATCTACCGTGCCAGTCATAGCGAACAATTATCGACTTAGTGCTTAAATTATCATAGATTAGCCCCAAATCGTATCTTTTGACTTACATTTTGAGGTTTTTACATAGAAAAGTCTTTTCAAAATTTAATATTTACATTCCCACGATCTTTCGCTAAACAAAACAAACCCATCCTTTACTTAAACATTTAAACTAACAATACTTTAGGCGACGTTTTGTTTATTCCACACTGCATTTTTTGGTCATAAAGTTTTGGTCAAAGCATTGTCTTAATGCCACTTTTAATTCTCAAATTTTAGAAATCGTAAAATACGTTTTACATACCTCTGCGTTTTAGAATTTCAGATAGATCAGCAATCTAGTCCTTTATCTAATACAAAGCAAAAAGTATTAGCTTATATAAATCATGTTATGTTTTCCGTATAAGCTTTTTTTCTACCCTTTATGCGATTAAAAACACAAATCCAAACTCCCAATCGTTATATTTGTTCCCCAACGCATATTTTACATTCGTTTACTCAGCCCATATGCGGTCTCTGCACTCTCGAGCTTAGGCCGCGATCTCGCTTTTCAAAGTGTAATTAATCTCCGCCGTTTTTTTTAAAGTCTTATTTTAAAATTCGCGTACCTTTAGCTACAGTGAAAACGGTGTAAATTATTATACCCAAGTTTGTACTCAAATCTGTGGCCAATTAATAACATTTTGAAGTTGTAATTACTTTTTAATTGCGAATATTTAACTGTAAAATAACTTTATATATTCATTTTGCATAAATTCTTTGACTACAGCTTTTAACTTATGTTTTTCTTACTTGAACTGTGCTTTACATATTTCTCAGTACCATATCTAAACATCATAATACTTTTTAATAAAACGCCGTGACGTTCCCTTCAATATTACCCATGTGAATATCCTTTTAACCGGAAATGTTTCAGAGGACAGAAGCGCAATCCAACTTGGCCTCAAATCAGCGTTTCTAAACCTCACCCAACTTTGTCCCCACCGTTCCACCCCAAGTGTCACAACGCCGCGCAAACCGAAAACCACAAAGGTCGAGGCGCCAGCCGCCTCGGCCGAATCCATCTCGGATGAGGTCAGCCGATCATCACTGAACGAGTCCCATGTCTCGGCCCACGATGGCACCATGCCCGGCTCTCCCATGACCGAAACCGGATCCTCGACGTATGTTTTTGTTAATCTTTCCAGCTTATTAGTCGGATTAATAGATTGGTGGTTTAATGGGGGTCATTAACGTTCCTAAAAGAAGTAGTTATTCAAAAAGCAAAATCTTATAGGTTTATAGAAGAATGACATTAGAGGTCAATGCTTTATGAATTTTCTTGTTTCAAACCCCACATCTATGTTAATATTAAACTTACCATCAGGGCCGGGCGGGGACTTTTGGTCTGGGGGCAGGGGTCCGGAAAATCGGCACCTGTGGCGATTTTTTGCGAAAATTTTTTTTCCAATAATCCACAGGGGGGAGGGACCACGTTCAAATTTTTTTCGAAAATTTTTTTCTGGAGGGGGGGGTACCCCCCCCTCCCCCGTCCTCCCCCCCTCCCCCCCCTCGCGCCCGGCCCTGCTTACCATACTCGATAGATCATAAAATGTCCAGATTTAAACCTTCATTTTGAAAAACAAAGAAATGAAAAGGAGATTGCCGCTTTCTTTCGATGTCCATAAAATCAGTCGATCTTTTGCCTCGGAACCCGCAATTCAATGGCTCTTCTTTATGTTTACGCTTTTTCGGACACTTATTTAGCCTTTTGTTATTAGATTTATCTATATATTATAACGTTTACAAAAATTTGTAAAAGATCATTATGACATATTTTTTGGAATTTGGGCAATCTTTTATATTTTCGGTAATTTCCTTTTTTTTCCAAAATGGTTTGCAGAAGGAGTTTGGACGAAAATGATGAGCCTTTTAGCAGGTATAATTGTCCTTTCTTTACATTATTTTGTTTTTAGCCACGAGCCAACCGACTTCTCGGCACTGAAAGAAGATGAAGGTAATCTGGATCTGGATGAAGAAATCGAGGTTCATCCTCAACATTCGATACTTGCCGGCAATGGTAGGGGCTTTTAAATGTTAATGAGATTTGCATTTTTTAATTTCTAAAAGTTTTTTAGCTAAATTTTTGGATATTATTATTTTAGGTAACAAAATTTTTAAAAGTTGGTTTAGATAACATTTTTGAGTTTTTGCATGAAAAACACGGCTTAAAGGTTGTAAAAAGGGTAGCAAAAGAGGGGTAATTTCAGAGCTTAATCTGATTATTAAAGTTTAATCTTGTTGTTGTTTTCAGATGCATCAAGGCAGTTCATTAAGCGACCTCTCAATGCCTATATGATTTGGACCAGGCATGCTCGTGATAACATTCTAAAAGAGAATCCTCATCTGAAGATGAACGAAGTGTCTAAAACGGTATGTTAATGTTTTAGCTTTAAGGGATGTTAATTATCTGGTTTTACTTAATTGGTAGTTATGGTTAATATAATTATTACTTTATATCAAGTTGCATTGCATGAATAGTAAAGTAATTTTGTTGAAATGTGGTTATTACTTTGAATATTGTCTTGTATTTTATTGCTTTACAATTTTAGAGGTATATTTTTGTACTTTTCGGCCTAAAAAGTTGTTTTTTTTGTACGAATAGGGTATTTAAAATTTTCTACAACAATTTAAAATTTTTTGTGTACTTTAAGACGTCTGTAAATTTATATAAAAGCTTTAAAACGTATATGGTTTACATAATTTAACAAATTTCATTTCAGATGGGTGAAATGTGGAAAAAACTGCCTGACGAAGACAAGAAACCCTTCTTTTTAATGGCCAGAAAAGCCGCGGCCAAGCATAAGAAGGCTCTGGAGCTCAATCCTAAATTGGCATACGTGCCGAGCAAAAAGAAACACAAAAAGAATGAAAAGAAAGAAGAAGAAGCAAAGGATGAGAAGGATGATGTTGCCTATCCGACGCCCAGTGCTTCTCCTATTCACAATGGCAGGCCTTGTAAGTAGTGGTTTCAGAATTTACATTTTTTATTTTAAACTTGAGGTTCATTGTTTTAAAGTTTATATTTATAACATAAAATAGTTCAAATTAGCTTCAAACTTTGTAAAATACTATCTAAAACAATATTTTACTTTTCAGTGCATCAAAATGTAGTGGAGAACACGCGTCCGGGGCCATACCCTCAGCCAGCGACAATTGTGCGCACTCCCAACACACATTACCAACAACCTCCATACACTCAAGGCTACGAATATCGGCAGCCGGTTCAGAATGGTGTCTACCAATATCCACCTCAATATAATCAACAGTCTCAAGTTAGATACGGTAGGTTTTGGCTACTCTATATATTGGTGGTTTTAAATCTTTTTTAGGATCAATACTTTTTGTTTTTGCGTATTTTTTCTACTTTTTAAGTTTTTTGACGTAAAGGTACCTTAAGATGACATATAAATTAGTTTTTTTGAAAAAATTAAACGTTTGTTTATGTTTACATCTACGAATTGGGGATATTGCGGTAAACAAATGCCATATTCAGCTGTTTTTGTAACAATAATTTTGGATTTTGTTGAGCCGCTCTAATTGCAGTATAATGTATTTTGAAAAACATCAAAAATGATTTGGTATATTATTAAATTTTACGAATTTAAATGTAAATTTTCAATTTTTATTGTAATATTTTCAGTGCAACACAGTTACGGGTACCAGAACGGCAGCGGAGTACCAATGAACTACCCCACCAATCCATACTACCCCGCCCAACCTCAAGGCCACATTATTCAGAATCCGCGCGATCCGTCGCAGAATCTGGTCAGGAATCCGTTCGCCATTTCGTATTCGGACCCACCAGAGCCAGTCTACGAGCCAGAATCCGTGGACTTGTACCGTGAACTCTACTACCGGTCGTTGGTGCAGCTACAGTTCCCGACGAAACAGAGCGGCGATCCAGAATGCTTGTCTCCAGAATTCTATCTTCAACGGTACTACGCGTTGGGTGGTACCGACCCACCGCGAAGGGTACCACCGATGAAAAACAACATCAACAACAGCAATGGGCTGGTCTATCAGGAACTGTAAAGGGTTACTGTAACATTGGTGGTTTACTGTAGCTTTATTTTTTATATATTATAGCTATAACTTCTACTGTAGCACCAATACTGTAACATCAATGGACCAGTCAACTCTAAACTTAATTAGACGAGCGGCTAGCCAGGAACGGGCCCAGCAAATGACGACCTTTATTTTCCAACTTTGTATAATTTTAATGTTTCTACGGATTAATAGTATAATATGGTAATAACACCTTGATATACCTCTGTCGTCAAGTATCTAATACTAATTTCATTGATTGTTTTTTTATTGTCTCTTTTATTAAATGGATTTTTTAGTTTGAAGCATTGATTTTTATTGTTTCTGAACAAAATTGTACTGATCGGTTCGAAAGTTTTTGGAAGTTTTTGTTTTTTGGTTGACAAGTTAAGATAATAGGCCTTTGTAAAACTTTTTCGAAAATAATTTGGGAGTTTCTACGCACTTTTTGACCAGTTTGTAATAAGATCTTGATGTATTAAAAGATTGCACGGTGCAAGATTTTAAATCAAACTATTGCAAAGTGAATATATCAAAAGTTTACTTAGCTGATAGTCCGAGAACTTATGAAACAAATCAGTATTTTAAAAATATTGTTGTAGACTTCAAGTACCACGTTTTTAACAATTTACAGGTTTCTTTTACTACCTTTTAAACGTTTATACTATTCTTTAATTACTACTACTCATACAGTGGGACACTGTCTCACAGTTGTTCGTATACTCTTACAGTTGTGTCTTCGCAATGTTTGTTGCCTACTTTGGTCTGAAATGAGCTTCTTTACCCCCGCGCCTAGCTAGCCATTCTCAATACCGTATTATAAATATTAATGTAGTTACTCTTTACAATCTCGTTTCGACGGCTTTAATCATTGTTGTTGTCCTCGAGTGGACCTCTCACAATTGGTATCATAAAGTTTAAAGGAATAATTTATTCGGCTTATTTTTTTATTCTTTCGAACCTTATAATTTTAAAAGTGCAAGTATTAAAAAGGTTAAAATGTATGATAATGTAGCTTTAGGAAGAACAGTGGTTGGCACGCAATTTTTATGTTTTGTAAAGGAATTTACTGTTATTATATAGTGAAGGTGAAAAGGCCTTATAAGGAAAGCGCCTGACCTGCCCCGCTCTGAATTGCTGCAAATTTTTTATGCAGAAAGGTCAGATAAGTACAAGATCTTCAGCAAAGTACTAAATCTCACCTTCCAGTCAATCTCGAGAAAATCGAGGTTAAAAATTAGGTTTTGAATTTTTCGCTAAATTGGCATTATGTCCCAAGCTTAAAACTGTAATTTTTGACTTTTAATAATTTTTCTTTGATGTGCTATTACTATTAATAGTAGAAAACCTTTAAATGTACCTACAATTAAAGTTGAAGGCGTATCTTGTTTGGAAAGTCGAACAAAGTGCTTAAAACTTAATGCCAACTTTGTCGAATTGGCGGTAAACTCAAATATTTGAAATTTAAATTGAAGAGCGCGAGCTGAAACTCCTCCCCCCCAGAAAAAAATTTTCGAAAAAAGTTGAACGTGGTCTCCCCTGTGGACTTTTGGAAAAAATTTTTCGTAAAAAATCGGCACAGGTAGCTTACCTGTGCCGATTTTTTCGACCCCCGCTTCCAGACTAAAAGTCCCCGCCCGGCACTGATTGGTGGTACAAGTAATTAATATAAAAAAATTAAGCTGTTTCTTGGCGGGGCAGGTTGGGTACTTTCCCTGTGAGAGATAATATTATTTTTCTTATTGATCGAAGCAAAATTTATCTTTACTTTTTTGAAAATCACATCAATTTTTATTGGCTAGGTTTTTGAATATTCTTTTACTCGTGCTTTTTTTACTTATATTTTATCAGTTTTGAGCCAAATCATGACCTTTTTTTAAATTTTTAAAGATTTTTGAAAGCTAAACCTATTTCTTCACAGCAATTTATAGTAAAAAGCTGTTTGTTGTTATTGGCTACGTATTTACCGAACAAACTAATTTATAATAGTAATGATGTCATCATAATTGTAGCATTACTGAGTTTCTTGGGAAATACGCTTTTTATGGTCTGGAGTAATTAGGAATGTGGGAAAAAACATGGTCATGTTGCCAATTATAAGAGTATAATGTTGCTTTTTCAGAGAACTCGAGTACATTAAGGTACTTTTTTATTTTAATGAGTTTCAGAGATTATTCGGTATTTTTGAAACTGTCTTGTGATAGGTAGAGGTATAAGGGTCATACGGGCTACTACAAGTTGTAATTTTACAATTACTACGTATTGTTTTCGTATATAACAAATATATTAGGAGTCACAAAAGTTTTGTCGTTAATTTTAATTGATTTGTACGTCTAAAAACGACAAAACGTTTTTGACGTATTAGTACTATCTTTTTAGGTACTAAAAACAACATTTCTCTATAAAAGTGCTGTTCAATGATTACATTTTTACTATGTATTATGTTGTTGTCATCGCTTTGTAAAGAAAATTAGTTTATTCAAATTGTTTTCGAAACGTCATTACTTTTTTCGATCTTACATAATTACTAATTAAGGTGTTGACAATGGGTCGTCGAAATACGTGAATGGCTTTTTGAAACTGTAATTGTTATGTTAATCGCAGACTTTTGTTCCTTGTTCCGGCTGATGTACAATATTCTCAAAAACAATGACAATTAATGTTAAAACTGAATTTCGGAGAAAGTTTGTTTAATGAGTCAAAATTGTATGGTAACAGGCGTTTTAGGGGTTATATTGTAATGGCAAAAAAGTGTTGTCGTTTCTAAATTTTAAAAGCATATATGTATTGACGACAAGACTTTTGATACCTTAATATATCTTAATTTTCAATTGATCATTATAAAATACGTGGTTTAGGAAATGACTTTTGAAGTCGTCGTCTTAGTCAGAAGTATCTTCTGAAGCTGGCCGTCTCAGTAAAAAATCAATGAGTACAATAAACTAAAAATAGTAAAAGTAAGATATGTTCTGTCAACCTTTACAGTACAGGGTGTTCCAAGAAAAATGTTAAAAACTAACGACGTATATTTTTTCTCCCAACAAAGCTACACATGCCAAACTTGGCATGATGAAAGTTTAGAACCACAAGTTTTTTGTCACAAAATTTTGGATTTTTTAAGTACATACTAAGGTCGTTATGATTTTTTAAAAAATGTCCATTTTCCCCGGAATTACACATATTTTCCGTTGGAAATTTCTTTTTTTGGTAAAATTTTCTAAGTTTTTGACAAATCTTTGGTTGAAAATGACATTTTTAGCCAAAGTTTGTGATTTTCAAACGTCGGCGGAGACTCGGCGGACGCCTAAATTTGTCGGCGGAGGCTGTAACTCGCTTCAAACATAACGGAGAAACATGAAACAAAAAGCATTAGTTTTATAACTATCAAGGCAATCTTCACTGATTCTAAGCTTGTCTAAAAATAACTCTAACTAAAAACTTTGCAAAAAAAGCTAAATCAAAAGATATTAATGTTCAGGAATAGACGCATTGTTTCAAAAACTTTTATTTATGTTCAAAAGTTATGATAAACTCATTTCCTTCAAAGCTTAGACAGCAAAAATCTCGTGTTGTATGTTTTTAATTTCTAAGTAAAGAAAAAGGTGAAAACGTTAAAATTTTAAAAGTTACTTGTGCAATTTACAAAATAAATATAAAAAATGTTTTCTTTATTCATTTTCTTAGGTTTTTATATTTTTTTTGTGTTTTAAAACCTTTGAAGCCAAGCTTAGCATCTGTGAGTTTTAAAACTATTTCTTTTTATTTCACGTCTCCCCGTTATGTTTGAAGCGAGTTACAGCCTTCGCCGGCAAATTTAGGCGTCCGCCGAGTCTCCGCCGACGTTTGAAAATCACAAACTTTGGCTAAAAATGTCATTTTCAACCAAAGATTTGTCAAAAACTTAGAAAATTTTACCAAAAAAAGAAATTTCCAACGGAAAATATGTGTAATTCCGGGGAAAATGGACATTTTTTAAAAAATCATAACGACCTTAGTATGTACTTAAAAAATCCAAAATTTTGTGACAAAAAACTTGTGGTTCTAAACTTTCATCATGCCAATTTTGGCATGTGTAGCTTTGTTGGGAGAAAAAATATACGTCGTTAGTTTTTAACATTTTTCTTGGAACACCCTGTATATCTTCGTATCTCCGAACTTAACAACGAACCCTAAGTTTGTATATGTTGTTGATACGTACTGGGGGGGGGGACTCTAATTTATGACTGAAGTATTTTGGATTTGCATGTTGACGTAGAGCTGAAGGCTTCTCCCCCCTTCTGTTCAAAAATTAGAGCACTTTCGGAATAATAAACGCGCAGTTACTTGAGTATTAGGTTGAGGGCGTAGTCAACAACAAAGCCTTCAAAAACAAATCCTTAAGAAGCGCTAGACTGTTCCAAATTAAATGTCCATTTGGGTGTTTAAATATTACTAAGGGTTCTTAAGGTTTGTAAGGATATGCATATTTGAAGGGGAAAGGGGTTGCAACCGGTTGTAGGTGTGGGTGGAGTGAGGTTGGGGGTAGGTCGGAAGGAAATAAGGGGGGGGGGGTTGATAAGAAATGAATAGAGCATCAAACCTTGATTTCTTGTAGTAGTTTGCCTGTCTTGTCACTTTACTTCTTTCTACTTCATATGTTTTGACTTACCTCTTCCCCTTTACTTAAAACTGATCTTTGTTATCCCTCGATATTGTATCGCCTTCTCTTCTTCATAACCAGAGTACCAGATTTTTAATACATTCTATAATACATTTTGTAACATCTGCATATATCTGCCATCCATTATACATGAGATATGTGCTATTTATCACCAGGTAGCAGCGATATGTGCGGTCCAAGTGTAATTACTGTGAAATATGATTAAAATTTCAAAAAAAACTAGATTTAAGGGCGGATTTTAGCAAGGGAATGGGGATAACAAAGGGTATGTTTTTATTGAAACAATGTTTATATTGTAAAAGTTTTACTTTAAAGGTTTCAGTACGTT